GTGGGACAGGGGTCCAGAGGGCAGCAGGGTAGGTGCCAAGGGCCTGGCTTGGGGGCGCGGGGCTTTGGGCTCTGAGCCAGGGGTGCCGCCCAGGTGGATGCCACCCTGCAGCGGCTGCTGGAGCGGTACCGAGGCCCCGAGCCCTCTGACACTGTGGAGATGTTTGAGGGAGAGAAATTCTTTGCCGCCTTCGAGAGGGGCATTGACGTGGATGCTGGTATGCCCCTGTCCCTGGGGAGGGGACCCTGGGTCTGCCACCAGGTTCTCTGCTGAGCCCACACCTGCCCCCAGACCGCCCGGACTGTGTGGAGGGCAGGGTCTGCTTTGTCTTCTACTCTCACTTGAAGAACATGAAGGAGGTCTATGTGACCACTGCCCTGGACCGGCAGGCTCAGGCTGTGCGGGGCCAGGTGGGTCCATGGGGTGGGGCCCCTGGGTCCCCAGGCTGCCTGGGCAGAGGCCAGAGCACTGACTCCACCTCACCCCACCCAGGTGTCCTTCTACCGGGGAGCTGTGCCTGAGGAGGTACCCAAGGAGGCAGAGGCTGCCCGACAGAGGAAAGCCGCAGATGCCCTGTGGATGGCCACCCTGCCCATCAAGCTGCCGGTGCGACCCGGGGGATCATGTGTGTGAAGGGGTGGGGCGGTGGAGAGGCCCAGGGGGCAGCCAGGGCCCATGGCATGCCTTCTTCCCCTCAGAGGCTGCGGGGGTCTGAGGGGCCGGGACGGGGATGGGGGCCTGTTCTCTCCCTGGCACCTCTGAACCTGGGCGATGCAGAGACCGGCTTCTTGACCCAGAGCAACCTGCTGAATGTGGCTGGGCGCCTGGGCCCTGACTGGCCAGCTGTGGCCCTGCACCTGGGCATGCCCTACCATGAGCTGCAGCGCATCCGGCACGAGTTCCGGTGAGTTCCTTCGAGCCTCACGCCTGGGCCCTGGCCACCAGGAGGGGCATACTGTAGGCTGGTGGAAGTTCCGTCCAGGGGGGCAAAGCAAGCAGGCAGCAGAGGGAGAGTCTGGCCTCACCTGGTCCAGGGTGCAGGGCACCCATCCTGGGAGGGTGAGCGGAATCCTGAATGTGGCGGGTGGTTCTGGGCTGGGCCCCTCTGTCACCACTCCCCCCTCCCAGGGACGACCTGGATGGCCAGATCCGCCATATGCTTTTCTCCTGGGCTGAGCGCCAGGCTGGACAGCGGGGGGCCGTGGGGCTCCTAGTGCAAGCCCTGGAGCAGAGTGACCGGCGGGATGTGGCTGAAGAGGTGCGGGCTGTCTTGGAGCTCGGCCTCCGCAAGTACCAAGATGGCATCCAGCGCACAAGCCTGGCACCTGGGGACCTTGCCCCATCTGGCCCTTCAGTGTCACAGTCCCCAGAGCCTGCCCAGGCCTAGACCACACTTTGGGTTGGGTTGGGCCCTGATGTGCCCTGGCCAAAGGTCAGAGGTCTCCACTTTGAAGCCCTCCCCGTGTTTGGGGACAGAAACACCCCGCCCCACACACAACTCCTGGTGTGTAACAAACATGCACCATTATGGCTGCTGGCTCAGGGCTGTTTATTTGTTGGATGGAGGAGCTGGTGGAAGGCAAGCAGAGCCAGCAATCGGAGGCCTGGCCTCTGCCCCCTCCCATGTGTCCAGGCCTTCGATTGTCCCTGGAGAGAGCGTAGCCCAGGTACAAAGTAACAGCTGCAGAACCAATGGCCGCAAAGTCACCTGTGTGCTGGACTCTGCATCCCCATTACCCACCGTTGGCTGCTGGGGCTTGACCAGCTCAGGCCTCTGAACACCTACTGTGCGCCCGGACTGCTCCTCCCTTAGGACAACTTAGTCTGAGTACTCCTCGCCACCCGCTAGCCCCACGGAGCTAATCTCGGTCCCCGGCACACACAGGGGCACCGCTCCGGAGACCAAGGAAGGCCCGGTGCCGGCTGCGCGGGTCTCTGGCGCGTCCCGGCGCCGTGACCACGGCCGCCGGGAGGGGGAGCCGGAGCTCGCGTTGCTGCCGGGGGCGGGGCGCGCGCCGAGCAGACGCCTCTCCGCGTCTAGGTGCAGCCCCGCGCGCGGCACGGTGGGGAGGCGTGCGCGGCGGCGGCGGCGGCGGCGGCAGAGTGCTCGGTGAGTGCCCGCTGGGCCGCTCCCTTCCGCCGGCTTACCCGAGCGCGGCCCGGCTGCGGGGACGAGGGGCGCCGCGGCAGAGGGTAAAGGTGACAAGTGGCGCGACAGGGCAGCTCCCGCGGGGCCCGGGCGGGCGGATGCTCTCACCCGCTGCTGCCCGGGTGTGGAGGCCCTGCTCGCCCCGGGCAGTGACGGGCGCGCTCCCAGAGCACACGTGTCCCCGCGGGCTGGGCTCCTGGGGCCGGAGCACAGGTCAGGCCGTGGGGAGCGCACACGTGGGACCTCACCGGACGTGTGTGTCCACGTGGGTGGCTGGAGTCCCCACGACCTGGCGGCAGATAGCGTGGCCATCTGGGGCCCCGCGGGACTCCTCCAGCCGCACCGAAAGATGAGCCTGCGTCCAAGCTGAGCCCACAGCCCACATCCCTCTCATCTTTTGTCCATGTGTCAGCGTCCCTCCAGCCGTCAGGAAAGAAAGAGCCTTCCCTGGGGAAGCGAGTGGCCAGACTGAGTCTCCCCACATTGCCTTTCTTGGGGCTGGGGGAGCTCGGCGAATTCATTTGTGGGTGGCTTTATCTCTGTGGGTCTGGAGGTAGCAGCTCATCCTTTAGGTGGTCTGTGTGTCAGGCACTGTCCTTAGCCTACCTGTGGCCTCAGGTTACCTGGCCTGGGGAAGCAGGGTGGGGACAGTGAAGGCTGACAGTCCTGGGGCTTCAGGCTTGGATGGCGCCTCCTGCTTTCTAGGGCACCATGGCATGAAGGGGTGGGCTGTCCTAGAAGCTGGGGATGGGACCCATGCAGTGAGGACAGAGGGAGTTCAGGGTACAGAGGACCCGCTTGCCAGTCTTCCCCAGGCAGAGCCCCCTCGCTCTGTTCTCAAGCCTTCCCTGCTGCCACTGGGACCCCCAGCTGACTTCTCAGGCTTGGGATCTGGGCCTGCCTCTTCCTAAGACCAGGGCTCCCCTCCCTGCCTTTGGTGGCCTGTCTGAATCCTGGACCCTGTCGCGCAGTGTCCCTTCCCCTAGACAGGTGGGGTCTGGTGATGCTCAGGGAGGCAGGGCTCACTCAAGTCCCCTGGGAGACCAGAGAGGATGCAATCTCTGCTTCCAGGGTGGAGGCCTGCAGAGAGCTGGCTGCAGCCAGTCTACACCTGAAGGTGGGGTGGTGGAGTAGGGAGGGACAGGTTGGGTTGAAGTTCAGAGGTCGGACTTCTGCAAGCTGGGCATGGAGGACAGGGCCCTGGCATGAGGCCCTGGGTGTGTGGGGGACAGGCACCTTGGCAGGACAGAGGCTCTGCGAGTGCCCCTTCCCATGTCAGCAGGCCTGTGAGTGGCAGCCAGTGGCCTCTGAGACCCAGTGTCCCTTTTCCCTGGCCTGAGCAGACAGGAGTGTCTTCCTCTGCTCCAGCTCGAGGTTGCCCTAAAATGTGCCTTCCCCAACTGACACACGGGTCCCACAGGCACGAGTGGGCACGGACCCATGTCCACCCCAGGGCACCAGATTCCTCAGGCAGAGGCCCACCGGGCCTGGGCACAGAGGGAGCCCCCTCCTCGGGGTTTCAGGGCCCTGGACAGATCCAGCCTGCAAGCTGCATGCAGGAACCCACCAGGCCGCTGGAGTCCTTGCAGGCGAGTGGCCTGGCTTGGTTGGGTCAGCCTGAGTCAGATTCCCTGTCCCTTGGGCTGAGGGGGCCGCCGCCCTCCCGTCTCCTGCCTTTTCCCACGACTGCAGGGAGGAGCCTCAGCGCGCCCAAAGTGAAAGAGAAAGTCGCTCCCCCGAGGCGGCCCCGCCCCGCCCCGCGGCCAATCCCCGCAGCCGGCGCCGCCCTCGGCCGCCGGGTCTCCTCGGTGAGCTCGCCGGCTGTAGGCTCCGAGCCGGGTCCGGTGCACCTCCGGGTGAGCGGGACATGGGGCGGGGGGCGGCGGCGGAGGCAGAGGGTCCCGCCTGGCCGGTGAAAGCCGGGGTGAAGGTCACCAGTCCTTGGACGGACCGCGGGTGTGAGCCAGCCGTGTGACCCTGGGCCGCAGGGCCGTGCAGGAGAGCCTGACAGCTGGCTTCTGCCGGGGCCTGGGGGAGGCAGGGGGAGGCCCCTGGAGCCCTGCTCTAGTGAAAGGGGCCTCTCTTCTTCCCAGGCCTAGAGTGGGTGGGGGACCGACCCCAGGGAGCCTCAGAAGGGCAGCCATCCTCCTCCCACTGGCCCCCTGCCGTGCCCCCACGCAGCCCTGAAGCTGCCAGGGGTTCTGGGATCCTGTTTGTGTGTTTGTGTTTCTGCTTAGGAGTGAGATTCCTGGACGCGGTGGAGAGGTGGTAGGAGCTCGGGTGGGCGAGGATGGTGCTTTTCCGAGGGGAGGCGTGTTTGGGGATCCAGTGTTGAAACTGCCCTGGCACTGGGGGCTGCACCTGAGCTGGCAGCGCCTATCTAGGCAGCCCTGAGCAGAGCCTCGGCTGGGGTCCTGGGTTGCCAGGGAGGAGACTCCAACCTCCCTCCTGAAGAGGCCAGGGACCAGCTGCTTCTGTTCAAGGTTGGGGGGGTGCATCACCACCACCCAGGCTAGTCTGAGGTGCCCTGGCTGTCAGATTGGCCTCAGCCGCTGCCTCTCTTAGAGGCTCCTGGCCCTTTAAACTGAACAGGCTCACGTGCATGCTCTGCTGCGGGTGCACGTGAGCTTATGTGTGAGCAAGGCCTGCTGGGAGGGCAAGCTGTTGGGGGGCCTCAAAGGGAGGCAGGATGGCCCCAGGGATGGGTCAAGTAGCAGGCACTGACCCCCCCCCGAAGCATGGGTGGTGGTGGCAGGAGACCTCTGGGAGAAGCTTATTTCTCTGGTGCGCCCCTGAACTTTCTGCCCCGCCTCCTGATGATTTCAGCCCCTCTTCCTTCTAGGACCAAAGGGGTGATTTTAAAATCCCCCTGAACGAGGAGGACGCCCCTCCCCCCTGGACTGCCACCTTGTCCGCCTCCACCACCAGGCATCTGCCTCTCCACCTCGTCCTACCTGGGTGTGCTCGAGATAAATGGCTGATAAGCAGATCAGGTCAGAGTGCGACCCTGCCTTTGGTCTTGGCCCAGCCCCTACCTGCCCTGACCAGTGACCGCCATCCTGACACTCCCTCTCCCCACAGTCTGCCAGCCAAGCTCATCAATGGCGGCATCGCTGGGCTGATCGGGGTCACCTGCGTGTTCCCCATCGACCTGGCCAAGACGAGGTTGCAGAACCAGCAAAATGGCCAGCGCATGTACACCAGCATGTGAGCGCTCCTGGGGGTGGGGGGCTGGCCAGCACATGTCTGGGGATGGGGATGGAGGGGAGGCCAGGGGACACCTGGGGGCAGGGGCAGCAGGCATGAGGAGCCATGTGTTGTGGGGGCTGCGGAGGTCAGACTCCTGCTCTGCACCTGAGTCCCCCCACCCCTGTTACTAAAGAGGAAGCTGAGGCAGGGCAGGCCTGGGGGAGCTCCTACCAGGATCTGCGTTGCTCCCCGGCGGGTCCCCAGCTCACCCCCAGCTTACCCCACCCCCTGGCCGCAGGTCGGACTGCCTCGTGAAGACCATCCGCTCAGAGGGCTACTTCGGCATGTACCGTGGTGAGGCTCGATGGGGTCCTGGGTGGCCCTGTCCCTCAGCCTTGGGTCCGCCAGTGGCCGGGAGGCAGGAGGGAAGGCAAGACAGCAGCGGGGCCTGGGTATGAGTGTGCCTCTGGGGCCACCAGCGGGGTGTGGGCACCGCGCTGGGCTGGATGACAGGATCTCTGCGGAGGGGCCCTTCTCAGCCCCCTCCCAGGGCATCACCCTGCCCTCCATTCACTGCCAGCACACAGCAAGGCAGGACACTGTGTCTCTTCGTCAGTGGCTTCAGCCTCCTCCCCTGCCTTCTGGTACAGGCAGGACACCATCTGTGCCAGGACGCTGGGAGTGGGTGGGAGGCATTACTGCAAAGCAGCTTAGGAAGCAGTCCCCAAGCCCAGTTGCCCACATGCTGGGCAGCCCTAAACCCTCACGGCCGAGAGGGCCCCTCACCCACACCAGGCCAGGTGTGGCCATGCACATGGCGTCCTTTCAGCCAGCACCAGCACCTTTTGACCTGGGGAGAGGGGCTCCTCAGCGAGGCCCACCAGGCTGGAGCAGGAGGCTGTGCAGAGCGCCTGCAGGCCCTGCCCCTGTCCCCGCCTGTGTCCACCACCACCCGGCACAAATGTGGGTGAGAGGGCAGGACGCGGCGGCCAGGGAGTGACTGTGGTACCCTTGCCAGCTGGAAGGCCAGGGCTGGCTGAGAGCCTGCCAGCCGGGCTACCAACCTGCCCATGTTCCCCCGTGTGCCCCACAGGAGCTGCTGTGAACCTGACCCTTGTCACCCCAGAGAAGGCCATCAAGCTGGCAGCCAATGACTTCTTCCGATACCAGCTTTCCAAAGATGGGTGAGGGGTGGGGGCTTCTGCCTGGCAGCTGGGGCCCAAGATCGTGAGGGGGAGAGGGGAGGGGTCTAAGCCTGCAGGCAGGACAAAGGCTCTGCCCCCCCTCATCCCCTCACCTTGACCTGGCGGGGTCTCCTCCCCCGTCCTCCCCACCTCTGAATGGGGGGCAGTGGGGGAGGTGCTGAGCCAGTGGTCCTTTGCCTCCAGCCACTATCACCCCTTGTAGGTTAGGATTCGGGCCACATCAGCCAGCCTTCCCCTGTCACCAGAGGATGGAACTGAGCGGGTAGCCCACTGGGGCACTGGAGGCCCCCAGCCTCTCCATTTGTCTTTGCTCAAAATCGGCCTCGCTGCCTTTCCGAGGCCTTGCCCGTGTGCCGTCTGCCTGCTGGGCTTGATGCCCATGGCTGGAAGGCCTGGAGGAGTAGCTGGCCAAGGGGTGCTGTGCCCCCACAGGGCTGCATCTGTCCCCACTGCTCCCCTTCCCCTTCACACCCAGGCACAGTGGGCAACCCTGGATGGTGGGACCTCTGACTCTTCACCAAGGCCCCCCTCTGCGCTGCAGGCAGAAGCTGACCCTATTTAAGGAGATGCTGGCAGGCTGTGGAGCGGGCACCTGCCAGGTGATCGTGACAACCCCCATGGAGATGCTGAAGATCCAGCTTCAGGACGCGGGCCGCATTGGTGAGAGCGTGCAGGGGAGAGGGGGGTGGGAGGGGCAGCCAGAGCCGGATCCCCGCCCTCCCTGAATTGGGAGGGAGAGCAGCAGGCCCCTCCCCATTCTCCCAGATGCCCAGAAGAAGATACTGGCTGCCCAGACCCAGCTCCCAGCCCAGGGGGACACCCGACCACCAGTGGAGGCTCCATCTGCCCCGCGGCCCACGGCCACCCAGCTGACCCGGGACCTGCTGCAGAGCCGTGGCATCGCTGGCCTCTACAAGGGACTTGGAGCCACGTTGCTCAGGTGGGAGGGATGGAGAGGCTGGGAGGAAGGGGGCCCACCTGCTGGCACCTACCTCCTGGTCACCACTGACCCCCTCCATAGGGACGTCCCCTTCTCCGTTGTGTACTTCCCCCTCTTTGCCAACCTGAACCAGCTGGGCCAGCCAGCGTCCGGAGAGAAGTCTCCTTTCTATGTGTCCTTCCTGGCTGGCTGCGTGGCCGGGAGTGCAGCTGCAGTGGCTGTCAACCCCTGTGATGGTCGGTGCCCTGGGGAAGGGGGCTGGGGTCGAGGGGCTGGGCAGGAGGCTGGCAGGGCCCTACCCTGACTGCACACCCCCTGCAGTGGTGAAGACGCGGCTGCAGTCACTCCAGCGCGGCCTCAACGAGGACACTTACTCCGGCTTTCTGGACTGTGCCAGGTGGGCAAGGCCCCAAGGCAGTGGGCTGAGGGGGCCCCAGTGCCCGCTCTGACCCACCTCTCCCTGCAGGAAGATCTTGCAGCATGAGGGCCCCTCGGCCTTCCTGAAGGGCGCCTACTGCCGTGCCCTGGTCATCGCCCCGCTCTTCGGCATCGCTCAAGTGGTCTACTTCCTGGGCATCGCCGAGACGCTGCTGGGGCTGCTGCAGCCCCCGCAGCCCCCCAGGCCTTCAGCCCAGCTGGACCAGACTGCGGCCAGAGCCGGGCGGCCTGCCCAGGACTGAGCAAGGGAATGTCTTTCCCCACCCCTCCCCACATGGACGGGAGAGGCTGAGGAAGGGGCTCAGGGGCCACATGGGTGGTCCACACATGGCCTCCCAGGAGTCCTGCCTGCGCAACCACTGGGATCAATGTCTTATTTATGTAGAAAATGTGGAAATCTTTACATTCCCGGAGCCGGCCCCTACCCAGCCCTGCCCTGGCCAGAGTACCCCCAGGACAGAGCTGGTCTCTATACTGGGGGCCTCAGACCTGGGATAGGCAGGCAGGACCCTACACTCCAGTCTGCCAGCTTTTGTCGCCGAGGCTTGGCCCCTCATCCACAGAGGGACCCCACACAGACCTACTCATTAGCATGTGGAGCGCAGTGGTTCTGTCCATCCCCTCTGTCCGTGGTCAGCCTCCCTGCTACTCTCCTCGCCTCAGCCAAGACTCCGTTTTGCACCTTGGCAAGCTTTGCAGGAGGATTGGGGTCTGCTGCCCCCACCGCATTGAGCCAGGGGTCCCAAGTGGGAGGTTCTGCTTAGTAGTGACTCCCGGGGCAAGCCTACTCCTCACTACTGTGGGACCCAGTATCCCTTCTGGTGGCCCTCCTGCCCCCGCCCTAGGCTGGGGGCCCAGAGCATGTGAGGTGTGTATGTCCAGGTGTGGGGAGCGGGTTGTGTCTACAAGCCCTCAGCTGACCTTGCCTCTCAGGGATGGGGCCCTGGGAGGCTGCTCCCTTCCCCCACGGCCAGGATATGTATGTATGTATGTATGTATGTATGTATGTATGTATGTATGTGTGTGTGTGCGTGCGCGCACGCGCTGTATGTGCCCTAGACTCCCCTCTGACCCCATCTAGGAATTGATTTCTCCAACCCGGCCCCTATTGCTTCATCTTCAGCAGACCCCTCTTCTGAGACCCCCCACCCTGGGTCTCCGATTAGCCAGTGGGGAGGGGAGGGATTAGGACCAGTATGGAGCCTGGAGCATCTGCTCTGCTTTCTGAGGTCTGGGAACTACCCTAGGCCTCCCAGGCTCACCCTGTTCTCTGGGCCTCTGCATAAGGCCCTTGACCACACTCCATAAGCTCTGCCCTCCCAGCCCCCAGACCCCCTGATGTCGTGAATTGAGTGGCCACGTGATTGGTGATTGTGTTGGTGATTGATTCTGACATGCTGGTGCTGTGTCCCTCAACCTGGGCCCCCTCAGTGGAGGCCCTCCCCAGTGACACTACCTGGGGCTCTGGCCTGGGCCCCTTGTTCACGGTTGTTCCTGGGAGCTGCCCCCTCCCGTCACATCTGTACCTTGGAAGCTGCTGCTTTACAGAATTATATTTTTTTCTTTTGAAAAGTTTTAAAAGTTGTAACTTTTGTGTCTTGTCATGTAAGAAGATAAATAAATATTCTAAGTAGATGCCTTCTGTCTGAGACAACTCTTAAGGGGTGAAGGGAAAGGGCAGCCCCCCTTGGTTACTGGCCCCCCAACCGCGGCAGACCCCAGTCCGTCTGCCCACCCACTGACGGCACATTGTCCCGAGGGGATCCTGGGTGGAGCCGCTCCGTGACTCCCGCGCTGCCTAGGTTGGGGGTAAGAGAAGGGCAGCCTCAGCCCCTCGCCTCCCCGGCCCTAAGCAGCCCTTGGGGGACCCCAGAGCTCCCTGCCGGCGGCGGGGAGCGGGGCCGGCCGGGGGGCGGGGCCGGCGCGGATCGGTCCCGCCCCCCTGCTTCCTGCGCGGGGCGGTGCATTGTGGGAAACTCCCAGTCCCCGCAGCCGCCGCAGCCGCCGCCGCAGCCGCTGCCGCCTGGTCTTGCGGAGAGCGCGCAGCGCTGAACGGGTAGCGCCGGGAGCAGCAGCGTAAGGCGGCGGGGGTTCCGAGGCCGGGCCCGGGGCGGGACGAGGATCTGGGCCCCGCGGGGCGATGCGGCGGTACCCCGCCTTGAAGGTCACCGGGAGGCGCCCGCGGGCCCTTTGCTCTTGGGCACTGCGGCCCGGCGCGGGGTTGGGGGAGCGGGGGGTACCGGCAACCGGCTGACGTCAGTGCGAGCCAGAAATAACCGAGGGTCTTGGGGTGGGAGAGCAGACCACTGGCCCTCGGCGACCTTGACGTGTAGGAGCTGGCCGCCCCTCCAGAGTGGCTGGGGTGAGGGCTGCTGGGGCTCCTGGGAAGTGCGGCAGCAGCTGGGGCTCCCACCGGGACACTCCAATCCCAGTGTGACCTTCAGACGACCTCCGGTGTGGTTAGTGTCGCTGGCCAGGGCAGGGAACCTGGGCTGCCACTCTCACAGGCTCCCAATCCCTGAGGGTGGGGCTGGGGTTTCTCATCCTCCTCAGGGATGGGAGACAGGTGGTATCTAGGTCCTCCAGGAGGGATAACTCAGACGCAGGTGGCTAGGCCCCATTTCCCCCCCATCCCAGAGATTGGGGATCTGGACCAGGCCTTTCCTACAGTGGCCGGCCCAGATTCAGGGATGCTGACACTGACAGCTACAGGGGATGCCCCCATCTGGCGCACACCAGGGACCCCTTTGCCCCTGAGACAGGCACAGCCCTCAGCTCAGGAAGGCTTTGCCTTTAAGCTGAAGCAGGCAAAGCCGGTCTTGTGGGTGCTCACCAGGAGCCGGGGAGCAGCTGATGGCTGGCAGGGAGCAAAGGCCTGTCGCTGCCCACCTGGCTTCTCCAGCTTCATGGGGAGATACCTCAGCATGTGGCATCCAGAGACTGCTGGCATGGGCCCCCTCCCGCCCCACTGGTGCTGAGAGCCCAGACCCTGGATTTCTGCCCTGCCCAGAGCCCCCTCTGCTAAGACCCAGTTGCCCTCCTAAGAAGGGTACATTGTTGGTTCTGCCCAGGCCCACTGTGGCTGCTGTCCACCTCCCCTGACCACACACCCTTCCCAGGTCTGGGTGTGTGCTCACTTCCCTGAAAGGGCCTCCTTACTACAGGCCAGTGTGATGGACACAGCATGTGTGGGCAGGACCATTCTGCACAGGAGGAAACGGAGGCCTCCTGCAGGTCCAATCCTGCAACCCCAGCCCGTGGGGGGCCTGTAGCCTGTCCCTGTGTTGTTGGAGGGACTTCTCAGGGAGCAGCCAGGGGCAGAGGAGGCCAACCCTGGAAGAGGGGCATCCTGAGCCAGCTCCTGGAGGAGTCAGAGAGCTGGGCAGAGCCTCTGCAGGGATGAGGCAGTGGGGCTATACAGGAACGCTGAGTCTCCTGCCACGGGGTCTTTGTGTTTCCCTCCAGGCCCATGTAATGCCCGAGGGTGAGCTGTCCTGAGCTGCTGTGGTCCAGCCACCTGCCCATTCACGTACACGCCGCGCAGCCTGCCAGCAGCACCTGCCATGGAGTCCAGAGGGAAGTCGGCCAGCAGCCCCAAGCCTGAAACCAAGGGACCCCAGGCTGGTGCCGAGGCCAGAGCCCCCGCAGCTGCAGATGGGAAAGCCCTCTTGGCTAAGCCCGGGAAGAAGGAAGCTCAACCAGAGAAGCAGGAGTCTCCTGCAGCCCCCACCCCTCCATCTGCCAAGAAGACCCCTGCCAAGGCAGACCCTGCCCTTCTCAACAACCACAGCAACTTGAAGCCAGCCCCTGCGGCCCCCAGCAGCCCAGATGCCACCCCTGAGCCCAAGGGCCCTGGGGATGGGGCTGAGGAGGACAAGGCCCCCAGCAGGGGCCCAGAGGATCGAGGCCCCTGCCCTTTTGAGAACTTGACCCCCCTGCTGGTAGCTGGTGGGGTGGCTGTGGCAGCTGCAGCCCTGATTTTTGGCCTGATCTTCCTGGCGCGGAAAAAATGATGGCTGGTGCCCAGGTGCCCACTTCCTGTACAGACCTCGAGAATCCAGTGCATGCCGAACTCACATACCACTATCCATACACTCGTACATCCGTAATATATATACATATATACCCCCACGTACATGCAGAGGGAGAGAGGGCAGCCCCCAAAAGCAGAAACTAAGCCCCCTCAGCTGGCCCCCCAGGGATTCCCCCTCTCAATGTCCACGGCAGAAAGAGTCCAGGCCCTGGATTTCCCAGACTGCCCCAAGTGGGGCTCTGACATTGGCTGGAGAGACTCTGATGCCAGCCTGGGCCAAGGTACCTTGGGCCAGTGGAAAGGGTGGTCCCTGAGTGTGGCCTGCCCACACACAGGCAGGCGTATCCAGAATGAAAGTGCTCACACGTGCCAGCCTGTCCTGAGAGGCCCCAGGGGCCCTGTGGGCCTCCTGGCAGCAGCATCCTGAGGGGCCCCCAGTGATGGGAACTCCAGGGCTGGGCAGGGGTTTGGGATGGGTTCCAACCTGGGTCTAGCCCATGTGGGGACATTAAAGGGTGTGGCTGTCTCTCCCCTTTTCTGTTCTTCACTTGGAACTGGGTAGTGGGGGGTCCACTTGGGTGGGTCTGGTCAGTGGGGCTGACTTGAAGTGGTCAGTCAGGTTAGCAGAGCTTCCATGCCACCTCTGTCCATTGACTGAATGCTGGCTGGCTGGACTGAACCCAGAGAACGGTCTCTCACAGCTCACCTGATAGCTTGTGCCTCAGGGGAGCCCCTGAGGCTGGGGCCACCACACTTCCTGCCTGGGGCCCCCTCCCCATCCTGCAGCAATTAGCCAAGAGCCTGGCAGGAAGGCAGGTATCAGGGACCCGCCTGGCAGTTGTGCCTGCCCAGTCCCTGTAGGTGGCCCCTCCTGCCTCATCCAGTGTCCTGAGTCTAACAAGCGTATAAATGCAATAACAGGTAGAGTAGAACCGCTTGGTGGGTGACCGTCACCCAAGTCCGCTGCCCCACTGCGCCTGCAGGGAGACGGTGCTGTGCAGCCCCCTCAGCATGTCTGGTCTCAGCCTGGCTCCTGACGGGGTGACATCAGGCAGGCTCTGGAGGTTGGTGGTGGGCATGCAGGAACCTGACGTGCCCTTGCCTGGCCCGCTGGGCTGAGTGGAGACTAGTCTGAAATAAACTCTATTGTCTAAAGACTGCGCTTTTGTCCTCCTCACCTGCACGTGGCCAGGAGAGAGACAGGGGCTTCCTGTCCAGGTATGGGCAGCAGGGGGTGTCACATATGCACAGCAGGGCTTTCCAGGGAGGGCTAGGGAGCCCCAGATACTCCTCACCAGCCCCTCCTGCCACCTCCATGCCCTGCGCCATCCCAGACAGCCACACCCAGGACTTTGTGGGCACCCACCCTCAGGCCCAGGCTGCTGACCAGGGTGCACAGGGCAGAGTTGGGACTGAGCAGTTGAATGGGGCAGGGACCCTGCTCCTCAGGTTGGTGTCTCCAGCCCTGACTGCTCCACGCATCTCTGTGGGCGCAGAGGAGGCTGTGGGAAGGGGGCTTCCTCCTCTCATCACTTGCTGCTCACAGCTCCCAGAGCCCACTCTGGCCGGGTGTCCAACTGGCCAGGCCTTCCTGTGTCCCAGCTGGGGCGAGACCACTGGGTGTGGACTGGGGTGAGCAAGGCCCCATTGGGCCCCAGCAGTGCACCTGCAGGATTTGTACCCTGGGCCCTTCCTCTGCCAGGCCTCCTTTGAGCTGGCATGGGAGGGCACATCTTCCCCTTCTTTTCCCAGTACACCTCCTCCAAAAGTGGCACGACCCATCCATGTTCCCACATCTCAGGCCCAAACTAGTCTAGAGACTTGCCTTGGGCTGAAAACGCCCCAGACAGGCCCAACACCCTCGTCCAGACCTGCCCCCCGCCCCCCTCCTCTTGCCATCCAGCCCCCCCTCCCATTTTCTCTAGTCTGCGCTTGGCACCTTAAAAACCCACAAGCCCATCCTGACATTTTAGGGCTCAGGGAGGGAGCACAGGTGAATATGAGGAGGGTCTGTCAGCTTCAGCTGGAAGCCCCTTTGACACTGAGCCTTCACCCATGAGGCCGCCCCGTGTATTTATCAAGTCCCCATTACAGGATGTTTAGGTGGTTTCAAAAACCTCTGCAACTTGAGACAAAGCAGTCATGAAAATCCCTGTAGCACCTCGTGCCTATCTCTCTGAGGTGAGAAGTGTGGACCACACACACACCTTCTGTTTTTGGTTTATTGTAAAATGCACATAACATTAAACTCACTGTCATAACCATTTCTAATCGTACGCTCAGTGGCATTAAGCACATTCATGTTGTCTGCAGCTATCACCATCTCCAGAACTTTCCATCTCCCCAAACTGAACTCTGTCTCCATTAAACACTAACCTCCCCTCCTCAGCCTGGGCGCCCCCCCACTAACCACCTCTGTGCAGCTGACTCCTCTAGGTTCCCCTACGACAGGAATCACGCAGGATCTGTCCTTTTGTGATGGGCTTATTTCCCTTAGCATGATAGCCCCCAGGTTCTTCCACACCGTGCAGGGGTCAGGATCCCCTTCCTTTTTAGGGCTGAGTAATATCCCATCGTGTAGACTGACCATGTTTTGTGCATCCATTTGTCCATCGGTGGACACCTGGGTTCTTCAGCCTCTGGGCTGTCGTGAGTCATGCCACTGGGAATGCAGGTAAGCGAATGTCAGGGGCCTTGCATCACTTCTCTTAGATGCATACCCAGATGTGGGGTGGCAGTGTCATGCGGTGTGTGCATCTTAACCCTGCTGCTCCATCTTGGGCCTGTGGGTTGCCCATGGCTCACTTCTCCCCTCACCCTGGTGGCCCGGGTGGCTGGGGCACTCTGGGTTCCACCGGTCTGACTGGGCACCCTGCCTGTTCCCATTTACACCTGTGCCCATTGGATGTGCTCCTCTTCCCAAAGTCCTCGCCTTTTGCAATTTTTCCTGTTGGTGCCATCTGCCCATTTTTCCTTTTGGAACCCTCTTCTAATTTACTAGGAGGATTTCCTTATGTGTTCTGCATACCAAGCCTTTGTTAAAACATCATCACTCCATTTCTGGCTTTCCTTGGGTTCCGAGGCCGGGCCCGGGGCGGGACGAGGATCTGGGCCCCGCGGGGCGATGCGGCGGTACCCCGCCTTGAAGGTCACCGGGAGGCGCCCGCGGGCCCTTTGCTCTTGGGCACTGCGGCCCGGCGCGGGGTTGGGGGAGCGGGGGGTACCGGCAACCGGCTGACGTCAGTGCGAGCCAGAAATAACCGAGGGTCTTGGGGTGGGAGAGCAGACCACTGGCCCTCGGCGACCTTGACGTGTAGGAGCTGGCCGCCCCTCCAGAGTGGCTGGGGTGAGGGCTGCTGGGGCTCCTGGGAAGTGCGGCAGCAGCTGGGGCTCCCACCGGGACACTCCAATCCCAGTGTGACCTTCAGACGACCTCCGGTGTGGTTAGTGTCGCTGGCCAGGGCAGGGAACCTGGGCTGCCACTCTCACAGGCTCCCAATCCCTGAGGGTGGGGCTGGGGTTTCTCATCCTCCTCAGGGATGGGAGACAGGTGGTATCTAGGTCCTCCAGGAGGGATAACTCAGACGCAGGTGGCTAGGCCCCATTTCCCCCCCATCCCAGAGATTGGGGATCTGGACCAGGCCTTTCCTACAGTGGCCGGCCCAGATTCAGGGATGCTGACACTGACAGCTACAGGGGATGCCCCCATCTGGCGCACACCAGGGACCCCTTTGCCCCTGAGACAGGCACAGCCCTCAGCTCAGGAAGGCTTTGCCTTTAAGCTGAAGCAGGCAAAGCCGGTCTTGTGGGTGCTCACCAGGAGCCGGGGAGCAGCTGATGGCTGGCAGGGAGCAAAGGCCTGTCGCTGCCCACCTGGCTTCTCCAGCTTCATGGGGAGATACCTCAGCATGTGGCATCCAGAGACTGCTGGCATGGGCCCCCTCCCGCCCCACTGGTGCTGAGAGCCCAGACCCTGGATTTCTGCCCTGCCCAGAGCCCCCTCTGCTAAGACCCAGTTGCCCTCCTAAGAAGGGTACATTGTTGGTTCTGCCCAGGCCCACTGTGGCTGCTGTCCACCTCCCCTGACCACACACCCTTCCCAGGTCTGGGTGTGTGCTCACTTCCCTGAAAGGGCCTCCTTACTACAGGCCAGTGTGATGGACACAGCATGTGTGGGCAGGACCATTCTGCACAGGAGGAAACGGAGGCCTCCTGCAGGTCCAATCCTGCAACCCCAGCCCGTGGGGGGCCTGTAGCCTGTCCCTGTGTTGTTGGAGGGACTTCTCAGGGAGCAGCCAGGGGCAGAGGAGGCCAACCCTGGAAGAGGGGCATCCTGAGCCAGCTCCTGGAGGAGTCAGAGAGCTGGGCAGAGCCTCTGCAGGGATGAGGCAGTGGGGCTATACAGGAACGCTGAGTCTCCTGCCACGGGGTCTTTGTGTTTCCCTCCAGGCCCATGTAATGCCCGAGGGTGAGCTGTCCTGAGCTGCTGTGGTCCAGCCACCTGCCCATTCACGTACACGCCGCGCAGCCTGCCAGCAGCACCTGCCATGGAGTCCAGAGGGAAGTCGGCCAGCAGCCCCAAGCCTGAAACCAAGGGACCCCAGGCTGGTGCCGAGGCCAGAGCCCCCGCAGCTGCAGATGGGAAAGCCCTCTTGGCTAAGCCCGGGAAGAAGGAAGCTCAACCAGAGAAGCAGGAGTCTCCTGCAGCCCCCACCCCTCCATCTGCCAAGAAGACCCCTGCCAAGGCAGACCCTGCCCTTCTCAACAACCACAGCAACTTGAAGCCAGCCCCTGCGGCCCCCAGCAGCCCAGATGCCACCCCTGAGCCCAAGGGCCCTGGGGATGGGGCTGAGGAGGACAAGGCCCCCAGCAGGGGCCCAGAGGATCGAGGCCCCTGCCCTTTTGAGAACTTGACCCCCCTGCTGGTAGCTGGTGGGGTGGCTGTGGCAGCTGCAGCCCTGATTTTTGGCCTGATCTTCCTGGCGCGGAAAAAATGATGGCTGGTGCCCAGGTGCCCACTTCCTGTACAGACCTCGAGAATCCAGTGCATGCCGAACTCACATACCACTATCCATACACTCGTACATCCGTAATATATATACATATATACCCCCACGTACATGCAGAGGGAGAGAGGGCAGCCCCCAAAAGCAGAAACTAAGCCCCCTCAGCTGGCCCCCCAGGGATTCCCCCTCTCAATGTCCACGGCAGAAAGAGTCCAGGCCCTGGATTTCCCAGACTGCCCCAAGTGGGGCTCTGACATTGGCTGGAGAGACTCTGATGCCAGCCTGGGCCAAGGTACCTTGGGCCAGTGGAAAGGGTGGTCCCTGAGTGTGGCCTGCCCACACACAGGCAGGCGTATCCAGAATGAAAGTGCTCACACGTGCCAGCCTGTCCTGAGAGGCCCCAGGGGCCCTGTGGGCCTCCTGGCAGCAGCATCCTGAGGGGCCCCCAGTGATGGGAACTCCAGGGCTGGGCAGGGGTTTGGGATGGGTTCCAACCTGGGTCTAGCCCATGTGGGGACATTAAAGGGTGTGGCTGTCTCTCCCCTTTTCTGTTCTTCACTTGGAACTGGGTAGTGGGGGGTCCACTTGGGTGGGTCTGGTCAGTGGGGCTGACTTGAAGTGGTCAGTCAGGTTAGCAGAGCTTCCATGCCACCTCTGTCCATTGACTGAATGCTGGCTGGCTGGACTGAACCCAGAGAACGGTCTCTCACAGCTCACCTGATAGCTTGTGCCTCAGGGGAGCCCCTGAGGCTGGGGCCACCACACTTCCTGCCTGGGGCCCCCTCCCCATCCTGCAGCAATTAGCCAAGAGCCTGGCAGGAAGGCAGGTATCAGGGACCCGCCTGGCAGTTGTGCCTGCCCAGTCCCTGTAGGTGGCCCCTCCTGCCTCATCCAGTGTCCTGAGTCTAACAAGCGTATAAATGCAATAACAGGTAGAGTAGAACCGCTTGGTGGGTGACCGTCACCCAAGTCCGCTGCCCCACTGCGCCTGCAGGGAGACGGTGCTGTGCAGCCCCCTCAGCATGTCTGGTCTCAGCCTGGCTCCTGACGGGGTGACATCAGGCAGGCTCTGGAGGTTGGTGGTGGGCATGCAGGAACCTGACGTGCCCTTGCCTGGCCCGCTGGGCTGAGTGGAGACTAGTCTGAAATAAACTCTATTGTCTAAAGACTGCGCTTTTGTCCTCCTCACCTGCACGTGGCCAGGAGAGAGACAGGGGCTTCCTGTCCAGGTATGGGCAGCAGGGGGTGTCACATATGCACAGCAGGGCTTTCCAGGGAGGGCTAGGGAGCCCCAGATACTCCTCACCAGCCCCTCCTGCCACCTCCATGCCCTGCGCCATCCCAGACAGCCACACCCAGGACTTTGTGGGCACCCACCCTCAGGCCCAGGCTGCTGACCAGGGTGCACAGGGCAGAGTTGGGACTGAGCAGTTGAATGGGGCAGGGACCCTGCTCCTCAGGTTGGTGTCTCCAGCCCTGACTGCTCCACGCATCTCTGTGGGCGCAGAGGAGGCTGTGGGAAGGGGGCTTCCTCCTCTCATCACTTGCTGCTCACAGCTCCCAGAGCCCACTCTGGCCGGGTGTCCAACTGGCCAGGCCTTCCTGTGTCCCAGCTGGGGCGAGACCACTGGGTGTGGACTGGGGTGAGCAAGGCCCCATTGGGCCCCAGCAGTGCACCTGCAGGATTTGTACCCTGGGCCCTTCCTCTGCCAGGCCTCCTTTGAGCTGGCATGGGAGGGCACATCTTCCCCTTCTTTTCCCAGTACACCTCCTCCAAAAGTGGCACGACCCATCCATGTTCCCACATCTCAGGCCCAAACTAGTCTAGAGACTTGCCTTGGGCTGAAAACGCCCCAGACAGGCCCAACACCCTCGTCCAGACCTGCCCCCCGCCCCCCTCCTCTTGCCATCCAGCCCCCCCTCCCATTTTCTCTAGTCTGCGCTTGGCACCTTAAAAACCCACAAGCCCATCCTGACATTTTAGGGCTCAGGGAGGGAGCACAGGTGAATATGAGGAGGGTCTGTCAGCTTCAGCTGGAAGCCCCTTTGACACTGAGCCTTCACCCATGAGGCCGCCCCGTGTATTTATCAAGTCCCCATTACAGGATGTTTAGGTGGTTTCAAAAACCTCTGCAACTTGAGACAAAGCAGTCATGAAAATCCCTGTAGCACCTCGTGCCTATCTCTCTGAGGTGAGAAGTGTGGACCACACACACACCTTCTGTTTTTGGTTTATTGTAAAATGCACATAACATTAAACTCACTGTCATAACCATTTCTAATCGTACGCTCAGTGGCATTAAGCACATTCATGTTGTCTGCAGCTATCACCATCTCCAGAACTTTCCATCTCCCCAAACTGAACTCTGTCTCCATTAAACACTAACCTCCCCTCCTCAGCCTGGGCGCCCCCCCACTAACCACCTCTGTGCAGCTGACTCCTCTAGGTTCCCCTACGACAGGAATCACGCAGGATCTGTCCTTTTGTGATGGGCTTATTTCCCTTAGCATGATAGCCCCCAGGTTCTTCCACACCGTGCAGGGGTCAGGATCCCCTTCCTTTTTAGGGCTGAGTAATATCCCATCGTGTAGACTGACCATGTTTTGTGCATCCATTTGTCCATCGGTGGACACCTGGGTTCTTCAGCCTCTGGGCTGTCGTGAGTCATGCCACTGGGAATGCAGGTAAGCGAATGTCAGGGGCCTTGCATCACTTCTCTTAGATGCATACCCAGATGTGGGGTGGCAGTGTCATGCGGTGTGTGCATCTTAACCCTGCTGCTCCATCTTGGGCCTGTGGGTTGCCCATGGCTCACTTCTCCCCTCACCCTGGTGGCCCGGGTGGCTGGGGCACTCTGGGTTCCACCGGTCTGACTGGGCACCCTGCCTGTTCCCATTTCCACCTGTGCCCATTGGATGTGCTCCTCTTCCCAAAGTCCTCGCCTTTTGCAATTTTTCCTGTTGGTGCCATCTGCCCATTTTTCCTTTTGGAACCCTCTTCTAATTTACTAGGAGGATTTCCTTATGTGTTCTGCATACCAAGCCTTTGTTAAAACATCATCACTCCATTTCTGGCTTTCCTCTCTCTCTCTCTCTCTCTCTCTCTCTCTCTCTCTCTCTCTCTCCTGGGCACAAGGTTCTAAAATCTGAGTTTATCACAGGTAACCCTTGTTCCCCTTCCATGTGAACTGTTGAGATCTTGGTTAGAAGGTTGGCCTCCCATGTTGCTAGTCTAACGTTCTTGGCATTTACTTATTTCGGCCTTCAGTCTATTGGGACCTTAGGTTTTGTGTATGGGGTAAGTCAGATGCCTGTTCTTTCTCTCCCACCAGGACCCGAAAGGCCAGCATGAGGATGCGGATGGGGCCCCTGACCCATGGTGGTGCCATTCCTTGCTCTCACTTCCCAGCTCAGCCAGGGCCTGTTCTCCCGGCACCTGTCACGAGACCACACTACATCCATGACTATGGTTTTGTGGCATCACTTTGTAACGACCTCCTGTGTCTTTATTTCTTTTTAATTCCCACACACCCTCAGTCACTGGGGTCTCCTCCCGGGGACTGTTAGAATCGGTTGGCTGAGGTCCCTAGGATTCCATGTGGGGGTCTGATGCTCAGCTTCTGTTTTGTTGCATCCCTACACTTGACAAATGTAGGGACCCTTCCAAAATAGAAAAAAAAATGCTCTCAAGGATGCCCAGGGCTGGTTTAAATCATTTTTATTACAGAACTACTTTTAAAATCTAAACAACATACCAGATATAAAAGGTATTCAGTATGTAGAAAGTACACAGTGTACATCCGAATCAACCGTACAAGGACAACTGGAAAACGAGGACTCGGGTGGGCAGCAGCATCTGTAGGGACAGAGGTGTCCATGGGCTGGGCACTGATCAGGGAGGCCCCTAGGGCTCCATGTGGACTCCCCAGGGATCTTGGCTCCCAGCCATTGCTTTCTGAGCACTTGTGTCTTAGGTCTCTGTCCCCGTGCCATGATGTGCCATGTCCCATGTGGACTCTGCAGGGCACGTGTAGGCATCCTTTGCTCTAAGAAGTCAGAGGCTGGGGAACTGCTTTGCCTTCTTCTCTAGTACCCCTACCCCCCGCAGAGTGTGCGGTGCCTCTCTGGGGACTCTAGCCATGGAATGCATTCTTGGTGGACCTGGGCATAGGGCTGGCCAATGCCCCAAGAGCCCCCTCCCCAGATATGGGCAAGGGGCCAGGACAGGTCCACTAGAATCTCCCTTTCACAGTTGAGGTTGAGTTACCAAGCCCAAGGGAGGACAGGTGGTGGGCAGTCAGTGCTCCAGACATCCCCCCACCTTGGGCTGCAAGTCAGGCCCCTCTAACTTCTGGGTCTTTAGTGCACCCCTGGCCCCATGGATCCCTGACCTCAATTTGGCCCCAGGGCTGGGAAGGCAGAGGCTCCCTGTGTCCTGGCATTCTTGGAAGTCGGAAGTCTCAGTCTGGTGTCAGGCCCCAGCGGAACAGTGCTCGCTGTCAGTGTTGCTGAACAGAGAGAGGGGCTGAGCGGTCTGCCACCTGCCCTCTGCAGCACTGGGGGGCTGTCCTGGCTGGAGAGAGGCTATGCCTCATGACGTCGCAGGAGCCCTGAGGTGATGTCCCCGGGGCCCACCCCTGGCTGAGGGAACAAAGGCTGGTGTCAGTCGGCAGTTGACCTCTTCCCCCCTCCAGCCCAGCGGTACCTGGAGGTGTTTGAGGGGACCCCCATCCATCCCTCCTCTGGATCCTCCCAGGTACCCGCTGCTTGCTGTCCTGATGTCCTCGGCATTGGGATAGGTTGTTGGGGCAGAGCCCGCCCCCAGTCTCCCCACCCAGGCCACAAAATGCTGCTGCCAGTCTCCTGCCAGGTACCTTCCAACCAGCCCCTGCTGGGCTGGGAGCAGACAGTGGAGCCAACTCTCTTCCCATCAGTGCTGCTGATGCCCGTCGGTGGAGGGACCCTGTGCTGCTTGCAGCTTGCTGCCCTGGCCTCAGCAGCCTCATGCTTCAGGGGCTGTCACCTGCCACCCTTTGCTTCCTGGTAAAGGGTCCATGGGACTCCCAGGTCTCTACGCGGACCAGTCAACCCAGCCTCCGTCAAAGGAGACCCCGGAGCTGGGGGTCCTGAGTCCCACTGGGAAGGGGGATGCAGCTGGAGCCCAGGACCTGAGCCGCCTTACTGGCTGCCTGGGTAACAGGGCTGCCACGGCACACCTGCCTGAGAAAGCCCCAATACCAAGTCCACATATGTCACCCGGTGGTCAGGCCACGCTGACAAAGGGCACTCGGCCCAGCCCTGGCGCGTGAGTTCTCAGAAAGGAAGTGCTGGACCGATGGTGCTCCTGGTGCCCATGGGCTTTGAGAGGCAGAAGTGTGACAGGCGGAGAGGAGCTCCATCATTATGTAGGATGTAGCAGCGGGAGAGAACCCTAGTGGACAGGCAGGGACCCCGGTCCACGGGGTGGGGGTGCTGCGTTGGGAGGAGAGGACACACTCTCCACTGGACTGGGACCCTTGGCCCCGGCGGGAGAATGGGGGGGGGACCCTTGCCCCAAGGGGTGTGGGCCTCCCGTCCACGGGGAGGGACCAGGGGTCTTTCAGGGCTGCTGAGGCCTCTGCCCGTGAAGACCCTCGGTGCTGTCTCCGGCCTCCGTGCGCGCCAGCGCGGACCCCACTGCGGGACCCCAGCAGCCGCCGAACACGGCGTTGCCAGGGCCGCGTGGGAGAAGGATAGCGCATGCGCCCGGCGCTGCTCGCGGCCCCGCCCCCAGACTGCCACCGCACGTGACCGCGGCGCCCAGGCCGCGCCCGCCCTCTCCGCGCGCGCGCAGGTATCCCAGAACCCATGGCGTCCGAGCGGCCCTCGAGCCGGCCTGCGTGCCTCCTTGTGGCCAGCGGCGCGGCTGAGGGTGAGGCCCGACCCGAGCTCAGCGTGCGGGCTTCAGGGGATCGAGCCGGCCCTGGCCCGGGGGCTCTCGGGCTGGCGTCTCTGCAGGCGGACTAGGGGAGGCTGGGAACTGGGCGGCCTGGGGGCTGGGGTCCGGCCTGGGGCCCAGAGTGGGAATCCTGCGGCCTGGGAGACAGCAGTCTGGGCCTTTGAGAGCAGGAGGGCCGTGAGCCCACGTCCCCCTGTACCCACCCTTCTTTCGGCCCGCCTTGCACACACCCAGGAGGATGAGGGGTCGGAGAAGGGACTGTCCAGGGGGGTACTGCTGATGTGCAGGAGCACTGCGCCCCATAGCCCTGCCATGCGGCAAAGGTACGGGAGAGGGAGTGAGGGGCTTGCGCAGGACCCAGCGAGGCTGGCGCGGTCTCTGTTGCTGGTACTGACTCTCAGGGGCAGGGACGGAGGAGCTGGAGGGCGCCTATCCTGTCCTGAGCACTTCCCAGGTCCTCCCCTGTGCTTCCTGGTCGCAGGGGGCGTCACGAATCCAAAGTCACTTTGGGGGAGGTGGAGAGCCAGGGTTGGGACCTGGGGTCTGGCTCAGCTACCTTGACCTCTGTAGCTGCCCAAGTGGGTGGGAGAAAGGATGGCAGGCCAGGGGTTCGTAGTTTGGGGAGCCTCAGGGGCCCTAAACAGTGTTCCCAGAGTGAGGGTGGGAGGAACTGGGGCCCCCCTCCACCCTGCACGGGGAGATGGACGGTGGGAGGTACCAGTTGGGAGTGGGTTCAGTCCTGGGTTGGCAGGTTGGAAGTTTCGGCCAAAGATGGCTGGTTGGAGTGGGTGAGGAAGGGTTGCGCCAGCTAGGCTGTGCCATGGGATGTTGGGGACACCTGAGAAGGCCACTAGGCAGAAGAGGGGCAGGGGCAAGCCAGGGTCCTGGTCCCTGGGGAGGGGCTGGGCTACACCTGTGTTCCTGCTGACATTTGCCACAGCCCCACCCCCACGGGCACAGGCCTTGCTCACTGCTGCCTCCCTGGGGTCTGTAGTGGGAACAGCGCTCAGTCCTGGAGGTTCAGTGCGTGGGGAGCTGAGTGTAAGGGAGCCTGGCATTTAGGTTTGTCCTATGAAAAGGCCTCTTGTGGCTGGGCCAAGGAGAACTCCCTGGGGGATGAGAGGCCGGTGGGTTGGGCCAGGGTGAAGTGGAGAAGGGCTGCGCCTCAAGGTGGTTCTGGACCTGGGGGCTGGGGTGGGGCTGTGAGCCACAGACACATGTCCTTGCTGCAGGTGTGTCCGCCCAGTCTTTCCTGCACTGTTTCTCGCTAGCCAGCGCCGCCTTCAACCTGCAGGTGGCCACCCCGGGGGTGAGTCCAGCCACCCTGCTGGCGAGCTGCTGGGGGGGTGGGGGCTGCCTTCTGGGGGCAAGGCTGGGAGTGTGCATGGAGCTCTGGGCTCTGCAATGGTGTGGCCCCGGGTGGGGGATGGCAGTGATGTGTTTCTCACTTTGAGTGTTTGCAGCATCACCCTTGAGGTGGGTGGGAGGCTGAGGGGTTGGTGTCCTAGCCCAAGTTCCTGTGAGCCAACAGTAGGCACTGGATGCCCACCCTCGCCTCTGGGCTCCTGCAGGGGAAGACCTTGGACTTCGTGGATGTGAACGAGAGCAATGCCCGCTGGGTGCAGGACTTCCGCCTCAAGGCCTATGCCAGCCCTGCCAAGCTGGAGTCCATTGATGGTGAGGGGCTGTGCTGCCCTGGGCTTGCAGGGCGGGGTGTGGAGTTCCAGGTGGGTCTGCAGCCTCCCTGTACTCGCTCGTGCTCCTGAAGCGCGGGGACCATCCGGAGCACCCTCCGGTCCTGCATCCTGGGCCGAGTTCCTGAGCTTGTCGGGGAGAGAGGTGGTGGGCACATGGACGCAAGGAAAAGCCCATAGTGGCTCTTGGCCTGGGGAGCCTTACTCTGTGTGGGGAAGTGACCACGGATGTGTGGCCGCAGGAGCAGGGAGGAGCCAGGCTGGTGTCTGCGGGGAGCCTGGGCCGGCCGGCGGCCTCACCCTGTGAGCGGCCTGTGGTCTCCCTGCAGGTGCCCGCTACCATGCCCTCCTGATCCCCAGCTGTCCCGGGGCCCTGGCCGACCTAGCCAGCAGCGGGTCGCTGGCCCGCATTCTTCAACACTTCTGCTCCGAGAGTAGTAGGTGACCCCTGGGGCTGGGGGCACCAGAGTTGTGAGAAGTGGCCCGCAGAAGAGTGGAGGGTTGTGAAGACATGGGGGTGTGACGGTGGCAGCGTGGAGTGCAGGGTCCCATCTCAGTGGGGGGAGTGCCACATTGTTTGGGAGCAGCTGGTGGACGGGAAGTGCCTCTGAATCTAACCGTGAGTGGGCAGATGTACTCGGCTGCCGGAGCACCCCTGCCCTACCCCTGACATCGTGCCTCTGCAGGCCCTCTGCTGGTGCTGGGCTTCGTGTTCAAGGCCCGCAAGCAGCTGGGGAAAAGGCTGCTCTGTGGTGTGGCCCTGGCCTGGCGCCATCTGTTGGGTCATGTGCTCCTTTGGGCCAGGGTGCTCCTTTGGGGCCAAGAGAACCGGGGGCCCCGCAACGTCTTTGGTCTGTGGGAATGGGGCCCCTGTCCCAGCAGGGTCTGGACAGGTAGCGATTGTCCCTGGCCACCTCAGTTGTGGGAATGCACTTGTGCCACCTGCCTTCTGGGAGGGGCCCGGGTGAGGGCTTGGTGGGCGAGGGCCAGCCTCCTGAGGCTTGGGGGGATGGGAGGCGGGGTGCCAGCCCTTTCTGCTGGTAGGAGGGCTGCTGCTTGGTGACGGCAGTGGCAGTTGTGCAGTTAGACATTCACGGACAGGCCAGTCCAGGCCCGGATCAGTGCAGGCAGTGCTGGGGGCAGTGGTGCAGGGCATTCCCAGGGGGTAAATAGGCCTGCTGGGCCCTCATGTCTCCTTGTGGCTCAGCCGCCGGAACTTGAGATCTGAGCGAAGCCTGGGCCCAAGGCAGCCCTGGTGTGTCAGAGGAAGTGTGGCAGGCATCGGGAAGGGCAGGGCCGGGTGGGCACCCAGGGCCTCAGGCCTCGCTCTGCCCCTGCTTTCAGAACCCATCTGTGCCATTGGCCATGGTGTTGCTGCCCTCTGCAGTGCCACCGCGGAGGACAGGTCCTGGGTGTTTCAAGGCTACAGTGTCACTGGCGTGAGTGCAGCATGAGGGGTCCCAGGCTGTGGATGGGCACCAGACCTGCCGATGTGCCTGAAGCAGGGGGACAGGCTGGGACCTCAGGTCCATGTCACTTCTGGTGGGTGACACTTACCAAGACAGGGATCCTGAATCCGGGGATTGGCTGGTGGCTTTCTGCTGCCTGCAGTCCCTGCCCCTCTGAGGACACCTGGACGCTGGTCAGAAGGGGCTCTGCATGCACACGGTGGGGCCAGGCAGGCATTGGGGTAGTTTGGAGCCCTACTTTTATGCCCATCCAGTACACAATGCCCTTCGTGTCCAGGAAGTGGTAGCACCATTTGGGTGTTGGGCCTGTCTGGATGGGGAGCCAGACTATGGGTCCTGGGGGCAGGGGGCAGGTGGAGAGCTGGGAGGGCCTGCATGGTAGGACAGGCCTGGCCAGTGGCTCAGAAGAGGAACGGACTCCTCAGTGCATGCTCGTGTGGCCCTTAGCGGAGGGGTGAAGCTAGCCTGCCCCCACAGTAGCCTCGCCTCCCTAGATACCCCACAGCTGGAGGGCCTCACCCTCTGCCTCGGCGGCCTCTGAGGTCCCATCTCCACATGGAGGGCAGGGCCCCTGCCTGACCCTGTCTGTGGTGGGTGCCCCTTCCCCTGTAGCCCTCTGTGTACGAGCTTGTCCGGGTACCTGGCTTCGCCCACCTGCCCCTCATCGTGGAGGACTTTGTCAAGGAAGCAGGAGCCAGCTTCAGTGGTGAGCCGGGCATTGCCGACGGTGGGCAGGGCATGTTGCCAGGGCCAGCCTCTAGTTGAACATCTGGCAGACCTGGGGGCTGGCCTCAACTGGGCTGCGGGAGCTGGCCTGAGCTGACTGAGTGGGTTGGGCGGGGCGTGTCTGGAGCTGTCCCTGTGTGGGGCATGGCCTGAGGCCTATGCCCTCCGTGTCTCCTGCAGCCAGCCAGCCCGATGCTGTACATGTGGTGCTGGACCGTCACCTGGTCACGGGCCAGAACGCCAGCTCGACTGTCCCAGCTGTGCAGAACCTGCTGTTTCTTTGCGGCAGCCGGTGAGGAGCCATGTGGGCTGGGCTTTGTGGGCTGGTTCCCAGCTCCTGACCAGGCCATTTGCTGACTGGAGCCTGTCCTGCAGGAAGTGAGGCAGCTCCCCGCTGAGCCTACCGGACAGCCAGTGGACGCTACCACCCTCAGACTCTAAGTGTCCCCAGAAACAACCAGAATCAACCTCTAGGACCTGCCTCTTGAGAGTGACTTCCGGCCTCCTGACCCAGCCTCGTGGCATTGTCGGAGGCCCCCAGCAGTGAGCCCGGACAGGCCCCCTAGCTCCCAGCACACACTGCTTGCGTAAGGGGTGGACGGCACAAGGGTGCTGTGCTGGTCGCCAGGTACTCCTTGCAAATTCCAGGTGGACTGTCCATGGAGCCAGCTCAGGGGGCCTGAGATGGGGTGTTGGCCCCTCTGGTCTTCCTGGGGCGCCTGGCTCGGGGCCCCTTTGTGTGTCCCCCACCTTCGTTTGATGGGTGCTGCCACATGCAGCCTCTCAAGACAAAGCGAGGACGGAAGCAGAGCGGTGGCCCCGCCGCCCCAGGCCGCTCTCTCCTAGCCCTGGGGGCCGCGTTGCGGCCCCCACACACCATCTTCCTCGGAAGCCTTCCCTGGGGGGACACTCTCGGGGGTCTGTCACACTTGTCCTGCACAGCGCACAGCTCCCTTGCTGGCCCTGTGTCTGCAGTTAGCTCCACGTGGTGAGGGGGCATCTCTGGACGAAAACTTTGAAAGATCGCACCTTAGGGGCATCATATATTATCTGTAAGGAGCCGAGTGACCTTGCTGATGGCTTCTGATCGGCCAGATCTTTTGTCATTGCTCCAGATCAGGTCACGAGGGGGGCTCTGCTCCACGGGGTTCTGTCTCCCTGCAGCTTGGTCCTGGGCTGGCCAGATCCAGGGGCTGGGGCTGGGGGCAGCCCAACAGGCTGGGATGATGCAGGCAAAAGTTCTAGGACAGTGGGGTAGGTGCTGGTGGCTTCTCTGGCCCTGCCCTCTGGGAACCCCCCACATGCCCAGACTCAACATCTACCCCAGAGAAAAACTTAAACCCCATAGAGATGGTGTGCAGAAGACTGGCATTGTTCACCATGATGAATGAGTAGATTATAGCTTCTGAATGGACAATATTGATGTCCACATGGTGGAATATTTGGCTAGAAAAAGTGAGGTTCTGTTGATATTCTACAACACGAGTGAACCCTGAAAACATCATGTAAAGGGAAAGAAACCAGACATTAAGGGCCCTGTGTGACTACGACCCCATTTATATGCAATATTCATAAAGTCCAAAGTGGACTGTCATTTGTGGGTGGGAACAGGCAAATGACTGCTGTCTACTTACAGTGGTGCTGGCCGGGCTCTAAGCACATTGCAACTGGCACCTATGCCAGGATTGGGAGCTGACCGTGAGTCCTAGGAGGCAGTCCAGGGTATTCAGGGAGGGCTGCTGTGTAGGGGGCTGTTGGGCAGCTGTGGGCCGCAAGGGACCCTCCAGGGGTACTCAGGCACCTGCCCTTGGGGAGGGCTCCTGGGAGGCCACGCACACTGACACCCAGCACTGCTGCTCTGACCCCAGCAAATGGGGTTTAGGGGCCCCTGCTCTCCTGCAGAAAGCTATGGGGAAAAACCTTGGCTTGGTGGGGCTCCAGGTGGGGGCAGGGAGTGGAAGAGGCTGCCCCAGAGTAGGGCAGGAGTCACAAGGCCTTCCTGCTGTCCCTTAGCCAGACCCAGGATGGTGTCTCAACAGGCCTGTCCCCACCACTCAACTCCACCCAAGCAGCCCCTCCCCTTGCTCCTGGGCAGTCTCACCTGGCCCCTGCAGCCCCTGCCCCTTCATCATTCAGTCCTGAAAAAAGGCTGGTCCTGTGGTTGGGCAGGGAAGGCCCATCCCACAGACCAGTTGTTACTGCCTCCCACCCAGCCTTTCCTAATGCTGCATGGCATACACAGTACAGTGAGCATCTCCTGAAGTGGTGCCACGCCTGTCATTGGGCTTCAGGTGTGTCCAGGATGTGGTTTCAAGTTCCCCACAGGTGGTACAAGGGGACCAAGCACCCAGAAGCCTCCCAGGGCCAGGACATCCCGGAGAAAAAGGAGTTGTCCAGAAGCACCAGGGAGGGGCAGGGTGGGGCTGTCCTCTCACAAGCATCTGCGTCCGGCACCCAGGAGGCCTGGTGCAGCGTCCCCTCTGGCAGGGCCCTGTCCTCCCGCATAGCCTACTGGTTTGCAGGCCGCCTGGGGTTCCAGGCTCACAGGAAGAGCTTGGATGAGTCCCTGTGTTCAAGGTCAAAGGCCCCCTGGGCTCTCACATCACCACCCATAAGGCCCGTGGTGGCTGGAGGCCAAGGTGACTGTGGGTAGTGGGGGAGCTCTGACCCCATCCTGTCTAGGTCTGCCAGCTGGTGCCGAGAGGAACATGGGGCAGAGTTTCACCAGAATGAAGCACAGACAAGGAAAGTGACTGCTTTACTCTGTTAGGCAAATCAATTTGTGATCCATCCCTCCTCCAATTGGTAAAAAAAAATGCAAGATTCATCACCGGGCAAGTGCGGCGGGCCCCCTGCAGGCCAGCCTCGGGGCCGCTACTTTCCATTCTCCGCGCTGAACATCCGCTCCTAGGAATGCGCAGTGTGTGGCCGGGGCACACGCCGCCCTCCCACCGCCTTCTTGCAGGGAAGGAGGCCCTCGGGGGCTGCCCAGGGCTCAGAGTGCACAAGCTGGTGCCAGCCCTGCTGCCCTCTGCTCGTCTACTCACCATCAGCATCCGCTCCAGCTTCACAGCGTCTGCAGCGAACTTCCGGATCCCATCCGACAGCTTCTCCACAGCCATCTGGTCCTCATTGTGCAGCCAGCGGAAGGCCTTCTCGTCCAGGTGGACCTTCTCCAGGTTGCTGGCCTGGGCTGGGGGAGAACACGCACCAGGGCTGTCTCCACCGTCCAAGGTCACTGCCCCTCCCAGCCCCCTGATGCTGAGCCATCACTGCCCTAGACCGGATGGGAACCCCCGCATCAGGCCCCATGTGGGGACTCAGGCGCTGCAGCCCTGACTGGCAACCCTGCTAGGATCCATCTCCTGCACCCCCAGGATGAGGTGTAGGCGTCCACAGTGGCCAAAGTGGGGTCGGCTCACCTGCCTTGGCCGAGAGTATGGGCACCAGCTTGGTGCTGTCCTTGAGCAGCTCTCCGAGGAGCTTGGGCGAGATGGTGAGGAAGTCACAGCCCGCAAGGGCTCTGATCTCACCCGTGTTGCGGAAGGAGGCACCCATGACAATGGTCTGGTAGCCAAATTTCTTGTAGTAGTTGTAGATCTTGGTGACGCTCTTCACACCTGGGAGGACAGGCTCTGGGTTCCAGGCCGCCCACTGCACTGCCCGAAGCAGCCCTCCCCAGACCCCACACACCTGACCCTGTGCCTGCCTGGCTCTGGGGCAGACAGGCTGGGTATCTCGCTCGCCTCTGCGGTGTCGCCAGGCACTTGCCTCACCCGTTACCTCAAAGGGCAGCTCACCAGGGTCCTCCAGGGGCTCGTACGACTTCTTGTCTGTGTTGGCAACATGCCAGTCAAGGATGCGCCCCACAAAGGGGGAGATGAGTGTCACCCCCGCCTCAGCGCAGGCCACGGCCTGGGCGAAGGAGAAGAGCAGTGTCATGTTGCAGTGCACTCCGTGCTGCAGCTCCAGCTCCCTGTGGGGACAGGCGGCGTGAGCAGGCTGCAGGCGGCCTGGGCTCCTGCCCAGTACTGCCTGCCAGCACACGTCGTTTCACAAGAAAGGTGTTCAAGACTCGGGTCCTGTGCTCCAGCAGAGCCCACTGCAGCCAGAGTGCCCCACAAAGGTGGGCAGAGTCAGCCCGTTCCCCTTACGACCAAGTCAGGAACACTTACTGGGGTTCCCTCTGGTGACCCGAGCTTTCTTCATCAGACTCACATTTCAAAACAGGAACAAAGGCACAGAGGTCCTGAGAGCCACAGTGGGTGCACACCACAGCTGGTCCGTGACTCGGCTGGGGCTGGAGGCCATGGGCCACCTGACCGTAGTGGCCCCTACCCACCACTCACTCTCCCCCTCCCCCTCCCCGGGGTTCCCTGCAGAAGCCCATCAGTCCACCACGGTGTCCCGGGGCTGGCCCGAGGACAGGGTAACTGTGGTCGTGTGCCAAATGCTAGGCTTCTGCTCAGGCCCCGCCAGCCATGACACTGGGACAGTTTCAGAGGTGTCTCTGCCACACGGCCATACGGACACGTTCAGGAGGCACAGCTGCGGTAGGACAGCCTACAGCCCCCGACAGCCAAGCATGAGCAACCACATGACCCAGCAACTCCACTCGGAAGGTGCCCACGAGATGAAACCACAGACTTGCGACGGGTGCTCACAGCAGCATGACCAGGGAGCACCTGGTGAGGGATCGATGCACATGCAAAATGCAGCCTACACACGGCAGGGTGTCAGCATCAGGGCACAAGCCACCCGTGAGCCTCCAAAGCCGCCCAGTGAGGGATGCCAACGCCAGGGCCACACACTGTGCGACCCACTCAGACCGTCCAGAACGGGCAAATGCAGGGCAGTGGCATGAGATGAAGGCTCTCACTGCTGCTTCCTACCTTCTACACTGAGCCTGTGTGGCACAGAGGTAACTGACACATGGTAAACCAAACAGGTGCCGATGAGGACGGGAGATGAAGGCAACGGCTGCAGGCACTGCCAGGGCCTGGCGTCCTCTGGACTCAGGGGAGGCTTTGGGGCTGTGCTCCCACCCTGCCCCCTAAACTTACCTGCAGCCACCCGCCCTGTCCCCAGCCCCCAGCCCTGGACCAGCCTCACAGTCACGTACTTTCCAGCCTGAATCCCCTCCCAGGTTGACGACAGCTTTATCAGGATCCGGTCCTTGCTGATCCCAGCTTCCCTGTAGAGCTCTATGAGGCGCCTGGCCCGGGCCACCATGGCGTCCTTATCGAAGGAGAGCCTGCGAGAGCGAGGGGCCGTGGCCAGAGGCAGCTGCCCTCAGGACACCACCAAGGAGGGCCAAGCCAGCTCTGACCCGTTTCGGGGCCAGGCCCCACCCTGCCCTGCCCTCAGGTGGGGCACAGCTCAGAAGCCCTCTCCCAGTCACGGTCCTCAGTGGATTTACACAGAGGAGGGCAGACGTGAGCCGCGGAGCAGGGAGTGCCCTCCATTTCTCAGAGGGGCAGACTGAGCCCTCGCCACCCTCAGGAACCACAGACTGAACGTGGCTTCTGCCCGCAACCGCCTCCCACATCCTTACCTTGCGTCTACTTCTGTGGATACGCGGCCGGGAATCTTCTTCAGTATTTCTACTCCAAACAACACGAAAAGTTTGTCGATAGCATTTTTAATCTGTTCCTCTTGTGACCTGAAATTCAAGGGAGAAAAGTTAGGCCAGAACCTTGTTGGGCTGAAGTGCACAAGTCTATGAACAAACCCTGCTCCCCTGCCAAGTTCGTCCTTTCGTCTCCTTTCTCCTTACAGTTGTTTATTTGGGAATACACAAAGCGTTACAGCCCACCTAACCATCTGTAAGTGCAGGGCGGACCATCACACCCTCCTGCCGCCACGCAGCCCTCCCGTCTGTCACCTCCCGCACTCTCCTCTCCTCTCCTCTCCTAGACGGCCTCCCGTCTTCGGGCACGGAGGGAAGTCATCTTTCCTCCCTCAGGAGCTGCGGGGCTACCAGAGAAGTGAAGGGCACGCTGCTTTCCCAAAGCACTGCCACCTGAGGGCCCCTCTGAGCCCACCGCACACAGAAAGACTGCAGCCAGGGAGTCTCGGGGGGCCTCTGGCCCTGGCCAGGCCTGACTGGTGATCACTAAGGGCACCACGCTGTCACCCAAGTCCAGGAGCACGAGGCCTTGCTGATGCAGGAGCCTGGAAGACCCACCACTGGAGAGGGAGAGGGAGGTGGCTGAGTAGGGGGTGGGGGGTGCCTGGGTGGGACCTGTCACACACGTGCACTCGAGGGAGCCCCAGAAAGGACAGGCCCACCAGAGAGCCCCCGCCTGGGGCCGTAAGTCCTTGCAGGCACCACCCTCAGCTGAGCATGACCAGCAATGAAAATGTGACAAGCTTTCTAGAAAAGGCATAAATCTATGGCAAGGACAGTAGATTTTTGGTGATCACTAAGGGCACCACGCTGTCACCCAAGTCCAGGAGCACGAGGCCTTGCTGATGCAGGAGCCTGGAAGACCCACCACTGGAGAGGGAGAGGGAGGTGGCTGAGTAGGGGGTGGGGGGTGCCTGGGTGGGACCTGTCACACACGTGCACTCGAGGGAGCCCCAGAAAGGACAGGCCCACCAGAGAGCCCCCGCCTGGGGCCGTAAGTCCTTGCAGGCACCACCCTCAGCTGAGCATGACCAGCAATGAAAATGTGACAAGCTTTCTAGAAAAGGCATAAATCTATGGCAAGGACAGTAGATTTATGTCTGGGGAGGGGGCTAACTGCAGACGGGCCAGGGACATTCCAGAGGCACATGAATGCTAACACTGCACTGTGGTGGTGGCTGCACTGCTGCAGCAATTTCCCAAAACCACCTGGCTGTGTCCTGGTAAAGGCCATGAAATGCAGGCGGAGGCAAGTGGCTGCCGGGGCTGGGAGATGCCATGAAAGGGAGAGGGGCTCCCGGCGCGCAGCCCTGTATCCCGACTGGGTGGGGATTCCGGGGAATGCCTGCCTGTGAACAAACTGATTCACTGTGCCTATGGTGGATGCAGCTCACCCCCCATAAATGACACTTCAGTGACGCTGGTAAAACAGACACAAAAAGACAACTTCCTTCCTGAGAACTAAAATCCAGGGAGGGAGGGAAACACCTGGACTGGTATGCAGCCTGGTCAGGCACTCACCCGCCCAGCCTCTTGCCATAGGCAATGGCCTCCTCCACCAGCTCCTGGTACTCCGGCATCTGAGCAGCGGCCAGGATCAGGGAAGGGTTGGTGGTAGCATCCTGCGGCTTATACTCGTCAATAGCTGGGGAAGTAATTTTGTAAACTAAGTGGTGTGCTTGCTTCCACCCAGAAATCCATGAAGGGTCCCCTGTGAGCCCTAAATACATAAGCAGAGCAAGGATCATTTTCTGCACAGTCCCTCCCCTGTCCCAGAGGGCTGGCCAACGGCAGCTGTGTGCGCAATGGTACAACCAACACTCAGACCAGAGACCAAATGGGCCACCGCAAAAGCTGACTTTCCCACCCTGGAGGGCCAGTCTGCACACCAAACTGCCATCAGGCATGCTGGTGCCCGAGTGTGCAACAGTGACCACCAGTTATCTCCATTGACTGCTTGCTTTCTTCTTTCAACGGTTCTCTCTTTTAATAAAATTCTTTCTAGTGACCAAGCTAGGAATTCCAGGAAGCCAAGGGAGCCTAGCCTGGAGTCTTGCTGACCAGGCTGTCAGAGTACATGCGAGGCAGCGGCCATTCACCTTCATCGGACTGCTTGGGGCGTCCTAAGGATTAGTTGGTTCAGTAGACTAGCTGGTCTGGCAAATTAGTATTTTCAGAGTATCCTTTGAAGACAAAACTATAGAGATGGAGAACCAGTTGCGGTAGCCAGGCACAGGGAGAGGAGGCGGCTCTCGGGAGCAGCAAAGAGAGGCCTCCGGCCACAGGACAGCTGTGTCCTAACTGCCCTGGCGGCTGTGACAATCTACACATAAAACTGCTCAGAGAACGGCCCGGGGCCCTAGCAGGGTGCAAACGTAAACGTGGGGTCAGGCCTGCCGCCCATTACTAGTATCAGCCTAGTGCCTAGTTCTGTTCTGACATCACACCATTGGGGCCACTGGGAGCCAATGGGCAAAGGATTCGTGGGACTCTATGCACTAAGTTTGCAACTTCCTGTGACTGTGTAATTATTTCAAAATAACAAGTGAAGAAAAAGTGCTTTGGACAAAACACACAGAGCAGTGCACTGAGAATTGTGCATTTTATTACATGTGATGGTAACTAAGATCCATCTGGGGTCAACAGATGAGCTTCAGGGTCCAGGGACCATTAAACACAATGCAAAACTGGTGGTGGGGGTGGGAGACACCGTTCTGGGAAGAGCGTCCACGGTTTTGACTCTATTTTCTAAGAGGCCTATGAGGCCCCAAAGGTAAGAACCTATGCAAAAGGACCACAAAATACCAAAATACTTACACCTATGTAACATTTATGGATATGCGTTATTAACTAATGTGTTTTTCACAGAGTTAATATTCATTAAAAAATAAAAATGTCAGCACTTGGGTTTGGATATTTCTAAAACGGAGGGAAAAAAGGCAAGCATTCGCCCCGAACCTTTTCAGCCCTAGCTGCCAGAAGGTGTAGCCGACTAGCCCCCCTGCTGCTGCTCCATGAGGGCCGGCAGGGGACACCCAGGGCAGGGCTCTGTCAACTCACCAGGGCAGAAACGCATTCGAAATGCCAGGAAGGGAAAAGCGGGAGCAGAAGAGCGTGCAGCCGCCCTCCCAGAGCTCTGCCCGCCGACGCCCACTGCCTCCGGGCCGGGCAGGAGCAGGGCTCCCCAAGCCCCCGGCTCTGACGGGCAGCTTCTGGCACATGGGTTTACGCACCCCGCCAGCAAGCCTGCAGGTTGGATCCAGGCCAATGGCCGCCGTATCCTCTTTTGTATTTAAGCAAATACGCCTATTCATGTCCAAGGCTCTGCTAGATAAACAATCCTCTTACTCAGTGTCACCCAAGAGGGGTAAAAGCCTGTTTCTCAAGTCACCGTGAGAAAGCAGAAACGCAGCCACTTCCTGACTGGGCCCCGCAGCACTCGGCCACCCGGCGGTTCTCGGTCTGCCCGAAAGCCTCATCTGCTCTGGGCGGCTCGGCCGGGAGTGGGCAGGGGAGCTGCGGGCCCACGGGGACGCCTCCAGGACTCTGCCACCCCATCTCTCCAGTGAACACCGTCCACTCCCAGGAAATCCCCAACTTCAGGGGCCTGCCTCTGCTTTCCTCAGCGCATCGGGTTTACGCACCCACCCCATCGCCCCGGCCGGCAGTCGGCCGCAAACGGTCCCCAGGGGCCACAGCTGTCCCCTGGGCGGGGGCGGGGAGGAGTGTGTGCAACAGGTTTCAACAGCGGGTGGCGGCGTACCGCGTTTCTGGTTCTTCCGGGCCCAGAACTGACTCGCGTTCCCGGTCCGCTGTCAACAGTCGCCGAACAAAACACGGTCTCCCGGGAATCGGCTCCGAGTCCTCCCTGGAGCACGTCCACTCAAAGCCCCCAGAAGCCCTTCCCTGACCCACCGCCTTGCTGACCGCTCGCCACGGGCCTCCGGGGGTCTTCCGCAGTTCCCAGGGCGCCCCTCCCCGCCCCCCGGGGCCCTGCCCCGGGCCTGCGCGCCCCTCGCCCCCTCAGGACCCCCTTCCCCGGGGGTCCTCGCCGTCTCCCCACCTCCGCCCTCGCCCCTCGGGCCCGGCACCCCTGAGCGCCTGGTCGGCCCTCGGCGCCCGCGTCTCCCGCACGGCCGACCCGGAACTCGGGGCCCCGCGCGGCCTCACCGTGGAAGTCGCCCGTGTCGGCCACCACGGTGGTGACCTGCTTGAGCTGGTCCAGCGCGTTCTCCATCCTCTGCCGCTTCACCGGGGAGCCAGACATTGCAAGGCGGCGGCGGGAGCGCGGGGGCCCACAATGCCCCGCGGCCGCCCCATGCAGGCCAATCGGAGGCTCCGCCCCGAAAAGGCCCCGCCCCCACGCTGGCGTGCCTGCCCTTTTTTTTTTTTTGTCATTGATTTGTGGGCGTTCTTTATATATCCTGGACCAAGTCTTTCGTCAGATGTGTATGATTTGCAGATATTTTCTCCAGTACTGTGGTCGACTTTTTCATTTTCTTAATAGTACCTTTGATAAGAAGCTTTAAATTTTGATGACGTACAGTATATCAATTTTGATGATATACAATGTATCCATTTTTAGTTTTATGGTTTGTGCTTTTGTTATCTTCTCTAAATAAATCCTTGCTTACTCCAAGGTGACAAACTATGTTTCCATAGTTTCTTCTACACACATTTAGCTTTGGCTTTTGTGTTAGAGTCTTTGCTGAATCTCAAATTTATTTTGTGTATGTTTGAGGTAGAGGCCAAGGGTCATTTTTCTCCACTTGTTCCATCTTTGTTGAAAGATCCTTCCCCTCTCCTTAAAATGTAAACACAGGAAATTCACTTCACAGAAAAAAATATACTACTTATCAGGGAAATGCAAACTAAAGCTGCCGTGAGATATCTCCACTGTTGCACTGTCGCACTGAAATGGCAAAAGTAAGAATGACCAACGATACCAAAGGCTGAAAGGGTGCAGGAGCGACTGGAATCCTCAAACACGGCTGGTGGGGCACCACGCGGCCCAAAATGAGCTGTTTGGAGAGCAGTTCTGGTGTTTCTCATGAAGTTAAGCATGTAGTTTCCATGAGCACTAGGCCTTTCACTCCTCAGATAAAAACATGTTCAGGCAAAGATCTGCACTCATATATTCACAGCAGCTTTACTGATAAAAGCTCCAAACTGGAAACTACACAGATGTCCATCGGCAGGAGAAGTAGATAAACTGCTGTAGCTCCGTGCAGTTTAATGCTTCTGGACAACAAAAGGAATGAGCTAGCCACACACCCAACAGCATGGGTAAAGCCCACAGTCCTCACGGTGCCTGAGAGGAGGCTGACTCTAAAGCGCACATAGCAAAGATTCCATTTCTGTGAAGTTCAAGGACAGGCTGACTGCTGGTGCTGGTACTGATCCCCACAGTCCAAGGCTGCCTCTGGGGAGTCAGAACTGGCCTAGAAGGGGTGCAGGGAGCTTTCTGAGCTGATGGAAATGTTCCAATGGGTGATCGGGAGCAGCAGAACCAGCGCGCCTGGGAACTTCTTGAAATGCCTGTTCTCCCACCACCCACAGCATGAGCCGGAAGCTCTGGGCCAGCCCTGCAGCCTGGCCTTCGACAATACTGGGACGAGGCTGGTGCTCACCAGTGTCTGAGAAGCTCAGCTCTGTAAGGGTTAGTGGTCACTCACTGTAGGCGTTTGCCAAAACATTTTCAAATGTGCATTTCACCGTGTGTAAATTTTTTAAAAGGCAATGAACAGCAATAAAAAATGCAAGCCCTCAGAAACAATACATGCTTGGCATGTACTCCTTGGCATCAAAAATGATGCCCTAAGGTAGAAGATGGCCCAGATGCAGAAAAAGGTCCCCAGCATTAGCAAGGGCCACTCTGGTAAGGTGCAGGGCCTCGACCGTGCGGATGGCCCCACGTGGGCATTCAGCGTGCTGGGAGCTGGGTTGCTGCTCAGTCCCTCTGTGTACCTTTTCCTCACGAGCACCCCACGTCATGGCCCCAGATGCTGAGGCCCCTGGGAACAGGAGGACAATGTGAGCCTCAGGGGGACCTCCACGGGCTGTGATCCAGCTGCCACTCCCCTCCCTCGACCTCTGCAAGGTCAGCAAGGCCCTCAGCACCCTACAGGTCTCTGTGGGTTGGGAGCAGCTGACAGGTGCACATCTAGCTCCCATTCCGAGGCAGCAGGAGCTCTCATGGGCCTACTGTGCAGAGGCAGGGATGGAGGCACTGGGTCAGTGAGGGGGGAGGGGGTCCGGCCAGGCTGGTGGCTCTGGAGGCCACATCCGGTCACTCCGAGTTGTCTGACCGGGCCGGGTGGAAAAGGAAGTTGTTTGTGGACTTAGTACCTCACTCGCACTGACTCAGGAGGCGCCGGACTTTCTCCCACTTTTCCTGGAAGGGCCTGTGATGTCCCTTAGCCTCTGCAGGCCCAGGGAGTCACACCCCTCATCACCCCGAGGTACAGGAGGTAGGAGGTGTGCCTGCAAACCTAAAGCATGATCCACGCAGCGCCCTTTCCCCTCTTGTGGTTATCTGGCGTTGCCCCTGAAGACCCCAAATCATCTCTTGGCACTGACACGCCTCAGACCTCACTTCAGATGGATAACAGGCTGGCATCATTTGCATCCAAGGGTCCTTGGGAAGGCCAGCAGTGCTGAGCCTGGACCGGCTCAGTCCCTGCCCAGGAACAAGTCGGCAGTGTGTCCAGGCAGGGGCCGGGAGCAAGGAGGGTGGCATTGGAGTGTCATTTGCCTGCTGTGTCCCCTGTGACCTCGGGGTGCTGGGCTGCTCAGGCAGGAGGGGGCCCCCGAGGGCCCAGGAGGATCTGTAAGTCACTGTGCTGCCACGTGGATGCTCTAATGTAAGTCCAGAGAGCAGCCTTGGAGGTCCAATGTCTGAAACGAAAGTTTGGGGAAGAGGCAAAGGGGTGAAGTCCAAGCCTTGGGGTCACAGAAGGAAAGGGGTAGGGAGGGAGGCTTGGGGTCTGAGGAGAAGACCTGCTGGCCAGCCAACCCCATCCAGGTGGCCAGGCCTGCGCTGCCATCCACTGGGAACCAGGCCAACACATGGAGGCAGAGAGTGGCAGGAAACAAGGTAAGTGGCTTAACAGAAGTCACCGTTGCTGGGAGCTGAGGCCTGGGCTGCCCCCTGTTGCAGAGCAGACCTCTGTGTGTGTGGAGAGCACCTGACCTAGTGTCACTAGGTCCCTGCTTCCAGCAGTCACTGAGCTCCTTGTTCTGGGTGCTGGGAAGGAGCACAGGTGGGACTGACCTGAGGACAAGGACAGTTGTGCACAGAGGGGCGGAGGTCATTGGCCTGTGGGGAGTGGGCAGCAGGTGTCAGGGAGGGCCTCACTGAGAAGCTGGCCTTTGAGCAAAGACTCCAGGTCTGGAGGAGAGCTGAGCAGGGCATTGCAAGCAAGACTCAGCCAGTGCAAAGGCCCTAAGGCAGCAGACACCTCACGTCATGGAAGGTGAGGAAGTGAGGTTTGAAAGCAACAGGAACTCCATCGAGGCCACCCAGCCCTCCATGGGACTTGAGTGGGGAGCCCGGAGGGCATGGAGCAAGGCTGGGGTGGAGGGGGTGGTGAGAGAGGCCTTAGGTTCTGAATGCTGCGCTGGGTCCCCCTGAGGGACCGGGGGAGACCGCTGGAGGCAGTGAGGAGCCAGTGTGCTCCCTGGCGGTGGGACAGTGACCAGAGGGTGCTGATAGAGTGGGCTTGGGGTCCCAAAGGCTGTTGGGGAGGGAGTAGGTCAGAGGTTGGGGCAAGAACCTCAGGTCTGGGGTAACTTGGTGCCCAGTATAGAGCAGCAAGGGGCTCAGGGGTCTTGAGCTCAGGGTGGGGTATCAGCCTGCAGGGTGGCATTTGGAGCCAGGAGGCTGGAGGGACCACCAGGAGAGGGGGAGACAGAGTAGGATGGGTCCAAGGGCAGTCCTGTTGGGGCCCCACGGCTGACGTTGCCAGAGGCAGCTGCATGGAGGGTGACAGCAAGCAGGGGGCAGAGGGGCAGAGGTCGCACACTCAGTGCTTGGGGGCTGGCTGTGAAGGGCACCGGGCTGGCAGTAGGAGAGGAGAGCATGCTCAGCTGACCCGGGTGGCTGGGATCCAGCGCACTCAGGCAGAGTGGCCTTTGTCACCAGATAGAATGTCACCAGGGACACTGGGAGGGCAGGGGGCAGACTGCTGCTGGCACGAGGGGAGGCTCTGCTGAACGCATCCCTTTGCCAGGGACTTTGGAGGAAGTGAGTCCACCAGCTGGGAGTTGGGGCAGGGGGACAGTGCAGGGTCTCAGATGGACAGATGCCTGTGCAGCCATGTCCACAGGGCTTCACAACAGCTGAGGCATGGAAGCAACCCAAATGTGGACAGATGAATGGATAAACAGAACGTGCTGTATCCATACATGATTCGTAATGAACACATACTTGGTCTCCAACCACGGCTCCCGGCTCCCCAAACCCTTGGCATTTCCGGAGGACGAGAGCAATGGGAGCAGTTCGCTACAGTATCTGGTCTCTCCCCGTCCTGAGAAGCTCAGAGCCACGAGCGGAAGCGGGTGTCTTGTTACTTCTCCCAAGCCCCTCTCCCCGCACCTGAGTTTGTACTCATGGGTGACTTTTGGAAATCCCCTAAGCACGGGGGCCGGTGGCCCGGGGAACCTCCCTGCTTAGAGGCCCCAAAAGGGCCTAGGAACTTACCCTAAGAATGCAGCAGCCCAGTTTGAAAAAGACAGATGCACCCCTATGTTTATCGCAGCACTATTTACAATAGCCAAGAAATGGAAGCAACCTAAGTGTCCATCAGTAGATGAATGGATAAAGAAGGTGTGGTACGTATACACAATGGAATATTATTCAGCCATAAGAAGAAAACAAATCCTACCATTTGCAACAACATGGATGGAGCTAGAGGGTATTATGCTCAGTGAAATAGCCAGGTGGAGAAAGACAAATACCAAATGATTTCACTGATCTGTGGAGTATAAGAACAAAGCAAAAACCGAAGGAACAAAATGGCAGCAGAATCACAGAACCCAAGAATGGACTAAGTTACCAAAGGGAAAGGGACTGGGGAGGGTGGGTGGGAAGGGAGGGATAAGGGGAAAAAGGGGCATTACGATTAGCACACATAATGTGGGGGGGCACAGGGAGGGCTGTACAACACAGAGAAGACAAGTAGTGATTCCAGAGCATCTTACTACACTGATGGACAGTGACTGTAATGGGGTAGGAGGTGGGGACTTGATGATGGGAGGAGTCTAATAACCATAATGTTGCTCACGTAAGTGTATATTAATGATACCAAAATAAATTTTAAAATATAAATAAATAAATAAAAAGCACACACACAGAAAAAAAAATTACTGAGGGCCCCAAAAACCTTCTGTTTATGTGAGTTCTCAATATTTACTGTGTTAGGAAATAAAACTATGGAAACTTAAAAACATGAATTTATTCCTGTTTTTAAAATAAGTGAGAGGCCATTGCCAGAGACTGCACCGCTGGCCAGCTGCTGCAGATGGGGCTGCTACTGCCTCGCATCGGAACTTCCTGGAAGACCTGCAGGTAGGCAGCTCAGCCAGGCACGGGCACCTGGCACCTCCCACTCCTCAGGCGTCCCCGATCATGCATGAATGATGCCTCGGGTTTGCTCAGTGCAAACCAAGCCCCTGAAGACCTGCCTTGATCTAGGCCCCAAAGCCTCACAGCCACCACCTGGCCAGCCCGCCAGACCCTGCCCAGACTCTCAGGGCGCTGAGCCCACATAGCTTTAGCCACATCAAGTGGCAGCATTTTGGGGAGCCAGCATTCAACACATTAAGAGCATATTTCTTTGAAAAATTGTTTTCTAAAGACAAATATAGTGAGCAGGGTGGCATTTATCTACATTTTGCAGCTCTCCTTGGTGCCCGGCTGCATGGCGGGTAACTGGGCCTGGTCACTGTGCCTGCCTTCAGTCTGTTGGTGAAGATCCAGGAGCCGGTGAACAGGCTTTGGGGTAATTGTGGACCCCATCCTGACAGGAGGCTGAGCCTCGCAGGTGGCATTCCTTGACAGTGAGAGGCAGTGTGGACTGTGAGCCACCCCAGCACCCTGGACTCCAAAAAAGGACCTTTGGTCCCACGTGATTTCCCACCACTATGTGGGCCTCGGTGGGGATGCTGTCTCTCTTCTGGTGGCAGATTCCAAAGTCATAATTTCCACTCGAACCTCAATTTACCACAGCCACGAAGAATGCCCTTTTCTCCCTGGGAGTGACAGGGTCCCTGGTTCATTTTGGAGAAAATGTTGGCCATGTTCCCAAGTCTGAATGCTTGCAGCTCGCCAGCCGGTGGCCCTTCCAGCTCAGCTCACATCTCGACCATTGATAGAGAGCATCTCCCGGCAGCCCCAGTCAGGGCTCCCAGGATTGCCATGCGACCCCCAATTCCTCCTGTTTCAGGGCCCAGACTAGACTAAGGGACGCCTGCTGAGTCACCTGGGACCCTCTAGTCAACTCTGGCCTGTCTTTCGCTGGGAGGGTGCAGCGGGGACGGACAGAGCCCCTGCCTGCTGCGCCAGGGGCCTTGCTGAGGGGCCAACAGCAAATGTGAGACCAGAGGAAAGGCAGTCGCTCACCGTGGTTTCCTGGGGAGACCCAACAAGCCACACAGGCTGCAAGGCTTACACCCCAGTCCCGCCCAGTCCCGGAGGCTGGAATCTGAGGTCCGGGGGTCCTTCTCAGGCGAGTTCAGACCTCTCCCCAGCTGCTGGCACATTGTTTGTAGTCTCTGAGGCTCCTTGGACAGTAGCTGTGTGACCCCGTCTCTGCCTCTGCCTCCCCTGGCATTTTGAGTGCGTGCATGCATGTGTGTGTGCCTGCCCAGCCTGCCTTACTATGCCAGTGATGTTGGATTAGGGCCCAACAGAATGACCCTATCTTCTATGAGTTTTGGGGGGATACAAGTCAACCTGTACCAGACTACTTACTGTCTTATGAAACTAGACTCAGGGTCCCCTGAGAGGGACTTGGGGGCCCCCAGGGGCTGGTGGACTCCACCTGGAGAGCTGTTCCCTGGGAATTGCCTCTTTTGGTCTAAGTACTGAGACGTCTCCACCAGCCCATTAGCTCCTGGGGGCAGCTGGTCTTGTGGCCTCTGGTGAACACAAGTCCTGAATTTAATGAAGTCAAACTCATCCACTTGTTCTGGGGTTTTGTACTGGAAGTACTCTGTTGACTTTATCACAAAGGCATTTTCCACATTTTCTTCTGTGACCTTGATAGATTTGCCACCCACATCACTCTAATACTTTTGGAGTTATTCACTTTTGGGGGGCAGTTAGTCGGAGGTTCTCTTCCTGTTTCTCCAAACACAGCTGTTTTCTCCCTGCCACTGGTGCCGTGCCTGCCGAGCACCATCCTCTCCAGGTAACAGGTCGCAGGTGCACCTCCTTCCTGTCCGTTCCCTGTGGCTCTACACAGGCACGGGGAACATCCCGCCTCCTGTGCTATTCTGTGCAAACTCTCTTGGTAAATCAAGTATTTTGAGAAGTCAAAAGAAAAGGGAAACAAAGGAAAAGGAAAAAGTTCTTCCTGAATGGCGTGGGGAATCCTTCTTGCCTCCTGGCAGGGCTTGGGTGCACTCACAGAGGCCGGCCGTGGGGGAGGGCAGGAGGGGACTGGAGCCATGCTGGTCGGGGAGGGCCACAGATATGCCTGTGCCCAAGACAAAGATGGGCTTTGTTTGTGGTGGCACAGCTGGGCACAGAGCGGGTGCTGGGCGGGCAGCTCCCTCCAAGCCCCATGTGACGTTCACTGCCCCGCCCATGGCCAGACGCTCTTCCCTGCAGCCCCAGCCTCCCTGATCAGGCCCAACTGCTCTCGAAGCTCCTGCCCCTCTGGGGCTCTGGGCAGGTGACCTGTCCCTGTGCCTGTTCTCCATGCATGCCCACCCCAGGGGCCCTGGGATTGCCCGGGGGGCAGAACTCGGTCACCCCTAATCTGGGGGCCCTAGACAGTCTCCCTCAGGGCACAAAGCTTCGGAGGGTCCTGGGAAGCAGTGGGGAAGCCCTTTCCGGGAGCCCAGGGGCCTGAGCAGACAGGGCCCTTGGAAACCGCAGGTCCTGGGTGGCTAGCCGGGGGCCCCCACTGGCTAGGAAGTCAGGGCCTGTGGGCTGGGGCATCCTCATGCTGTGCAGAAAGAAAAGTGGAGACAGAGGGGGCCAGAGCAGGTGGCCTGTGGCAGGGACGATGGCAGAGGGACAGGCAAGGAGGCTGACATAAGCTCTTGGCTCCCAAGGGACAAGCCTCCCAGCCTGGAGGCAGCCCCGAGGCCTGGCCCATCCTGGGGGAGGGGTCCTGCTGGGTGGGGGCAGGTGGGGGTCCCCCGGGGCTCTGACCTGGTTCCAGTACGGGCATCCCTGGCCAGCAGAGGCCCCCTTGGGAGGTGAAGTAGGGGTACCCACCTCTGCTCCAAGATAGGGGCCCAGCCAAGTAGGATGGGCAGGTATTCTGGCTGTGGGTACCTGTCCCTCCTGGTCCTGGACCAGAGGGACCTCTGGGTTTCTTGGGGAGGGTGAATGCCCCCCTCCCCTTTTTCCCTTGGGCCCTGTCTCCTGGTCTTCCAGATCCTGCCCAGGCTGGTGTGGACAGACCCTCCTCTCCTAGTCTGGGGATAGAGGAGGACCTTCTTTTTCCCAGGAGAAGGGGCTGTAGTGGTCAAGTCGGTGGTGGCCCAGAGGGCACCAGAGAATCCCAGTCCCTCTCGATCAGGCCTTGCCGGACGAACTCGGCCCACGAGGCCTGTCCCAGGTTAAGAGTCAGGGCTCTCAGCCTGGGGCTGGGCCTGGCCTGGTCGACCAGCCAAGAGCAGCCCTCCGCACTCCGTACCTGCCCTCTGTGTCTGAGCTCCTGCAGTCTCCCCTGGCCATCAGGTGGGGACCCTAGGGCACCCCGATGCAGGGTTGGTCACTTTGGGGACATACAGGTCCAGATGCACCTCTGACCAGGGAGGTTAGAGTGTTCCCTGGCTGACACACACCGCAGCACACGGAGCTGCCAGCAGAGGGCACCAGAGGCCTCCTCCACGGATGGGGCCCTGGAAGGCTCAGGTGGGCACTGGCCAGGTGGTCAGGTGTCTGCGGTGCAGAGCGCACTCACTGCCTGCTCAGCATCCCTGCTCCTGCACCAATGCCACTCCAGTTGACTGTCAACCCCACGCCCTCTTCTTGGGCACCTCCCTCAGCTTTGGGCTAAGCTCTCCAAACCAGTTTTGGCCCTTCCTGGCTGACTCATCCCCCTCCCACCGCTGACTTGATCATGGCCTGCCCCGCCTGACAGCTCTTACAAAGGACGCAATCTCTGGTGGGCTCGGGGATCCACAGTGACCCCCATCCCGCCTCCAGGAAACAGACACATAGCTGCTAGTAGACTTAATTGGTTTAATGACACAGCCTCTGAGCCTCTGTCACCACTCATCTTGGGGTGTGACCTGCAGAGTCCAGGGCTCCAGATTCACCCACCACCCACACAGCATGCAGGGCAAGCCTGGCCTGAGAACGGGTCAGAGAAAGTTCTTTTCTTGGGCTCTGCCGAGGGAAGAGGGATGGGAGTGGGAGAGGGTGTCCACGGCCAGTTCTTGGGTGAGGGTGACTGAGTCCATCCTGGCTCCTTGATGAGTGAAGGGAATATAGCATGCACCCCAGTGGAGCTGGGAGCCCTCCAGGCCACCCCTGGGGAGCAGTGCAGTGGATAGGGGTAACCCCAATATCTGGGGGCTCGGGTCACCAGCCCGGCCAGCTTGGAGCCCAAAGTGGCTGGGTGCTGAGGTCCACTGTCCTGGCCTGGAGGGATAGGGGGTCAGGGGGAGCAGTGGTGAGCAGCTGCAGGGGGCAGGGATAGGGGCCAGGGTCACAGGCACCAGATGGAACCCCTGTGTGGGTGGCGACGCCAGAGGAGAAGTCTCTGTGGCCTCAGGGAGGGGTTGGTAGAGGAAGAAAGGGGCTGGGCAGGTTTGGGGACAGCCACGACTGGCCACAGGGGCAGGAGGATGAGGGGCTGGTCCCCCCAGGTGGCAAGTTTGGCTGAGGTGTGCCTAGGGGCAGGTGGAGGCAGAGGCATTGCTGAACTTCAGGACAGGCCCCCAGCCCACCCCAAACTCCTTTGGTGTCCACGGTGCCAAGTACATCCACATACAGAATAATGGCCCTTGCAGTGGGGGGTGGCCCCCGGCACAAGTGCGACCCGGCTGCAGGCGTGGTGCCCCAGGGCCAGGTCTAGCTGTCTTCCTCTACCCTCCTCTGGTTCTTGGAGTGAAACCTGCTCATAAGCTCCTCCAGCTCTGATCCACCTTGCTGTGTCTGCAGGGATGGGGGGGACTCAGCCTGGGGACCTGCGGGTTGGTCAGCCTCCCCATTTCCCGCGACCGGGGCGCAGGCGCGGTGGGAGGCACAGAAGTGGGGGGCGGCTTACCTCCAGGAAGGCCTTCTGCACGGTGAGCTGGCTGTACACGCGGACGCCGTCCTCACCGCAAACCTTCTTCAGCTCCTCCTTGTTGAGGGAGAAGAGCTGGGGCCCAGTCAGGATGCCCAGGTTCTCCACGATGCTGCGGGCAGGTGGGCGGCGGGGCATGAGGGTGGGCCCGGCCCTGGCAGCCTCCGCAGCACCCGCGCCTGCCCGCGCCTGCCCGCGCCGCCCGCCCCAGCAGCACGCTCACCGGGGGCTGAAGGCCTTGGCTTCCAGCCAGGCGCGGACCTCTTCGGGGCCCGACTCGTACGTGAGCGGCTGGCGCACCGGCTGGCTGCGCTCCACGCGGAAGTGCCGCTGGGGTGGCTGCGTCTTGATGTGGCTGATGATCCTGACGAGCTCGTCGTTGACCTCGTCCATGTGCTGGATCAGCTCTGCGGGCGGCACCGCGCACTCAGGGCCCCTGCCGCGCCCCTCCCCAGACCCCGGGCCCCGCCCCTCCCCAGGCCCCGGGCCCCGCCCCTCGGCGGCGCGGCCTCTCACCGTCCTTGCCCCCGGAGAAGCTTGGGGGCACCTTGTGGGTGGGACTGGCGGCACCCCAGTATTTCTGGCTGGCCTGCAGGGGTGGGGGGAGAGGCAAGAGGGTGGGGGCACCCCCAGCCCCAGCTGGTCATTCGATGTAGCCTGCTTGTGCACACAGACCACCTCCACTGCCCTCCGCGGCCCGCTCCACTTTCTGTCCCCTGAGTGGAGCGATGAGAATGTGGGGCACCCGCCCCTCCTCGCCCCCGACCCCAAATCTCCCCAGGCCCCCACCAGGCCTGCGGGCCGGCCCCTCTGCACCTTTGCAGAGACCCACTGGGGGCCCGTTCCAGCCCCTGCTGTGGAGGGTTCACCCCACCCATCCCAGTCTTCTGCGGAGACGCGGCTGCAGCTGCCGCCCAGCCACCTGGCCCCGACCTCCACCTTCCTCACCTGCTCCAGGTGGGCGTCCTCTGGCCGGACCTCATCCAGGATGTTGCAGGGCACATAGCCTGCCTGGCCACTGCGATTGCGAAGCTTCCACCATTGGCGGCCGTCCTCGAGCACCTGCGGGCACCCCTCCCCGCCATCATCCCCAGCCTGCAGGGCCCCACCCCTCCTCCAACCATGGGTACCAGTGTGGGGTGCACTTCACAGGTGGGCCGGAGAGTTCTGGGCATCTCCCCATGAGCCTGACCCTCCAGTTGTATGGGGACGATCACCACTCCCTCCAGGTGCTCCTGGCGCTGCCCAGCCTTCCATCCCACCAGAGGGATCCCCCTGGCCCCCCACTTTCCTCAGTAGGGCCCTGAGTCAGGGTAACTCTAGCCTACTTGTGCATACAGATCACCCCCACCACCCTCCACAGCCCGCTCCACTTTCTGTCCCCTGGTGAGTGGCCTGGATTCAGGATTGGCACAGATGGTGCTTTGAGGGGCCTTTGGGGTGGGCATGAATGACGAGCCCCCTGCTGGGTCGGAGGGTCCCTCACTCTCCAGCCTGGGCCCAGCCTACTCTAGCACAGGGGCCCCCGAGCCCCCTCTGAGATTCCCCAAGACAGGGAGGCCCCTTAGGCTGTGCTCCAGGTGGGCCTGGTCTATGGACCCAGACTGGAGCCTGGGGAAAGGGGTGCCGCCAGTGTCACACAGCCCCCCACCGCACCCCTGCCTGTCTCCTGAGCAGCCTGCTCCTGGCCCCCACTCACCTCCAGGACCTCGTCCCTGAGCACCGACAGCTCGCTGGCGTTGCGGGCTGTGAAGTCATAGAGGATCTTCACGTACTTGGCCATGGTGGGCACGGGCTCGTAGCCCCTGCGTGGAACAGGTGGGGCTGAGGCCCAGGGCTGGGCTGGGTCTCCTCCTAGACCTGGGGCGAGGCTTGGGGGAGCAGCTTCCAGGTGCCTGGCTACCTCCTGCTTGGCTCTCTGAGGTGCAGCGGAGAGAGGCTGTGGCTTGTCAGCCGGGAATGGAAACTGTGACAGCCCCAGAGTGCCAGGGGCCCCTGGGCAGAGGTGGGGGCGGAGGTGGGCGGGACTCGGGGGCCATGGGCACAGCAAGTCTGCCCCAGCCCAGGCCACCTCATGGGTCTCCAGGCCCACAGGAACCAGAGCTAGCGTGTACCCGGGAAATGACAGGGTCACAGCACCCCAGAAACAGCTGACCAATGAGGGCAGGATGTTTTCAGGGCCAAGGCCCCTGAAGCATGGCGGACATTGCAGGAGCAGCCGCAGGGGGCTGCCCATGGGCGGCAGGGGCACAGGGTACGAGGGCAGCAGCTCTGACTGGGGGTGTCCCAGGCTCAGGTGGAGCTCTGCCCAAGCCAGGCCATCCCGCTGGGTCAGTCTGATCATCAGGTCAGCTCCTCTTCCAGTACAGATCCCAAAACGCCAGGGAGGGGTGGGACTGGATGGCCCTGGAGTCCTGGCTGGGGTCTGCCCGGGTTGGCCAGGGAGATGGCCAGGGGCTGGAGGTCGAGATGCAGACGTTTCTTAAAGTGTGGCCCTAGGGCAGGCCCTGGGCACCAGGCTGGTGATGTGGGGTGAAGGGATGGGCTCCCTCCTCTCCTCAAACTGAATCCTGGGGCCTGGCAGGGTAACAACCTCCCAGGCAGATCCTGGACCAGGAATGGGAACAGAAAGGAGAGGGGGGGAGGGGGGATCCCCCAGGCCCTAGGTCTGTGAGACGTGGTATGTGGAAATGTGTGTGTGCAGGTAGAGGGCTGCTGTCCTAGCTCAGACCCTGTCTCCTCTGCTCCTCTGCCCACATCAGCCTCAATAGGGCAAGGATTGATGAAACCACTTAAGTTTAGTGGCTTAATATATTTCTAACCATGACTCTGAAACATAAATGTAGGGACAAGAAAAGAGACGATGGATTAAGGCAGTGAATGTATGGGTGGCTTTCGACATTTTTCCTTCAATTATATATAAAGGTAGAATGAAAGTATGGTACTAATTTGAAAGGTATGAATTTTGAAAGGTATGAATGAGGCACTTACTGCCACCTGGTGGCAGCATACCCACAGCAAAGCCTCTGTGATTCGAGGGGTGAGTGTCACACTCCCTCTGTGAAGAAGGCTTACCTGTGCGCATGTGGGGAGCTGCCTGGTGAGACATCTCCGGGGGGTGTGGGCTCAGACACAAGGCTGTGCTTCACGGAGTTTCGAAAAGATGGTCGGCTCACTGGAGTTGGCTGTGGGGAAAATGGATCATCTGGGCTCTGTGTGGGGTGGGAGTAGCTAGGCAGGGTGGTGAGGGCCAAGTGGAGGTGAACCACAGTGAAGGGGTAGATGCCGGAGTTGGGGGGGGAGGTGGGCTGTGGGTGCTCTGACCTCATCCTCAGGGGTGGTGGACACCTGCCCCTCCACTTCCCAGGGAGCCTCCTGCAGCATGTCCATGGGTGGCTCCCAGCCGTTGTGGAACGTGGGCACATAGAGGGGCACCTGCGGCTCCCGTGGCCACTCGGAGCTGAAGGAGTCCTGGGGTGAGCTGTGCCCACCTGTGGGAAGCGGCCCCTCCCACGACCCCATCTGGTCCGAGCCTCCACCCTGCACCGCCCTGCCCAGGCCTTCCCACCCCCTTCCTGCCCACAGCCGCACCGGGGGCGTGTCCAGGTCTCCCCCAGCGACTCCCACAGGGCCGTCTCCTTGGGGACTAGGTGGCCACGCAGGAAGCCCACAGCATCTTGGGACAGCAGGGGACTGGACACCGAGCGTGCAATGTCTGGACCACCGCAGGTGCTGACGATCTAGGGCACAGTGTGGTCAGGGGCGCCGTGCCCGCCAGACCCCAGCCTGTGCCCCACCCGGGGCTGCCCCGCTCTGAGGGCGGACCCCCCCCAGCCCAGTCACCAGGTCCAGAGGCCCGAAGAGGAAGTGCACGAGCTCAGCCGCGCTGGGGTTCTGGATGTGCCTCTGCAGCTTGGCCTGGTGGGGAGTGGGCAGCGGGTGCGTGGGGAGTGGGGGGCTCCGGACCCCCCCATTCCATGTCAGCACCGGGGGGCGGGCGGGAGGGCAGGCCGCTGGCTCACCAGCAGGTTGATGGCCAGCTTGATTTTCTGGAAGCAGTCAACAAACTCAGCCTCGGAAGGGGGCCGCGCCCGCAGTGTGAGAACGCCCTCTGGAATGGGGGTGGTGTGAGCCCGCTGGCCTGTCCCTGAGTCCCGCGAGTCTTGTCTGCAGTCTCATGTGTCCCTCCACCCGGACTGGACCCCCTGCTCAGTGGCCACTCCGTCCTCCCACTGCCCTGGTCTCCCCTCCCCCCACCTCTACTGCATCTGGGTCTTTGCATCGGACACCCCGCCTGCCCGGTGCCCCTCCTCCGCACCCGCCTCCCCTCCCCAACCCGTGCCCCCAGGGCCCCCCCACCGCACCCGCAGGTCCTTTCTTCCCCTTCTTCTTCCCCTTCTTGCGCTGTTTCAGCTGCTTGAAAGCCTCAGCCGCCTTCTGCAGCCGAGCCACGAACCACTCGATGTCGTCCAGGGCACAGTTGAGGACTTGCTGGGGTCAGAGTGGGGGTGTGTCAGCCTCAGGCACCCCCACCCACTGCCGGGACAGCCACTGCGGCTCCTTGGCCCTGCCTGGGGGAGGCTGGGCCCTGGCCGGGGGCTGACAAGACCCACCGTTTCCTTCTCTATCTTCTGAGCCAACACGGCCCGCGGCTCCTCGTCCTGCGACTCCTGGCGGCGGAAGCCTGGACGGGGCAGAGCTGCTTAAGCCAAGGCTGCCCCATGGCTGGGCAGCCCCAGCCCCGGCCCCGGCCCACGGCCTACCTGGCTCGCTGAGTGGCACAGGCGGGCCCACTCGGTTCCTGGAAGGGGAGCCCCCGCCCAGGTGCTGGAAGGGGACAGGGGCCGGGCCCATGGGAGGTGGCAGGACTGACTGCCGTTGCCGGATCTTCTCCTGGTGGCCCCTGGGGGACAAAGGCGGCTCAGCCCGCAACTGCGGGCGTCTCCCAGGCCCTCCCGCTGTGTCCCCTCCACCCTACTTCAGGGTCTGAGGCCGCATCTTCTTCCCCAGCCGGCAGTCGGCCAGCGCGCTCTCGATGTCCTCATGCACCAGCTCCGCCTGGGGGGACAGCGCGTGAGGTGGCGGCTGGGCTGGGCCTCCACCCGGTGCCCGCCTGGGCCCTGCCTCACCTCCACCTCGTCGCAGTAGAAGAAGTGGATGTCGGGCTTGCTCTGCTCGGAGTCCTGGCACACGAGCAGCAGCACCGACGGGTAGCGCAGCTGGTTCAGCACCGTCTGGCTGTGCCGCACGGTGGGCAGTGGGAAGTTCTCCAGCTCCTCCTGGGGGCCGGGCAGCTCAGTGGATGCAAACCCGCCCCAGGCAGAGCCGAGGAGGGACACAGCCACGGACCCGGCCTGTGGCGTCCCAGCCACGGACATGGACGCAAGTGCAGCTTGCAGCCCAGAAAAGGGACGTGGCCCAGCGTGGACAGACATTAGCTCCGCTGACAGGCCACAGCCATGGCACACGGATCACTGACACACCGGGCCCTGTGTGACGTGGCTTCTGGGAACACTCAGCCCCATCCAGCCACCTGCCCTGACCTGTCTGCCCTTGGCGCTTGTCAGGGCCCCACCCCGACAGGGATGCCCCGCTGCTCTGGTCAATGCCTCTGCCACCTGCCCCACTGCCTACCTGGGACTCCACATCCAGCAGCCGCAGGGACTGGTCGCTGACCTGCAGCAGCATCTCCTGCGTCCAGACCTTCTCCTTGGAGCTCAGCTGCACCAGCTTCCGGATAGCGTCGTCCACGGACACGATGGCTTCACTCTTGTCCATGATGAATGTGGCCAAGTGCTGGTGCAGAAATAGTCACTCTGGGCAGAGCCCACCTTGTGCCAGCATCAGGGACAAGGGGTACTCCCTGGGGGTCTGAGGGGCCGTGGCCAATCCTGGGGGGCCACGGACAACCCAGGGGGCCTGAGGGGGTCTCTGCTCTGTCTTGGTGGATGTCTGTGGGGCCACAGATGTGCCCTGACAGAACCCTTGGCAGCCCTCCACAAATAATCCCTGTCCACCACTTCTCGGGTGGCTGGGCTGCAGGGACACCCGCCTCCCTCCCCAGCTGACTTGGTGCAGACTCACTGCAGGACCTTTGCACGCTGTCTCTACCCTGCCCCTGGCCTTCCCAATGCTCTTCCTTAAGGATTCTGCCTGGACATCACCCTCCCTGACTGTTTAGCCTACAGTGTCACCATGACACCTCATCCCTGACCTGCCTGCTTTTTGTTTGTCATGAGCTGACACTGTGTTGTATGTGACCTACTTCTCTTTGTTTTCTGGCTGCTGGGCCCCGCTGACACCCCAGGGCCTGGGGCAGTACCTGCACACAGCAGGCCTCAGGGAATGTGCAGTGTAGGAGTGAGCGCCCTGGGCTCTTGGCCAGCCCAGCCCTCCCCTTACCAGTGTGCCCTTCTGTCCTCCCCACCTCCTGCCAGGCTCCCCCATGTGTCTGTTGATCTTCACTGGATTCAGTAAGCAATGCTGGCATAGCTGGATAAACACTAACATAAACTCCAGGCAGTCAAGACTTAAGGCAAAATGCAAAACCATGAAAGTGCTGAAAGAAAATCCTGGATGATTTTTTATATTCTCAGAAAGGCCTTTGCAAGAGGGTACTTTCCTAAATAAGGAAGAAAATCCAGATGCTCAAAAGAAAAGACCAATAAATCTGACTTAATGAAAAAGATAAAAACTTCTGCCGGAGGAAAAAAATACTATATACAGGGTTAAAAAGAAAAAGTGGGAAAAATATAGATAGAGTAGACATAAAAAGGCTAATTTTCTTAATATATAAAAAGACTAATATGTGTTATAATGATAGTTCTTACATCATTAAAAGCTCTATCTCGTTAAATAAAGATACCAGTAATAAATGAGTACATAAATGAGAAAATATGTAAGTGAAAAGATCAACACCCCAATAGAAAAATTGAAAAATTGGCAGAACTTATACCACAGTCTTCAGGAAAGTAAACATTAGTAACTTTCTAATATAGAAAATTGTATGTGATCTCATTCAACAAAAGGACTGTGAATTGAAGCTCTGAGACTATTATTTTAGGAATGAATCAACCACTGATTTTTTTACCAAGTCTATTGACTAGCACCAACCAGTGCTTGTGGGTTACACCTGTGAGCTGGGGCGCAGTGAAGTGGGAACATCACTACACACCCGTCTGGCTGCTCTGGGGATAGGCTGGTGACACTGTAAAGGTGCACGTGCTCTCCTGTCACAATTCTGCTTCAGGTACCTGCCCGTGCACAAAACTGCAGAACTGCTTGTAATAATGAGGGTGGGACCCAGCCTACATGTCCACCCACAGGTTAGAGCGGTAAGTGGGCAGAAATACAGCATGGGCTATGGGGAGCCTGCATGTCTGTGCGGGGCAGGGTACAACCCAGAGCATGCCGCTAGCAGCACACACCACCACCAGACCAGACCTAGCCATGCCACCATGCTCAGTAATTCCTAAATGGCGAAAGCCAGGGCATGTTTTGTGGCCATAATAGAATTAAGTTAGAGATCAGTAATAAAAAGAAAACCAGAAAACTTTCAATCAGAAATTAAGCAACCCACTTCTAAATAACTCATGGCTACACAGTTGTGGAAATGAACACACTTTTAACACTTTCAACCAATGGGCGAAAGAAGAAATCCCAAGGGAAATAAAATACTTAAGAGGCAAGTGACAATGAAACCACAACACACCAAAACTGATGGGGCTCATCAAAAGCAGTGCTCAGGGGAGCCTTTAGAGCTGTAAATGCTTCCACGAATACAGAATAACAATTTGAATAATCCACAGGTCGAAGAAGTCACAAGAAAATCAGACATTCTGCACTGCACTGGACAGGGTGAGGATCTAATCACGTGGGTAACTGGTGAACCAGTGTGTTGTATATTTGACACCAATATAAATCGCGTATCAATGATACTTCAGTAAAAAAGAGAAAAAAGAAAATATTCTGAACCAAATGATAATAACACTATGTACATGAAAACTTGTGGGATACAGCTAAATGAGTCTTTCACTTGAAATTTACAGCTTTAAATGAATACATCAGAAAAGAAAGAATATATAATATCAGTGATCTAGGCACTCCCCTTAAGAAGCTAGACAAAGACAATCAAAACCCAAAGTAATTGGAAGAAAGGAAATTAAGAGAGAAATCAACGAACTAGTAAACAGAGAAATACTAGTGAAAAATCAACAAAGCTCAAAGTTGGTTCTGAACAGATTTATGAAATTTATAAATCTGTAGCAAGACTGATCAAGAAAAAAACAGAGAACACAAATTACCAATAACCAGAAGGACAGAGAGGACATTACCACAGATCCTACAGGCATCAAAGTGAACTTGTAACCAAAAACCTTCCAAAGAAGCACAAACCTTATACTCAGAAGGCCTCACAGGTGAGTCCTAAGAAATACCTAAGGAAGAAATCTTGACAACGTTTCATAAACTCCTGAGATGGAGGAGGAGAGCATATGCCCCCCGCCATTGTATGAAGCCAACATAAGCTGATGCCAAACCTGCCAAGGGCATTGAAGGAAAAGAAAATTATAGACCAGTATCTCTAATAAACATCAATGTAAAAAACCCTTAACGAAATATTAGCAAGAGCCCAACGGCATATAAAAAGGACAACACACTATGAACAAACGAGGTTTATCCCAGAAATGCAAGTTGATTCAACATAAAAAACACAGCCAATCAGTGTGATTTACTATGTTCAGTAGTGAATAAATCACAATAGGCTCAGAGAAAGCATTTAACAAAATTCAACACCTTTCATGATAAAAACTCTCAGCAAATAAGAATGGAAAGGACCTTTCTCACTCCAATAAAAGATGTCTACAAAAACACAGCAAATAAAACAGGTAGACTTGAGGACTTTCTTCTGAGACTGGACAGAAGGCAAGGGCATGTACTCCCAATACTCCTATTCAGCATTGGGCTAGTGGTCCTCGCCAGGGCAATGAAATAAGAAGATAAAGTGGCATCCATTCATGATAAAAACTCTCAAGAAAATGGGTATAGAGAGCAAGTACCTCAGCATAATAAAGGCCACATATGGCAAACCTACAGACAACATTATACTTAACAGCGAGAAGCTGAAAGCTTTTCCTTTAAGATTGGGAACAAGACAAGGATGCCCACTCTCCCCACTATTATTCAACATAGTTCTAGAGACCCTGGCCACGGCAATCAGACAACACACAGAAATAAAAGGCACCCAGATTAGCAAGGGAGAAGTTAAACTGTCCCTGTTTGCAGATGACATGATACTGTACATAAAAAACCCTCAAGAATCCACTCCAAAACTTCTAGATCTAATATCTGAATCCGGCAAAGTTTCAGGATACAGAATTAATACACAGAAATCTGTTGCATTCCTATACACTAAAAATGAACTAGCAGAGAGAGAAATCAGGAAAACAATTCCATTCACAATTGCATCAAAAAGAATAAAATACCTAGGAATAAACTTAACCAAGGAACTGAAAGACCTATACTCTGAAAACTACAAGACACTCATGAAAGAAAAAGAAGATACCAATAAATGATCCGATAAAGGGTTGACATCCAAAAATACATAAAGAGCTCACGCACCTCACAAATAAAAAGCAAATAATTCGATTAAAAAATGCAGACACTTCTCCAAAGAAGAAATTCAGATGGCCAACAGACACATGAAAAGATGCTCCACATCGCTAATGTCAGAGAAATGCAAATTAAAACCACAATGAGATATCACCTCACACCAGTAAGGATGGCCACCATCCAAAAGACAAACAACAACAAATGTTGGCGAGGTTGTGGAGAAAGGGGAACCCTCCTACACTGCTGGTGGGAATGTAAACTAGTTCAACCATTGTGGAAAGCAGTATGGAGGTTCCACAAAAAGCTCAAAATAGACATACCATTTGACCCAGGAATTCCACTCCTAGGAATTTATCCTAAGAATGCAGCAGCCCAGTTTGAAAAAGACATATGCACCCCTATGTTTATTGCAGCAGTGTTTACAATAGCCAAGAAATGGAAGCAACCTAAGTGTCCATCAGTAGATGAATGGATAAAGAAGATGTGGTACATATACACAATGGAATACTACTCAGCCATAAGAAAAAAACAAATCCTACCATTTGCAGCAACATGGATGGAGCTGGAGGGTATTATGCTCAGTGAAATAAGCCAGGTGGAGAAAGACAAGTACCAAATGATTTCACTCATCTGTGGAGTATAAGAACAAAGCAAAAACTGAAGAAACAAAACAGCAGCAGACTCACAGAACCCAAGAATGGACTAACAGTTACCAAAGGGAAAGGGTCTGTGGGGGATGGGTGGGAAGGGAGGGAGAAGGGGAATAAGGGGCATTACGTTTAGGACACGTAGGTGGGGGCACGGGGAAGGCAGTATAGCACAGAGAAGATAAGCAATGACTCTGTAGCATCTTACTATGCTGATGGACAGTGACTGCAATGGGGTATGTGGTGGGGACTTGATAATGGGGGTAATCTAGTAACTACAATGTTGATCATGTGATTGTATATTAATGATACCAAAAAATAAAAGAAGATAAAGTGGCTAAAAATAAGAAATTACATACTGGATTTTTAGACATTATTGTAGATGTAGAAAATCCAGCAACTCCACAAACAAATGACCAGAACAAATAAATGAACTCGGCAAAGTCTTAGGGTTATTCGGTCACTGTGAAAATTTCAATCATTTTTCTACATGCTAGCAATAGACAACTGGAAAATGAAATTAAAAATATATCATTTGCATCGGTATATAAAAATCAAATACCCAGTGAGTATTTTCACAAAAGACGTGTGAGACCCCTACTGTGCAAACCACAAAACCTCTTGAGTGAAGGTAGGTACGTTCTGGTGAGTACAGAGACCCCACATGCTGGATGGGAAAACTCAGTATTCCCAAGACACTAAAATGTCAACTGTCCCTGAATTGATCTGTAGACTTGACTCAATGCCAATCAAAATTCTATCAGGCTTTTTTTGGTGGGGGGTAGGCAGGTAGAAATGGACAGTTTAATTTTTCAATGTAACTGCAAGTCCAAAGAACTTAGAATAATCGGGAAAATCTCGAAGAAAAAAGAACAAAGTTGGAGAACTCACATTGCCTGATTTATAAATAATGCCACACTGAGTGACCGTGTGGAGCAGAGAAGCCCAGAAGAGACCCATTCATGTCCAGTGAATCGATTTTTGACAAAAGCACCAATAGGGGAGGGAGGGTCTCTTGAATGTGACCACACCTTCCCCACGGGGGAGAAATGAACCTTGAGTGCTATGCTCCCCGATCAGCCCTGATTCACACCATACCCAAAATTAATTTAAAACGGATCAGAGACCCAAATGCAAAAGCCTCAACTATGAGGTATCTAGGAGAAACACATAAAGAAATCTTCAGAGCCTTGGGTCAAGCAATGATCCCAAGCCGCCTTCTCCCTGAAAAAACAAGAAAACCCCAACTATCACAGACAAAACGGGGAAGATCAGATGTCAGCACCATCACCAGACTGGGAGAGGGTGACAACGTGCGTACAGGACGCCTACCCGTCAGTATGGAGCGTGTGTACATGCGGGGACGGACCAGGGCCACACGAAGCCGAAGCGTCCCCTGCAGCCCAGTGCCTACAGCTGTCTTGCTCTGCACCCACTTTTCCTTGAAATGAATTCGCGAAGCAGAACAAAGGTGTCTGTGAACCGTGAGGCTCCGCTTAGAAAGGATTCTCAAAAACACAAGGTGTGGTGATGGAGGGCACAGCGGTGCTGCCCACGCTGGGGTGGGAAAGACAGAGGGCCAGGGTGCTTTGGGGCAAAGGCATTTTCTGGGTGCCGGAGACGGTGAAAACCAAACCCACAGGCTTCAGCAGCGCCCCCGACTGTCAGAGTGGGTGTGTACTCCCCTGCCCCACCCTCTCTCTGTGCCTCTGTTTCCCCCTCCGGGAGGGGCAAGCAAACCCGCCCACTTCCCCCGCCTTGGTGGTTGTTGGGTGAGCAGGAGAGGCGCCCGGGGCTGCGGCCCCTCAGCAGGCTAGCCTGGACCGAAGTCCGGGAGCAGGTCTGGGAGGCCCAGGTGGCTATGGTTCCTCACCCAGGAGGGCAAAGTCCTGGGACGGAAAGGGATGGAGCTGACCTGCCCCCTCCTGCCCTGTCCTTGGGCACAAAGGCAGTAGCAGTCACCAGATGGGCAGGGCCACCGTCTCCCAACATGGCCAGTCAAGGGCCCTCGTGACTGGCATGGTGCAGGCCAGGGAACAGGCTCAGCCAGCAGGCCCGCCTGGCCTCTGTGGGTATGGAGGCTTCTGTGGGGAGGGAGGTGCCCCCATTCGTGGCCCAGGGCCCCCTTCCTGGTACAGACTCCCCCTTTCTGGTCCAGGCCCCCCTTCCTGGCCCAGGCCCACTGTCCCTGCCTCCTGGGCCACTCCAGCCCTACTGCTGTGCTGCCTTGGACGATGGCCAGGACCGAGGACCTCAGCCCGCTGCCAGGAGCAGGAAGGTCACTTTAAAATCATACTTCCTGAGTTCAACATGTGGATCAAAACGGTCCCAAGAAAAGCCTGCTGAGCTGGCAGCTGGTGTGGAGCACAGACGAGCAGTCCCGAGCCCACCTCCCCGCGGCAGCTCGGCGAGGGTGTCTCAGTACCGTCTTCACCCCACTCAACCAGCTCCTTGTTTTGGAGCCAGGATGACAATTCCCACGGGGCCTTCCCATCGGAGCCTGGCCAGACAGCACTCAGGGCTTGTCCCCCACCCCACCCCAGCCCGTGTGGGCCACTAGCACCTTCTCTCCCCAGGCACGCCTTCAGGCTCCCTGTGTCCCCAGGCTGTGAGCTCCCCAGGGCAGGGGCCTCCTGGGTCCCCAGACCGTGAGCTCCCCCAGGGGGGGCTCCCCAAGATCTACTCCTGTAGGGGTCCCTGATGTGGACAGGTCCTTGGCTCTAGCCACCTGCTGTGGGTGTCAGACCTGGGCTACCCATGACTCTTTGCGCCTGCCCCACCCACGCTGCCCGTCCCCTGGGGCACTGAGGTGGTTGTGGGTGCGGGGCGGGCCCCTGGCCGCCTCACCTGGACGTGATACTGGGATGTCTCGTGCATGATGGTGTTCGAGTTGGAGTACTTCTTTCTCTGCTCTGAACGGGAAGCACCGGTCACTCACCCTGAGGGTGGGGCCATGGCCCCCAGTCCAAGCTGGATCCCAGGTGGGACTGGGGAGGGTGCAGCAGAGGTGGGGTGCTGCTCTGCTGGCCCCTCGAGGTTACCAGGAAGGACTCAAGGATGAGAAATGTGGGAGGTGGCCCTCCCGGCAGCCCCTGGGGCAGGACCCCGGCTCAGTGTGGTGGGGGCCTGTCTTGGAGAGGGTGCAGGAGGCTCAGTCTCCTCCCTGGAGCCCCCTTGCCCAGGAAGTCCGGGACAGGGCTTCCCCTGCTCTAAGCCCTGCCCCTCCCCAGAGCTTTGTGCTTTCCTGAGGGGACACGGACACTGTCCAAAGGCACCAAAGGAGAGGGCGGTGGGGGTGGCGGTGTGTCTTAGGGGGGCAGAGCTGGGGAGGTGGGGACTGGCCAGGCCCCACCTTCCTGGAGCTGGCACCTGGCACTCAGTCCTGCTGGAATCCTGCCCTGGGCGATAGAGTTGCGGCCGAATCAATATTGATGGCCCCTGAATTATTAGTAAGAGCCTCTCCCCTTACCAGAGTGCTGCAGAGAGCGACCCAGGCAGCTGTTGGTGAGGATTCAGGGGCCTCATCTGGGCTCCCAGGGCTGACCTGCATCTCCCCTGGGGGTCCTCGCACAGCCTTGCAGAGGGCAGTGGGCAAGACCTCCCCCGGGCCCCTGCCACTCCCATACTAGGCTGTCACCCACAGCCTCCCATCCTCAAACCTCACTCACCAAACAGGTCCTTGGCACTCATCTTGGACACACTGTCAGACTGGCCCAGGCTGCCGCTGCCAGGGAGAGGCTGGTGAGGGCAAGTCTGTGCTGCTCCCTCCCTGGGGACGGCTCCCCTCCCTGGGGTCGGCTTGGTGGGGGAGGAGTGGGCAGGTGGGGCGGGGGCTCACTTGGCAGCACCCGGGAAGCAGCTCACGGACCCCGACTGGCTCATGGTGTCCCTGGTGGTGGCTGGCAATGCAGGGCAGACCTCAGGCCTGAGTCCAGGGCCTAGTGCCCGCACCTGAGAGCACAGAGTGAAGCTGACGCCTCCTTGGGCCCTGGTGCAGGGCCTGAGTCTCCTCCTACCACATGCCAGAGCCAGGGGTTGGAGCCTGATGTCCTGGCCACATTCCCCAAGGGTGCCTGGGCAGGGGGTCCTCAGGCAGCAAAGCCCCACCTCCTGGGGACACACCAGGACCACCCCTGCCTTGCGTCCCAGCTGGCGGTCACTGTGGCCCCATCTCATCCAGGACCCTTGGTCCTCCACAGAGACCCTCAGGCCATCTGGGGTGGGGCTGCGAGGGGGTATCTTGGAGGCTCTGGAGGTGGGTCCTTGGCAAGGAAGTGCCTTCCCAGCAGAGGAGGGCTGGGCAGGTTCAAAGGCACTGAGGCAGGTGGGAGGCACACACTGGAGGAAGAGTTCAGGGTGAGGCTGGAGCCCTGGGGGGTGTACTGGGTCCCAGAGCCCAGGGCAAAGGCCAGAGGGCGCCCACCCTCTAGGGTGAGAAGAGCCTGGACCCCTGGACCAGGCTGGCATGTCCTGGGGGTCTGTGTCCCCTGGGGACCTCTGGCAAGGCTGTCCCTCTTTGGCCTCAGTGTTTGGGGGTCTGCCAGGGTGGGGGCTCACAAGCTAAGGGTGCTGGTATCCAAGGCAGGGAGTGCCCCAGGACTTTCTGGTTTGACTCCCAGGAGGTGTGAGGCGCTGGGGCTACTCCCGCCCACATGCTCTCTGGGGAGGAGTGGGTGAGGGCGCAGGGCCAGATTCCTCTGTCCATCTGACTGTGGAGAATATGCCCGGAATGCTCATGACCCAGGGGGTGAGCCCAACTGTTTGCTTAATGGAAGCCAAAGGCATTGGGCACGTGTGTTCAGGTACACACACCTGGGTGACACACAGACATGCACAGGTCGGGGCACGCAGCCCCTCCCCTCAGGGAGTCTGGGCTGGGAACATGGAGGCTTCAGCTCCCTGGGACAGAGTGAGGGTCCCTGGGCCATGCAGACGGAGGGGTTCGGCACTGCCGGGGTCAGGGATCAGCTGGAGGAAGGGGAGCTTCTTTAGCTGACTGGCAGAGGCGCCCTGCAAACCCAAGGGGTGGCGCGGGCACTGCCCGAGGGCCCTGGGGCCCTGGCTGCACTTTGGTTTTACTATAGCCATTTTCCGGGTGCAAAGGCAGGGCTGAGCAGGGCGCTCGGTTGAGCAGTGGAGGGGAGGAGGCCTTGGCAGGGCAGGAAGGGCAGAGGGAGAGGCTCCAAGTTCAAATTCCAGTTCACAGCCAGTGACCTTGGGGAGGAGTCGGCTTAAGGGCCCAGGGAGAGGGGTGCGGGGCCCTGGCTTTGCCCAGGTCCGGTAGCCGTGGGCTGGGGAGGGCCGTCGGGGTGGGAGGAGGGATAGGATGGGCCGGGGGAGCCGAGGCGGGGGCGGGCCTGAGGCGCAGTCTAAAGGCAGGCAGAGTGCGGAGCAGACAGGGCTGGGTGGGGCGCTGAGCCCTCGCAGGGACCTGGAGAGGCCTGGGCAGGGCTGCGGGAAGGGGGCCGAGGAGGGAGCAGAGGTGGGGGAGGGGAGGCTCTACCAGCTGGGCTCTGCGTCAGCACAGCGGGGGCCGACCAGGCTGGGGTGGGGGCACAGGTGGTCTGAACACCCCTGCAGTCCTGCGGAGCCCCCTCGCCTGCCACTAAGGACCCAAACACAGGCTCCAGCCTGGCCAGCGGGGCGGCCACAGGTGGGACACCCACGGCCCACTGCCAGCCCACCCTGGATCTACCCTGCACAGGCCCCCGCCTCCTCCCTCAAACCCCCACACCCCAACCTTGACCAGAAGTCTGGCCCAGCCTGAGGCTTCCCCCACCCTGGATTTCCTTCTGGTTCAGACACCCAGGAGGCGCCTGACGTCTGACCCACAGGGGCCCCGCCTGCCTTGGGCCCTGGGGTGTAGGGCCTGCGAGGGGCCAGGGGAGAGCGGCCCTCACCACCGCCTTCAGGGCTGACTCAGGTGCCACTGGCTTTAACTTCCCCGAGTACCGGCGCCACCCCAGGGCCAGACCCGACCGAACCGGACCGGGCCGGCAGGCCGCAGCGGGACCGGGCTCCTGGCCACAGCCCGGTCAGTGCCTTGCGGCCCGATGCTCCCCTGCGCCCTCGGTCGACCCGAGGGCCCCGGCCAGAGCCCCGCATCGCGCAGCCACCTGGGGAAAACTGAGGTCCGGCCGGCCCGCCGTCGGTGCGCGCAGCTCCCGCGTCGGCCCTCAGCTGCCCTGGTTGGACCTACGCGCTCACCTGCTCTGTCGCCCTGGGCCCCGCGGCCGTCCTTCCGTCCTTCCGTCCGCCGTCTGTCGGCGCCTGGCCGGGCGGCGTCCGGGCTCAGCGGGCCGGGCCGGGCGGGGCCCGGAGGAACCTGAGCGGCAGGTTGGAGACCCCGCCCCGCCCGGCTCCCCGCGGCGGCGGCCCCAACACCCGCCCTTCCCTGCCCCGCCCCGCTCCCCGAGGTCGGCCCAATACCTGCCCGTGGCCCCGTGCATACCCCAGGCCAGAGCTGGGGACCAGGGCGACCGCGCAGGCTGAGGCCACGAGGCCTCTCTGGAGCACGCAGAGCTGTGCCCTGGCAGGGGCAGCATGTGCCCGGGGAGGCCAGCCTCACCCCTGCCAGATGCCTTCAGCTTCAGGTGCCCCCACTGGGGCCCACCCTGGCCACTGGCCCCAGCGCAAAGCTCCGTCTCTTCAGCCCTTTTAGTCTAGGGGAGCACTAGGCCCAGCTTCAGTCTGGGTGGGTGTCAGGCCCAGGGTGTCAGAGCCCCCTAATCTGCACTCTGAGCTTGCCAGATGGGACTCACCTCCACAATCTAGGAGATACTGAAGTCTCTCTCTTTGGGCCACCCCAGCCCAGCCTGGGCACCCCCTGAGGGATGGGGGCATGTCACTGGACGGGGTGTGCGAGGGCAGAACGGGTGGGGGAGCATCCTGTGATGCCCCTTCCTGAGGCCCAGGCCCCAGCTCTGCCCACTCCCGGGCTCCTGCTTCTGAACTGACTCCTGGGACGCCCGCCCCGCTGGGCCAGGAGGAAGTGGGGCAGGGGCAGAGGCAGGGCCAGGCGCGGTGGGCAGCCCCCACACGTGCCGGATCGGAGGCTATTGTTCCCATGGTGGGCGGGGCAGGCAAGGCTGCGCTCTCAGAAGGGCAGGGCAGTCGGCCTGCCTGCGTTTGCTGGGGCCAGCATGGCACACTTCCTGGGGAATCCCCAGGGAAGGGCAACACACTTCACCCTGGAGGCTCGGCGGCACTGCATTTGGACTCCAGGGGCATGTTGCTAGGACCCCAGAGGCAGGTCTCTGCGCCCGTTGTCTGGAGCATCCCAGGTGAGATGCGGAGGGGGTGCAGGAAGTGGCCTTCATCCTTGGGCACAGCCCTGCCCCTGAACCCCAGCGAGGCCAGACTTCCTGGTTCTCTCCCTAACTCTGCTGAGCACCCAGGGGAAGAGGCAGATGCCCACCCTGACCCTTCCTGAAAGCTGTCAGGGTGGGCGAAAAGTGGGAAGGCCCGCACACAAGGCGACACTGAAGGGCAGCTCTTAGCTCCTGAGATCAATGACTGCCATCAGATTGGGAGCAGAGCCCCAAAAGCAGGCAGCAGGGGGCCTGATGTCCCAGACCAGTTGGTGGCCACCCGGAGCCCTGGTGCCCCCCATGGACAGGAGACCACTGCCTGTGTGTGGCTGAAGTGATGGGGGTCTCAAAGGCCCATCCCAGATCCTTGGGTGGGAAGTCATGAACCCTGGAAGCAACAGGTGTCATGCTGCCTGGGTCTGTAGGGAGGAGCCACAGGGCACCCACCCCACCACCCTAAGGGCACGAGGCATCCACTGGTCCAGAGCCAGAGAAGCTGGCCAAGGGGAGGGATCGCCCCCCAACTCACCCAAGGGCAAAATCACTGAGGGTGCCACCACCACCCCTTGCTGAGGCCTGTGCTCAGGCAGAGAAAGAAGTCTGGAGAAGGTAGGTGCCTTAATTAGCACAAACTCAGGGAAGTACAAACATTTCTTTATTTTAAGAATATTGTGAGAAAACACCTAGATATTCAAACATGTTATTACAACACAGAAAATGTGCAAAAAAAATGAATGAAGTCATTAGAAAATACCAGCCTGGAACCTTCAAAGAGCACTCAGACCAGTGGATGGGTCTCATCCAGCACAGGAAACTGGTGCTGCTGACGTCTGGCCACACGGGCTTGGCCTCTGAGCAATGAATGGAGCGGCTCTCCGGCCATGCCCGCCCGGGGCCCCTGGTTGTTCTCCACATCCTTTCCTGCCACCCTCCCTCCCCTCAGTGCCTGGGGGTCCCAGACCACCTTTCTTCAGGATCCACAAGGGGAAGGGAGCTATGGCTGAGACCTTCCAACCCAGGGCTCACAGGCTCTCTGCACCGACTTTCTCCCGGCACTCAGCCTACTGCAAAGCCCGGGATCCCTGGTCCCTAGCTCCAGGCCCCGTGGTGTGGACTGGTGAGGAGAGGATGTGACACCCCATCACCATGAGAACTTGTGCCATCCCGGCCTGCTCCATGGAGACCAAGTACCCCAGCACACCCAGAGTGGGCCACGGACACTGGGAAAAGCTTCTCCAACGAGGTGACACGGTGGTGTCCCGAGCCACTGCTGGAATGGGTGGTTCTATGAGGTTTGTGGCAATAGCCTGGCTGCCCTTTTCAAAGGGCTGTGTCCACTCTGGGCCTCAGGGTCAGGGTAGCTGCTGAACTAAAACCCTCACCAGCCAAAATTGGGGACTGAGCAGATGTCCCTATGCCACCACGGCCATCACCCGGGGCACTTCTGGACCCCTCCCACAGTTGTCCCCAACACTGGCCCCATACCTTGTTTCTGACCCCACCCCCTCCAAAACCCCTCAAGCCACTGCAAACTGCCCGGCCCTGAAACACCATGGCAAACCAGCAGGAAAATGCCTTTCCATTCTGCAACAGGGACAGTGACGTGGGGAGGCGGCTGGGCACCACCCATCTAGCTGACAAAGGTGGCGATGGCCACCACCTGCAAGACAGCCTCGAGGCCGTGGAGCGCCAGGAGCGTGGCGCTGAGCACCAAATCTGCCCACAGCACCACGGTCTGCCAGAGCAGGAAATACATGGACAACAGGCTGCCAGCTGCTGTGAGGACCAGGCTGGTGGCCAGCAGCCCCTTGGCCTCTGTCAGGTTGCCCTTGGTGCCTGGGGAGCAGAACAAAGTCAGGGTGAGTGCTGGGTCCTGGGATGATGTTTGCTCTGGATGCATGTGGGCCTGGGAGGCCAGAAGCCACAGGGAGGCCAGCCCTGGTGCCACAGCTGTGGGACAAATGCTAGCTTGTCACCATCACATTCTCCCAGGTTTGAGGACTGTGACTGCACAGGACTCACGAGTCCACAGAATTCAAAAAGGGGCACGTTTTCCTTTTTATCTTAAAACCACCCAAAGCTGTAATTTCTGAGTCTGTGTATCTGGGTCAGCTGGGTGGGTGGGAGAGGGGATTTGGTTTTCTCCTCTCAATTGTATTCTAACACCTTTTCCTAATTCCAAATTAACTTAAGATATTTTTTTCAGGAAAAAAATATGGTAGATTTATTCATTTAAAACTTCATGATCAACAAGAAAACACATTAAAATTAAGTAAAAAGGGTCATGCCATAGGGTGACCTTTCTTTTAAATTAAGGTACTGATATACAATCTTAGGAAAGTTTCACATGAGCAACATTGTGGTTACAACATTCACCTGTATTCTCAAGTCCCCCCCCCACCCCACTGCAGTCACTGCCCATCAGCGTGGTAAGATGCTACAGAGTCACTACTTGTCTTCTCCGTGCTGGACCGCCTTCCCCCTGACCTACCTATATTGTGACTGTGAATTAGTGCCCCTCAACCCCCTTCGCCCTCCCCTATGGTAACTGCTGGTCCCTTCTTGGAGTCTGTGTCTGCTGCTGTCTTGTTCCTTCAGTTTTGCTTTGCTGTTATGCTCCATGAATGAGTGAAGTCATTTGGTACTTGTCTTTCTCCGCCCGGCTTATTTCACTGAGCAGCATTAACTAAGATTTTGTTCAAAATTTCCTAAAATATTTTACTTGGGGCTAAGACCAATTCTGGAATATTTCATGCATTCTTACAAAAACAAAATTGTGTGTTTCACAAACAAGTGGGTCAGTCATGGGAAACACTGCCCCTCCAGCTGCTGCCAGCTGACTGCAGGTGCCCAGGATCAGGGAGCCTGTGGGGGGTGCAGCCTGTCCCCTCACTGCTGGTCAGGGTCTAGGGTGGGCATGCGGGCGGGTGAGGTGCTGCTGTCATGGGCTCTACCAGCTATTCCAACCACAGGAGCATCTCCTAACGTCCCAGCACAGTCCCGTTTAAAACCCAGGTGTGCCAAAGAAGAGGTGGTGCGTGTACACATGGGATATTTCAGCCAAGAAAAAAAGAGATCCTGCCATTTGCCACACATGTATGGATCTAGAGGGTACTATGCTCAGTGAAATAGGCCAGGTGGAGAAAGACAAATACATATGATTTCACTCATTTGGGGAATCTTAAAAAAAACCAAAACAGAAAGAGCAAAACAGCAGTAGACTATCATAGACACTAGAAGTGACTGGTGGTTACCATGGGGGAGGGGGACAAAGGGGTACAGATCTCAGTTATAATGGGTTGGTCACGGGGATGGAAGTGCGACATGGAGAAGGTAGCCAACGATTCTGCACCGTCTTCCTATGTGGACAGATAGTAACTGCACTAGAGAGGGTGAATATTTAATAATGGGTGTAACTGTTGAACCACTGTGCTGTATACCTGAAACCAATACTATACTGTATATCAACTATACTTCAATAAAAATACGGAGGTAAGTAAAATACAGGCATGCCTGTGGCTGTGGATGTAGCCAGCAGAGACCCTGGGAGCCCGGGCACTCGTGGCAGGGTCTGCAGTGCAGCAGAGGGCGAAGTTCATGTGCATCTGTGGAGACCACATTGGGCGTGGGTTGAGGGCCCTGAAATGGCACCGGAGCTGTGCTGGAGAGCCCTTCTAGCCCTCCTGGCCCCGCTGCCCTGTGGGGACAGGACAGAACTGCCCAGATCCTGCTCCAGACCGTGGGACTGACGGAAGGGGAGGAAGGCGGTGTGGTGGGCATGTGGGATCCAGGGAGCCCACGTCCCGTGTCTGGAGCTGTTGCAGGTGGTTTGTGCAGGACTTCTCCCGAACAGGAAGTGTCTCTCCCAGGGATGCAGCAATATTATGTCTCTTGGGCAAAGGTTCAGAGAAAACTGATGAATACTTAATGACACTCTAAGTGAGGCTCCAAAGCAACTGGGTAAGCAGTTAGAATCGAAACTGTCTCTGAGAACCACGTCATAAAGTGATGACTGCTTTCGGTGTAAGTCATCTAAACCACAACCCTGGTATCAGAAGTGCTATGTTTTCAGTCAACTCACCCAAGTACAACCGAATCGCTTCCAGAATCCCCATCAGAAACAGCAGGGTCAGGTCGAGGACCAGGTAGTCATGAGGGTAACTGAGAGCCTGACCTGGAGAAGGGACAACAGAGCAGGCTCAGGCCACAGGGGAGGCAGCTGGCGCCTGCCATGGCCTCTTTGCCCACGACTTACTTTTATATATGGTCATCAGGACAGTGGCTAGGAAATAAAGGGCAAAATATGTTCCGCTTAGATAAAGCAGCATCTGAAGAGGCACGGACGGGAGCTGGTAGTGGTTAAGGACTCAAGGCCAGCTGATGTGCTCTGCCTCCTGTGACCCCCCCGCCTGCGGGGCTTCCATCCCCATTCCTCCTGCTGCCACAGGAGCCAGTGGCCTGTACCCCCACCCCTGCCCAGGAGACAGACGTGCTGGCCTGGAGTGAGAGGACCGGCACGTGTAGTCACTGCAGGCAGGACAGCCTTCGCATGCCAGGCTTCCTCTGTGGTGTCACCTTAACCCTGGCCCAGTTACAAGATAGAAAAAAAATGACTTTTTCAAATTTTCTTCACAAAAACATTTCTCTTTCAGGGCAGTTAAATATCGATTGGCAATTTTCCTGAGCTCTGTGTCCTTTTATATTGGCACCAGAATTAGTCTGTAAGCATTCAAAGTGATGGGTCCCCACTGTGTTGGCACCCATGGGCCTGGTGGAAAGTGCAGGGCACAGCAGGAAGGTGGTGGAACCAGAGCATTCCATTCGGAGGAGGGATGTCAACCCTCCTAATCGGTCCATGAACACCCTTCCTACTTAAGAGTGGGATCACTGCTCAGGACTTCTAGAAAATACGGGCATGGAGGTTTAAAGGAGAGCTGACTTCTAGAGGCACAGCAGCCCTGGGCACCGTCCTTAGGAGGCCTGGGTCCGCGGCCCTGGGGTCTCGGGGTGCAGGATACCACCGTGGAGGATGCTCTCCCTGAAAGAGAAAGGCTCAGTCAGTGAGCCCCAAAGGCTCTTCTCCCTAGAAGCCTCCTTCCACGTCACCCTCCCTCTCCCGCGCTGACGCCCACCCGGGCCCGCAGCTAGGCACCTCCCCTCCCCCGTGCAGCCTCCCTGTGGGCAGGGTCTGACATTTTGCTTTGCAGAACCTGGGGCTGGGCCATTCCACCGCCAGGGAAGAGAGACACCTTGGAACTCAAATGAACAGCAGTTTTTCCCATTTTCTGTGGATTCTGCGTATTTGCCACACACATATAATTGGAAGAAAACCTTCTCTGATTCAGGTTACAAGTCTTTTTTTGTAACTGATAATAGACATTTGCCTTCCTCTGGGATTTTACACATTGCCCCAGATATCCCTTCAAAAATAAGAATCTCCCGAACCAGCCACACTGTCTTTCCGTGGTGCGTTTCCTGGGCTCTCTCGCGTCCCATGGTGCCAACTCCTCCTGTCTGCAGATGTGAGCAAGCCTCTGCCTGAGTGCTTTCTGCAGTCAGGTTTCATGCTGGAAAATCTCTGACTAACCCTTGGATCGAACACATCCTGGGTCAGATCTCCTGTGCGAAGAGGCTCACAGCAGTTGCTCATTCGTGTTATCTAGATACGTCACTAAGAATCTAGAATTTGGCCCATGCCCCTCTGAGCAGCGACGAGCGCGCCCTGTGCAGTGGCCTGCCTGTCCTTCCCCCGTCCAACCCCCTTTAGTCTGAAGGGGCAGGAGACAGACTCCCACCCCACTGAGATTTTTGTGAGGGCTGTCAAAGGGCCTCCTCAGGCAGATTCGCGGCCGTCTGTGGAGTCTCAGCTGGGTGGAGGACTTAAGCGGGTCAGCACAGGGCTTTAGTAACAGGTTCAGAGCTCTGGCTGCCAGGAGGCAAGTGCGAGCAGGGGGCCGGGGGCCACGGAGCTCGGGTCACCTACAGGCTCGTGTTGCATTTGGACCAGGGAGCTCTTTAAACCCGATCTGTTCTTTCCAGGTTCTAGAAACAGTAGGCTGCCCACATACCAGGCACTATTAGGGTGGATGTTATGTTAATTGGGGTTTTCCTCCCTTCTGATCTCTCAGCTTCAGAGCCACTTCCAACCTACTTCCCAGTTACCCATTGTTGTAGATTGAAATTAGGGGGCTTAGGAAAAAATGTTGCCATATAAAAGCCTCAAGTGATACAGGACTTAAATAATTAACATTAAGGGTAGGTATCATCAGACATGCGGCGTGACCATGTCAGACCTCCACACTCATTCTAAATACAGCGTGGCTCTTAGGACTTGGCATTTGTGTCAGTGATTTACTGTAATAACATTTGGCCATGAACAGGTGTGTCAGAGCAAAGGTGAGCGTGGAAGCAAGGAGAACACACATCTTTCCTGAGGCGATGTACACAGTGTATGAGGAGATGTTGTCCTGGGATAAGCTTCGTTTTTCACCAAAAGAAAATAACACAAACCAACCTCATTTCCAGGGGCCCTCCATAAAGGTCTGGCAACTGGGACCCTTGTTGAGAGCTCAGAACACAAGACAACCAGGACGCCTCCCTGTGCCGTGCCCAATGGGCTGCTCCCATCTCTGCCCTCCACATTCCCTTCACGGAAAGTAACTGAAAGGACCACACTTGCGGTGTGGAACTGGGCTTTCCAATTGGAGCGAACACTGCAGCCGACCAAGGTAATTCCCAGGCTGGAGGAACACAGCCCACCCTGTCCGCCTACTGTGTTTGTCACGTGGCATGTGCACATGTGAGCTGTTAACAGACTGAGGGGTCTGTCCTCTACGTGAGAGTGTGGTTGGCATGCGCCCTGGTGAACCCAGCAGGGCGCATGCCAACATGAGTTGTACCCACCTACGTGCGAGAGGGAATGTTCTACAGTGTGAATTAAAAACTCTCAATCTGCTCCATGAACCAGCGTCTGGGAGAACTGTACAAGTCAAACACACGGGCCGCGGGCAGGGGGTTTGCCTCCTTGCCCAAGCGCTGGTTTCCCGGACACGGAGCTGCAGGCGACGGTGCCTTCCGGGCCCCCCAAGCCCCCGGGGCCCTGTGACAACCTCCTTCCCGCCTGCTGCTCATCCTCTTGACCCCGAAGGAATTCTCAACAGAGCCACACAGCAAACAGGTTCCCTGCGCCCTCCGCTCGCTGACCCTGGTCCTCAGGGCTGGGATGTCGGTGGTGCTGCGGCCGTGGACGGCAGCCGGGCAGCCCCTCCGCAGGTCGGACACCGAGCTGACCGGTGCCCACAGAAAAGGAGAACCCGTCCACACAGGGCCTGTACCCGTGTTCCCTACAGCAGCCGGTCGCACCCCAAAGGGAAACACCCCGGAATCCGCCAACAGGTGAAAGGATAGCCGCGCCGCGCCTGCCCCGCTCCACCACCGGGGAACCCTGGAGGGCCTTGTGCCGAACGAGGGGGCCAACCCCAAGGCCGGGCCTGGTTCCCATTTCTGGAGGCGGCGGGTCCGGGCGGGCCTCTCAAGGCTGGGGTCTCACGCGGTGAAGGCACAAGACAACCACCGAATCCTAACAAAATGACCTGCCCCGGACTGGCCTGCCTTTCCGACACCAGCAAGAACCAAACTGAACGGAACCCCTTTCCTGGGACAACCTCCGCCTCCAGCTGAGACCCTCAGGCCCCCGAGGCCCCCACCCCGAGGGACCCCATGGAGCCCCACCAGGCCCGAGACGCCCCCAAGGCTCCTAAAGCCCCCGAACCCCCAGGAGAACCCACCGTGCCCCCTCTTTCCCCTGTGGCTCCCCAGGCCCCCGAGACCCCTGGCCGCAGCCCGCCCCGCGGCGCGGGAACACCACAGCCCCTCACCTCGCCGCCCGGTCGCCATCTTGCCCCTCGGCCCCACCCGCCGAGTCCGCCGCGATCCCGGCAGCCTCTCCGCCCCGCGCCGTTCGCGTCCCCTCGGCCATTTTCGCTTCTGCTCCCGAAGAAGCCCGACCGCGCCGCGCTTCGGGAGTTGACACCGATCCGCGGCCGAGGCCCGATTAGTGTGTCCGCCAGCGCTCGGGAGCCTTCGGACTGGAGGCGGTGGAGAGCCGAGGCTCGGGAGGACCCGGACTCGGGGGCGTTCGGCTCCGCTCGGCTCCACTTCGGGCGGGCTCGGGTCTCGCTCGGGGCGGGGCAGCGGAGTGTGCTGCGCGGGATTCTGTGGGCCCGGCTGCGCTGCGTTTGAGGCCGGAGGCCCTGCTGTTCTGCACGACGGGCACCGCGGCTTCCTAGGCACTGAGGAAGACTAGCGCAGGGCCGCTCGGAAACCCTCGGGCAGCCTCGGACCTGTTCGGATCGGATCGGCTCCGCACTTCGGGGCCGCTTCGGCCCTCGTCGGTTCTGGACTGTCAGCCGTCAGCTTGACTCGACTGGGCCGCTTCGTATCGGTTCGGCCCCTGTTCGGGAGGCTTCGGCTCGGCTCGGCTCGGCTCGGCGGGCCGGCTGACCTCCTCCAGCTGCGCGCTTCGGGCGGCAGCGCGGGCTTCGGGTGGCCCCGGCCGGCGCCTTCGGGCGGGCTCGGCGGAGTCCGGATGGAGGACTCGGACGCGGCCGCCAAGCAGCTGGGCCTGGCCGAAGCGGCGGCGGTGGCGGCCGCGGCCGCTGTGGCGGCGGCGGCCGCGGCCGCGGCGGGAGGCGAGGCGGAGGAGCCAGTGCTCAGCAGGCACGAGGACTCGGAGGAGGACGGAGACTCGGAGGCGGAGCGCGAGACGCGGCGAGTGACGGCTGTGGCGGTGATGGCCGCCGAGCCCGGGCACATGGACCTGGGCTCCGAAGCCCTGCCGGGCCCCGACGAGGCCGCCGCGGCCGCCGCCTTCGCAGGTAGTGCCGCCGGTCCGCGGCCCCGCACCTGCTTGCACCTGCCCTGCACGCACCCACCCCGCGGGCATCTGCCCAGCGTGCCCCTTACCCGTCTCCCACAGGCACCTGCCCGCACATACCCCGGTGACCATCCTGCCCATTCTCCCAGCACATGCCTTGCACTGACTTTGTGTGCCCTGTCGTCCCTGCACACCTGCCCTGTGTGATCATCTGGGCCTTGGCCTGCATACCTGCTCTCTGAATCCCTTTCCTTGGGTCAGCTCTTCCCCTCCTGTTCAGCACTACACACTCCTTCCAGAACCTTCTCAGCTCCTGCCTCTTGCCCTGACTGCCCTCTCCTCTGTTTGTCCTGGGTACTGCTGACACGTTGGGTCAGACGTGGATCCTGTCCTTGGGGAGCCAGAGGGTGGATTCATCTGGTAACCTGGAATCTTAAGGGCCAGCTCGGGTGTGATCTGAGTGTTGGGGAGGAAGACAGTACCCGAGGGTGCAGGTGTGCAGGGCTAGGCCAGGATGGTCTTTGGGGACAATGACTCCAGAGGCCTCAGACTCCCCTTTCAGTCTCTCGTGTTTCCCCCATTTCCTTTATGGATCTTCCCTCCCACCAACTGCATTCCCTAAATTTCCATTCCCAGAGGAAGACCCGCATGGCTGCTGGACCACATTTTGTTTCTTGCCACACGGAACATTTTTGTTCTCAAATATCATGACCCGTGGAGCTGGAACTGTGCCCCAAAGCACTCTTAGGCAGGGCTTCCCCAGACCACCATCCTGAGGAAGGCAGGGACTTTCCCAAAGTTGTGTCCCTTCCCAACTGCAGTCTCCTGAGTGGCCCTTGAGGATGTGGAGTTGAGTGCCGGAACCCCTGGAGGGTGCTGTCATCACCGTGTGGCTCAGCGCTTTTCCTGTAAGAAGCTTGGTGGACTGGGTACCCAGAGACAGCAGCTGATCCTGGGGTGTGTGGTCCTGCTTGCTGTGGGTGTTTATCCAGCCTGTAGGTGCTGCATGGGAGTCAGCAGCCTGCCCAGCCCCTCGGGTCTGCAGGCTGTCTCTCTGGGGTTCCCACACAAGCAGGAAAGAAGGCCTGTGGCACTTCAAGGGTCCAGTTTCATGGCTGGACTCTTGTTTGACATAGGGATTGTGGACCATGCCACTTTTTGCAGGCTGATGTCCTTGCACATATTTTTCTGGATGCAGAAAAGAAACATGATGCTGCCTGTCACATCAGAGAAACGTTTTATTATATATTTTCCTGCAGAACCTTATAGTTGTGTTTTTGCATGTGTAAAGCATGAGAACTTTCCATTACAAATTCCTATAGTCAGGTGATTTCTAGGTTTAAGTAACTCAGTGGGACTTGATGCCCATCCGAGGCTACTTTCTCTGGGCAGGCAGCTTGCACCACGAGCACGTACGTGATCAGAGACCTCTGGACAGCAGGGTTCACTGGGGCATGGCGTGTAGTCTGGTAGAGGGCACAGACTGGGAGCAGGTGCGTAGTGAGGTTAGGTGAGTGGTGGCTTAATGGATTGTGCAGGACTCTTCCAACCAGGATTTTTCAGCACCTCCCATGTGCTAGGGACTGCCCTGGGGACTGGACACTTTAGAATGCCTGTGACCAAGGCCTAGGAGCATGGGGACAGGCTGTTCAGGGGTGGACCATGAGCAGGAGGGCATCACAGGTGTCTGAGTTTGGGGGAACAGTGGGAAGGTGGGGTGTGGCATGCCAGCATGGGGGATGCTGCTGGCAGGGGCCTAGTGCAACGCTGCGAGGGCCGGGGTGGGCGGCACTGGGGTATGGCAGGTCAGCCATACTTTTCAGAAGGAAGAGGTGTCTGACTGTAGGTGAGGCAGGTGGAGGTGAAGAGGGAGGGAGGGGGCAGTGACCACGGGGGTGGGGGTGGGCAGGAGGGGCCCCACCTGGAGGGGAGGCGGGCTAGAGGGAGGGGAATCTGCAGAGGCTATGCTGTCCCATGTCTGATGGTAGAATGGGAAGAGTGCTGACCGCAGGCGTGTGGTTTTCTCTTGGAAGGGAGTGTGAAGCCAAGTGCGTTGCAGCAGAGCCCACGGCCAGCCCAGTGTCACGTCAGCTGGGCTGCTCTGGGGTCCTTCTGCAGTAAAAGGTGCTTCTATCCCCATCTCCTAGAGGGTCTTGATCGTTTAGTGGCCAGTCTGAGCAGGTTGGAGGCATAGGCACCTGATGGGAGCGCTGAGCCAGGATCCTGGTGGGAGTCCGCTGGTTCTGATGCTGTGCTGACTCTCCCCCTGTGTTGCAGAGGTGACCACTGTGACGGTGGCTAACGTGGGTACCTCCGCAGACAACGTCTTCACCACGTCCGTGGCAAATGCAGCCTCCCTCTCAGGACACGTTCTGGTAAGATGCTCTGAACTTCAGCCGTGGGCTCCTCCCGGAACCCTGGATGGTGGCCCTGGCCCCTTGGATACCCACCAGGCTGCCCCAGGCGTGAGAAGAAGGTGCAGCAGCTGCCCTGCTTTCTGGGGGCCTTAGAGCCATGCTCCTGGAGGGAGAAATGAGGGCTGAGGCGGAAGCAGCCTGTGGAATATGGGCTCAGAGGAGGGACTTTAGGCGGCAGCCTGGGGACAGTGCCTGGACCCTCCTTGCCAGATGGCTGCAGAAAGGGGGACTTTCCCAGGACCTTTGCTGGAACTGTTGGTCACGGTTACTCTCTAACCTTGATTGCACACCTGGGACACTGTGCCCAAAAGCCAAGTCACTGTCATTGGAACAGCCATGACCAGAAAACGCACACTTAGTTCCAGCAGCAGCAGTGTGGGGAAGGGCTCGGAATGTAGTTGATTGTGATGGTGTCTGGACGCTACAGGGTGATAGCCAGGCGGGGATTTCGTGCGTCCAGCCTGTTGGCTTCCCTGCGGCAGACTGTGTCCCATCCTCCTTCCTTGGAGAGGCCGGGCAGGGGGCCGGGGGCCCAGGCCCAAGCCTGCGCTCCCTGGCTGGGGTGCTCTGGGAGCTCAGAGGACAGGAACACTCTGAAGCTCATGCTACTGGCTGGAGGCTGACGGCACGGAGAGGGGTCCCAGGTAGCCTCATACTCCTGATTGCCTTCATAAGAAAAATACCCTGATTGTCAAGTGAACACAGAGCGTCCCTGTGTGCCCGTGTGTTTGGAGTGGCCCAGGCACACGTGCAGGTGTCCTGGCTGAGGTGTATGAGCACAGGCCTCAGCTGCGGGGCCCACACTCCTCGACAATACTCACTTCCCCTGATTGGCAAGTGGCTTTTTCATGTAGGAAAGGGTCTCGCTGTGCCTCGGGTGGGTTTACCTACTCCACGGGAGAACACTGTGACACCCGGAGCGCTGGTCAGGGCAGGTGCCGGGATGGCTCTCGCCTACCCAGGGCCGCTTCAGAGTTTCCAGATCACTGTGTGCCCAGCAGCAAGGGTGGGCCTCAGCCCGCAGGAGGGTGCCCTGTAGCCTCCACTATGGCGGGGCGTGAGGTCCCTGCAGGCCAGCAGCGGGGAGCATGGGTGGGACTCAGGGTGACGCTGAGAGGGAGTCTGGCAGGGCCTCCGCTGTGATTGTGCTGTGATTGTAGCTGTGACCTCAAAGCCCTCCCTTGAGACCTGTGACCTTGCGGGAGCTGCTCAGGTGGGTGGGAGGGTTTCCTGCATCTCAGGGTGTTCAGAAAAGTCGCCTTCCCTCACCCCTATGGGCAATCCTGAGCATTTACTCAGGGCCTTTCTTGTTCTTGGCTGTGTGTTTAGCAGCATCTTTGAAAAAGACCTGCAAGGAATGGTAGGCGTCCCCTCGTGGGTGACAACAGGGACCGCGTGTAGAGCTGCATCCCATCATGCCAGGGCCATGCCCTGCAGCCACCATTTGGGCAACTCACAGAATGTCCCTTCTGTAGTCTGGCAGGACAGCCCTTCAGATTGGGGACAGCCTGAACACTGAGAAAGCCACGCTGATCGTGGTGCACACAGACGGCAGCATCGTGGAGACCGCCGGGCTGAAGGGCCCCACCGCCCCCCTCACCCCAGGTGCCGCCCCTTCCTGCTCCAGCTTTCCAAGCAGCACGAGTAGCACATCACCAGTGTGCACAGCTTATCCTGGGGAGTGACTTACTTGTTTTTGTGGTAAATTTAGAATATCAAATGTTATTAAGTTTAAGTAGAAAAAGGGGAATTTCCCAGGGTGAGGGAGGGTTGCCCAGAGCTGAAGGGGGCGATGCTGCTCAGTGGGGATAGCCGAGAGCTGCTGGAGAATGTTCTAGAATGGAGCCAAGTTGGCCGCACTGCTGGTGACTCTGGGGCTTCCGCATCTTACTTCCCAAACGCTCTCTGCCCAGGCCCCCAGTCTCCCGCAGCCCCCCTCGCCCCCGGCCAGGAGAAGGGAGGCACTAAGTACAACTGGGACCCGTCGGTGTACGACGGCGAGCTGCCTGTGCGCTGCCGGAACATCAGCGGCACGCTGTACAAGAGCCGGCTCGGCTCAGGTGAGGACACGCCAGCCAGGCCTGCTGCCCACCCTGACCCCCTTCCCTTTGTCACCCCAGCGCCCCTGGGCTGGAGGACGCCAGGCGGTTAAGACGGGAGGTGTGGGCAGCTCTGTCCCTGGTAGCTGCCACTGAGGCCCCAGTATTGGGGCAAATGGAGAAAGCACAGGGACCTGTAGTGGGCAGGGCTGGAACATGGTTCTGGGGTCAGCCTGGCAGCCATGGCAAAGGGTTCTGGATGGGTGGCAGATGTCACGAGCTTGGCGTGGGATGCGGCTGAGCTGCAGAGGCTGTGGATGGAGGTGGTTTGGCCGAGCAGGTGGTCAGGGAGCGGCTGGGAGGGTGGCTGCAAGGCGAGAGGCCTGGTTGCTTATTGGGCGAACATGGGAGCAGGTGAGCGAGGACAGGCAGCTGGGAGCTCTGCTGGGGTCTGGGCAGGAGTGGTGGGGGCAGGTGTCACTGATGGGCATCGTTTCAGGAGGCCGGGGGCGGTGCATCAAGCAGGGGGAGAACTGGTACAGCCCCACGGAGTTTGAAGCCATGGCGGGAAGGGCCAGCAGCAAGGACTGGAAGAGAAGCATCCGCTATGCAGGCAGGCCGCTGCAGTGCCTCATCCAGGTAGGCCTGAGGTGTGCGGCCCCTGGGGGGGCTCTGAGCCCGGCACCCCAGTGCCCCTGCTCCCAGTGTCTGCTGATGTTCAAAGAGGACAATAGGATGGTGTCCTGAGGAATGTGTGAGGTGACCTAGTCGCTTCTGCCTCTCAGCCTCTTATTAAAGGCCACCCCCGCTGCCTCGGTTTGCTCATGCAGGAGGGGCTTCTGATTCCTGGGTCCTCCCAGGCTCTGTGGGTGGTGATATGGTTATGAGCCCGTCGGCTGGTCCTGCTTCCTGCCACCGGTATTGGTGCTGTAGGAAAGAGAAGTGTGAGGCAGAGGAGGTTCTGAAAGCTGCAGGATTCTATCTTCCCGGACGAGGATAAGCAGTAGACCTGGCTGCAGGCTTCTCGTGGGGCCGATAGGCGTCAGGGCTGGCCTCCTGCGTGCCATGGCTCTTCTCCATTTCAGGACGGGATCCTCAATCCTCACGCTGCCTCCTGCACCTGTGCCTCCTGCTGCGATGACATGACCTTGGTAAGTGGGGGGCCCTCCCTAGAGGTGGCCACTGGGTGAGCCCTCAGCCCTCCTTGGCACCGTCCCCACTCCTGGTGGGGCTCCTTTGCCCCTTGTCCCTGGCACCCCTGCAGCTGGCCCAGAGCTGTGTCAGTTTCTCTGCTTTGCAGAGGCCTCACATGTTGCCCGTGGCGGGCACGTCAGAGGAAATATCCTTAAGTGATGGAAAGTTCCTATAATATCACCATCTCAACCCCAGAGCCACATCATATATATATATGATATATATATATAAATTTTTTTATGGTTACAGTGAATGTATATGTGTCTTTTATATTCTGCTTTTTTAAAATTTATATCATGAAAATACTATACTGAACTTATTCATACATAGAGCTTTTAATGTGTTTTGAAATGCTTCCTTATCCCGAATTCTCAACTGTTTCAGGATGAATGGATATTCCATTGATTTTAACATATAATGCCGTGTAGCTTTCCGAAGCATTCAATATTATTTAGAATGTTTAAAGCACTGAATGAGATTTCTTCTCTTCGAGTGCTCACCTGGTTAATGATCAGGGGATAGGATGAGGCGGAGAAGAGTCCGTTAGAGAGACGTGATGTTCTTGGCTGGGAAAACTAAATGAATGTTCAGGAATTGTTTAGTTGATGTAGCCCCTAAATGTGATTACAGTGAAATAACCAACAGGATATTTTTGAGAAGGTAAAATATAGTTCACTTAGAAAAGCTGATAGGTGAGGTTCTCAGAGATCTGTGGAGTAGAAGGCAGGTCAGAGGGAATTGGTTCCACTGGGGAGCTTACAATGAGTGGCAGAATCATTCATAGTCACTCCAGAACACTGAAATCCTTAACTGTGAATCTGACAGAACATGCACAGAACTTGTACTGAAAACTAGAAACTGCTGTTGGAAGAAACCAGGGGAGCCAGCCCGTTGGGAGCCACATGTGGACAGTGTGTCTGTAGCTGGGAGCCACACGTGGAGGGTGTGTCGGGGGCTGGAGACCCCCCACAGTAAAGATGGCAGTTCTTCCTGAATTGACATTTCCTACAGAGCCCCAGCAGGGTTCCTCATAGACATAAACAAGCTGATCCTAAAATTTGTATGGAAAGGGGAAGGAAGTAGAGCCGAAGTAGCTTTGAGGAAGATTAGAATGGGAAGAATCATGGCTGGACTTTAAGATTTGCTACATTGTTACCGTGATGAAGACCACGTGGTACTGACAGAGGGAGAGACCCCAGATCCAGGGAGAACACTACACAGGCCACTAGTGGTATTGGGACAGTTGGACATTCGTGGGCACAGGAACTTACTAACGAATTCAAAATGGATCACAGGTCCAAATTTATCCAAAACATAGAACTAAAATTTTTAGAAGAAAACTCAGGGAATGTCTTTGTGACTCTGACTTAGACCTAGGGTTTCTCAGACATGAAACCAAAGGCCCAGTCCACAAAATAAAAAGTCCATTGGACTGCATCAAATATTAAAATTTTGGCTTCCACCTCAGGAGTGGTGGTGTGATGAGATCTGTGGACCAGCTCCCCAGGGAAATAACTGTTAACAGTGAGGATTATAAAAGATCAACCACTTGAGGTGTTGAGATTGTCCAGACACACCGTAAATGAAGGATTATTTAACCAAGAAAACGTACTGCATCTCAGAACAGGGCGCATTAGAGCCGGGGCAGGCCCCCTCCTTGACCCCCCAGCTCAGCGTAAAGGACGCCCCTCCCCATGGGCGTGCCCAGCTGCTGGCTCCTCCCACACAGCCCCCAGGCGAGGCGTGTTGCTGGGAGGGCCAGTCAGCATTTCCTGCCTCCACCCTGCTCCTAGTTGCAGAGCTGCACTCCAGGCACCAGAGAGGAGAGACTGGGGGCTCCCCTTCCCTCACCAGTCTCTTCTCCGAGAGCAGAGGCCTCACTCGGCACAGCAGGGTGGGGAACCGTGGCCACGCTTGCCCATGGCCCAGCTTGCTTGGTGGGTTGAGGTACCTGCCTTGAGAGGCCAGCCAAGAGGACCAGAGACCACCGCCCCTGCCGGAGCCCTGCGCACAAAGCGGGGCTGCCACCTGAGAGACGGGAGCGCCATCCACCCCCAGCCTGGGACAGCGCATGTGGGAGGCAAGCTGAGCGTCTTGCGGGACGAGAATGGAGCCCCTGCTCAGGGCACCCCGAAGTGATTTGGGGATGGGGGCTGTTTGCACAGGGTGTTGTTGGAAGCAGCAGGCAGCCTCCTGGGGAGTGCAGACAGCTCCGGGTGGCCGCCCACAGCCAGGAGGCACCGTGTGTGTGCCCAGGCTGTCTCGGATGGCAGGGGCGCCCACCTCACGCTGTGGGGAGACTCTAGGGCAGGGTTGTGCCAAGCCCCAAGCACATCAGTCTGTGAGGAGGACGTCTTGTCCATGCTATACAGCACCTTACTTGAAATGCCTGGTTTTCAACAAAAAGTTGTAAGATGTGCAAACAGGAAAGTGAGCCAAACGGAAGAACCAGATGACAGATGCTGCCCCTGGGGGTCTGCCAGGCAGCTCACAGACAGCGGCTCCCAAGTGCCTTCTCTGCTGCCTGTTGCCCAGGGGAGCCACGTGCAGAATTGGCAGGAGTCTGGTCTGCATGCGGCCTCTCCAGGACCCTGCAGGCAGACTGGAACCACACAAGTGTGTTTGGCCACAGCCCCGAGATCCCAGTGCTGACCTGGGCCTGCTGGGAGTCCCTGGGCTGCTGGCAGCAACCGTCTTCTCTCCTGCGCTCACACGGCGGAGGCAGAGTGCTCTGGCATCCCCCATGAGGACACTGCACCCTCGGGTCAGGCCCCCTCCCGTGGCCTGTCACCTGTTGTCACCGCCTCAAACTCAGCCACATGGGGTTAAGAGCCTCAACACACAAACTTTGGGGACACCGTTAAGCCTGGGTGTGAGGTCGAAGTCCCAGCAGACAGAGAATGTCTAGGAGAGACAGAAATCACAAAAAAGCAGACAAGGGGGCCGAGTGGCTTCCTGGCCCTTATGGCAGTCGGGCCAGTGACCCTGTGCAGCAGCAGCGGCAAGTTGGGGTGTCTGCTGTGCACAGCCGTGCCCTGAGGCCTTGGGAGGTGCCGTCAGTGGGCCTTCTCTGCAGGGACTCCATGCCGTCTCTGCTTTGTCGTCACTGGTCCTATCAGGGTCATCAGGAATGCCATGGGCCACCTTCCCTGGCATCTGGGTGAGGCGTTTGCTGGCAGGTTCTCCCAGGCCCCCCTCTCTTTGTTTCCCACTTGTCCTCTGGGAGTTCCTGTAAACTCAGCATGTGGACAGTGCTTTTTCTTGTCTTGCGCTGTCATTCTTTTTGGAAGTGTCTCCTCTGGCACCGCAAGGACTTGGTGTTAAAGGAAGGTGAGATGTTTCCGCACAGCTTCCCGTCTGGTGTTCTCGCTATGTCACCTTCGCAGCCACAGATGATGCCACAGGAACAGGAGGCCGGCAGCCGCATCCATCCCAAGCATTTCCTTCCGTGTCCCTTTGCTTTTCCCCAGAGCGGTCCTGTCAGGCTCTTTGTCCCCTACAAAAGGCGCAAGAAGGAGAGTGAGCTGCCCACGACACCCGTGAAGAAGGACTCCTCCAAGAACATCACACTGCTTCCCGCCACGGCCACCACTGCCTGTGAGTCCACAGAGCAGGGCCTCCCCTCATTTGTCTGGCGTTGGGCGTGTCATCCTGTCACGGTGAGCCCACGGCACCCTTCCTGCCACCTGCCTGGCGGGCTCGTCCGCCTTGTTCAGGGCAGAGTGTAGCGCTGGGCATGCGGCCCACACTCAGGAGGGCCTCCCAACTCTTTCGCTCCTTGGGGTGCCCTTGGCAGGATTTCACACTCAAGCCAAGATGGGGACCTCCTCATCGGAGCCCGGCCTTCAGGGTGGGCCTCCGCGTTTGCACATCCTGATGTGCTTTCGGTTTCAGCAGCTGAAAACATACCCTGTATGTGTAAGACCGAGGCAGGCGTCTAGGAGAGGGGAACGCAGACAAAGGAGAATCTGGCTCTTTTAAACTGCAAAACGGAGAGAGGTGGTAATGGGAATGTACCAGCAGTTAACACACGTGGCAGAATACAGGAAAGATACGTGATAGATACTTAGTTGGAAGCCCTAAAGTTGAATTTCCCAGTTCACAGAGAAGCATTGGCTGTCTCACCCGAGTCCCACGGGGGGTGAATAAGGGTGACCTGTCTGCCAAGAGGCGATGGACTCGCAGAGATGCAGCGGGGCGTGGCAGTTCTCCGTCTTCAGCATCCATGAAAACCTGCTTTGTGATTCACGCGCAAAGTAGTTCTCAAATTCCTTTAAAATTTTCCTGTATTTTGTGTTCCGACTGTGCAATCCATTCCCTTATCCAGAGTTGAGCAGTATAAGCACATGCGGTAGCAAGTGTCCCCGTGGGCCTGGGGTCCTCGGCCTGCCGGCAGGAGGCAGGAGCTCTGTTTGGCTCCAGCCCCAGGCTCCCAGGGCTTTCTGACCTCTGAGGGCTGAGCCACCACCCGGCTGTGTCATGAAAAGGCTTTTGCTTCTCCAGTCACCGTGACCCCCTCAGGGCAGATCACTACCTCCGGCGCACTGACCTTTGACCGGGCGTCCACCGTGGAGGCCACCGCCGTCATCTCAGAGAGTCCGGCCCAGGGCGATGTCTTTGCTGGGGCCACAGGTGAGTGTCTCGGCACCTGCCCCACGTGGCTCATGCGCACTGTACCCTGCTGAGTCGGATTGTGGGTGGCCCCGTGTTCTCAGGAGCCTGCCTGGTCAGGCGGGGCTGGTGGGCGTGGTTGGGTGTGGCAGAGACCACGTGACCTGGGAAGCTGGAAAGCCTTGCAGAGCTGACCAGCCCCCATGCTAGACCAGCACTGTCTGTGGTGTGTATTGTAAATATTCTCGTAACCACATCATGAAAGTAAAAAAAACAGTTGAAGTTAATTTTTGCATTATGTTTTATTCCACCCAGTGTATCCCAGACATTGTCTTGCAACAGTTCAGACTCACCCTGTTTCTGGGGCTCGGGAGCCACACATGGCCAGAAGCCTATTGGGTGGTGCAGCTGTGGGCAGTCTGAGGTCTAAGATCTGTGCAGCCACCCTGGGTCTCGGCTGTCTCGCCCCTTTCCTGATAGTTCAAGAAGCAGGGGTGCAGCCCCCGTGCAGGGTCGGCCACCCGGAACCCCACTACCCAGGGTACCAGGACAGCTGTCAGATCGCACCGTTTCCAGAAGCTGCACTGCCAACGTCTCATCCTAAAATAGGTCAGTGTGAGAGGGCTCACTGCACATGCAGGTTGTTACCCTCAGACCTGCTTCTTACGGAAGAATTTCTAAGCGAAGTTGGGCCTGTTTGGGTTTTTGTGCCAACGTTGCAGTGTAGGGGCTGGCAGAGCAGGCCGCGGCCTGTATCTGTGACATAGCTGCTTCTGCACGGCCACGCTGTTGCACCCTTCCCACGAGGGCTGTTTGCAGCCTGTCTGCCCCGTGGGGATGCGTGTTCCTAGGCAGGGCCGTGGTCTCTCCGTGTCTGGTGCAGGAGTGAGTGGCATGCGCCCGGCCTTAAAGGTAACGATGGCGTCAAGGCATGTGTGCATTCTGTGGATTTTCATCTCACTGCATGTTTTGGACACTTTTAAAGGGAGTGTCATAGTCCTCACTGGTGGATGTTTATGTTTTTACGTTTATATTTACAAGGTAGAAACTTGTTCCCAAGTCCTACAGAAACATCGCCTTCCCAGTCTCACGTGCTTGTGTCCTGATTCTCTGCTGCCTCTTTAAACTCCTTCCATCCTGCAAGCTTACTAGTCGGCTGCCTTCCCTATGGCTTGTCCCACACTGGCCTGGGGTGAGCTCCTTGGGGCTGGGTCTTGTCCCTGGTAAATCTCCTGGGCTTGGGGCCGGCTCCTCAGCCCACCACCACCTGCACACTGGCTGTGGTGTGGACTCGCGGGTTCCTGTCTTACTCAGTGGGTTGTGACTTGCTACTGTCGGAATTTTATGCCGGAATACCACAGATGTGACCAGCAGGAGCCCGCCCAGTTGCTGCTGCATTCTCTGTCCTTGACTTGCCCTCTTTGAGCACTTCCTCCAGGAGTCCCGACCCTTTGGGAGGCAGGTGGTGGGCGGGAGCTGTATTGACTGCATCCACAGACCTCCTGTTGGGGTTCAAAATGGGCCACGGCGTTTTTCCTGGAAGGCCAGATGTTAGACCTTTAACAGCACACTCCCGTGTTAACCATCGGCACACTCTCTGCTGGTGGGTGTCTCTGTCCCAGGCCCTCTGTGGGCAGAGGTGGGAGGTGTGCATGCCTGCACATGTGTCTGTCTACATGTGTGGAGTCCCCAGTTCCTGCCTCCGACCAAGGTTCCTTCTCGCTTCCTCCCTTTCATGGTTTGACTTCCTGCAGCCTGGAGAACCAGGCCCCACCACCTGCATCCGTTCCCCATGAGAGTGGCCACAGGTGTCCAGGACGTGCAGCCCGGAGCTGCTGATCCTTTTGTCTGGCTCAGGGTTCGTGCAGTCTGATGTGGAGCCAGCCTCGCCCGTCTCTGTCCTCACGGGCAGGGAATGCTTTGGGGCACCCCACAAACGTGCTGCCTGTGAACATCTGGTTCCATCCTCACTCGGACACATGTGGCAGGCTTGGCAGGTGCCCTCGGTGTTGGCATTGGGAATCGTCAGTGTGTTCAGAACGCCTCCCCACCTCTGGAGCATTCTCTGAGGGGTTCATGTGCCGTTCATGCCTACTGATAACTGGCTACCCTGTGCTCCAGCACTGATGGGAAATTTTAGTGGTGGGAGCTTTGAAGCTAGGAAACGTATTAATTTTGTGTGTCGTTTTGCTTCCCAAACATTCTAGTGTTGACTGCCCTGCCGGCCCTGGCCGCACCCCCCTCCACCCCTACCAAGGCTGTCTCTCCTGCGGTGGTCAATGGGCTGGAGATGTCGGAACAGCGGAGTTGGCTGTACCTGGAAGAGATGGTCAACTCCCTGCTCAGCACAGCACAGCAACTCAAGACGTTGTTTGAACAAGCCAAGCAGGCCAGCTCCTACCGAGAAGCCGCCGCGGCCCAGGCCAGAGTCCAGGCAGACGTTGAGCGGAAAGAGGTACTGCTCGCATGGGCGGGAACAGCGGGTCTGTGGCCACCAGCCCCGCCCCAGCATCCACTGGCACCTGGGCCAGCTGGCAGTGGTTACGTTGGCGTACAGAGCTCACCCCCCACTTTCTGGGAATGGAGAACCCAGAGAACCATTTACAAGAGAAGCGTTTCTCATAAAATTGGGTAGGGGGTTGGTGTTTGTGGTTTTTGTAAATGAGATTTTTTTTGAGGGGGGGAAATGTGATTGGGGCAGATGCATAGATGCCACAGTGTGGGCACCCCGCAGGGGAGGGGCTGGGGTTCTGGGTGGTTGGCGTGCATCTGAAGGGTGTGCTGTCAGGCGCAGCTGGACATGCCCCGGCGGTGGGCATCACGTACCCCTGCAGGTTGTCGTCATGCAGTGAGAGTGTGGCTTGTATTTCAGTAAGTTTGGAGAAGCATCCTTCGGTGTGTCTGAGGGCAGGCGCGCGTCTCCCCCACGGCCAGTGCCTTCCTCATGGTGGGCTCTGCCTTCCTGCATCTTGATGCCCCGCACGCTGAGGCATGTAGTGGGTATCTCACTGCCTGCTTCTCTCACACTCTGAAGAAGCTGGGTCCTGTGCGTGGCCTCAAGGTTCACAAAGCGTTGTGTCCAAAACTGAGGGTGGAGGAGGGGCCAAGGCTAGTGGGCCGAATGCGAGTCGCCGTAGCCGAGCGCCCTGAGGAGGGCCGCGGCTCGCCCCGCGCGGGGGGCGCTGTGGGCCGCAGAACCAGGCCGAGGGGGCCCGTCCGGAGACACTTCCTCTTCCGGAGGCGGAGGATGCGCAGCAGGAGACGGGGGCATTTTTAGATTTTAGTTGAGAAGTGAGCCTTCTTAGTCACAGGAAATGTGGACTGTGGTTTGTGAACAAAAGTCAAATTGATTTTTTTCCTCCAAGTTTCTGTAAGACAAGCTGAAAAATTCCTACTTTTTATGGATTAGAGGAAAGAACTTTTCAGTTTCTTAATTTTCTAAACGATTTCTTAATGTGATTGACTTGCTTTCAAGGAAGAAAAATGTTGCTTCTTCTGAAGAGTTAACTTGAAAATAATTTCTAAAAAAGTGTTCCAAATGAGGGACAAATTTTATGGAGAAGAGAAAAGCCTGAGAGATTTGGGTAATCTCTACCCAATTACGGTAATGGTTACATTTTCAAATACTTGAGGATTTTGTAGATTTCTTACCACTTTCGGTTGCTAACTTAATTCTGTTAGGTCAGGAAATACACTCGGCGTGCTTTCAGCTCTTTGGAACTGACCAGGACCCCTGTGAGTCCGGTGTAGCTCCGCCCTCCCGGTGCGGGGCTGGGGCTCTGCCGCCTCACTCGCCCCGGTGGCTGTCGTGGTGCTCATGCCCTTCCTCGTCAGCCACCAGAGCCCCTTGTGGCTCATGTCTGGGGCCCTGAGTCCTCTTGGCCGTGGTCCACCTGGACACCTGTCTTTGCCTTTCTGAAATGCTTTGGTGATACAGAATGGGGTTCAACTGCGGTGTCCTTCCAGCACCGTGGCGATACCCTCCTGCCATCTTCTGCATCCACGGCCTTAGCTGTTGTCCGTATCCTTGATCCCCTACACATGGTGCACCTCCCTGTCCGACTGCTCCAGGAATTTCTCTGGTGTTGAGCGGTGTGCTGTGACGTGCCTGCGCGGGGCTCTCTTTGCGTGTGACAGCACCTGGGGTTTGTGTTGATCGCGCTGATGAGTGTCATGTCACAGCTCCCTAGGCACAGGCACGCCACTCCCGCCGCACCACAGCACACTAGGACACACGGGGAAGCACGGCATGGTTGGGGGCACGGGCAGTGAGGGGGGAGTGTAGGCAAGTGTGAGCAGGGTGAGCAGGCTGAGGAATGGCTAGTGGGCTAGGGGCCTGGGGTCTGCAGGTTGGTGGGATCTGACCTGGGGTGATCAGGGCAGATGCACAGATGCCACACTGTGGGCACCCCACAGGGGAGGGGCTGGGGTTCTGGGTGGTTGGCGTGCATCTGAAGGGTGTGCTGTCAGGCACATGGCCACTGTCTGCAGGAGGAGCTCACCTTGGAGGGGCAGCAAGGCCCAAAGACACGTCGGAGCAGCCGAACACAGGAAATAAAGAGATGCGGCTAGACAGTCGAGCTGCTTGGACTTGAAGTCATTTTTCACCTGGTTTGGAAGGTTTTGAGTCACCATTTCCACAAGCATCTTAAAGGCCCCTTTTCTCTTTCTGTGCCTTCAGACACGTGAGCCGTCAGCCCCGAGCACTTGGCATTAGGTCCCGGGACTCTGCAGTGTCCCGTCTGCTCTCTGCTGTCCAGGTTCGATGGCCTCTGGTGCCCCGTCTCCTCGTCCACAGGTGCTCTCTCTGTTGTCTCCCGCAGCCAGTGAGCGCGGGTGGTCGTGCTTTCCGGATTTAGGATTGTAGGCTGGAACCTGTTTGGCTCTTTAGCTTTCTTGAGTCCAACTAGGAGACAGAAATGATGGGTTATGCAGGAAGTTTACGGAGTAACTGTAGGGCACCAGGACACTGTGCGTCGCCCAGGTCTGATGGAAAGGAGCCCAGGATGAACACATTGGGAGGGGCTCTCTGTCCAAGGCTGGTGTGTAGACCTTGTGGCAGAAGATGTAGTTCACAAGTTAGCTGAGAAGTTTGCTGGTTTGGACCTGTTCTGGAGTTTCCGGACAAGCAAAAGGCAGCCCTCTGGGAGTTGCTGGAGGAGCAGCAGTCAGAAACTGGTGGTGTGGGTGGTGACACAGGCAGGAAACCTTCAGAACATGCAGAGGCTCTGGTTCCTGTGTTGAGGGGCTGCAGAAAGGTGATTGCCAGACTGAGGCTGTAGGAGTCCAGAGGGACTGCATTCTGAGCCTTGTGCCCACGTGAGCCCCAGCCTGTGCTGGGAGCCGGGGGAGCCTTACCATCATGCTCCCAGTAGGAGAGATGCATGAGGGGATGTCGCCTTCACAGAACCTGGGGAAGAGCGCCTCCGTTGCCAAGAGGAAGTAAGTTGAAGGACCCCACAGTTCTTTCATGTAGTCCTTTACCCTGTGCACATTCCCTAGCTGGCCTCTCAGCGCCATCTTTCCCTTCTGAGTCATTGAGCATTTCATTATAGCTCCTTTAAACTTCCAGCTGGCCCAACATTTGGGTCATCTCAGGGTCGTTTTCTATCGACCACTCTTCCTCTAGACTCTGGACCCAGTTTTGCTTTCTTCACATGTCTAGTAATTTCCGGTTGTTTATTGGACATTTGCATTCATTCGTGGTAGAGACTCTGAATTCTGTTGGGTTCCCTTTTCTTCCCCTGAATTGTGTTCTGGGGAGCAGTTGAGTTCCTGGCTTGCCATTGACCTTGGGGAGGCTGGCCTTACTCTTCATTAGGGCAGCTCTGTGCTGTCCTCCTCGGGCAGGTCCGTGACCCAGCAGGTGGGGAGGGTGGCTTTTCTTGGTTTTACGAGAAAGCCCAAAGTGTTTACTGCCCCTCCAGCCCAGGTGACTGCAGTCTTGGCGTTGGAGCCGCCCACGCCTGGTGGCCCTCGTGCTGCCGCGACCCTCTTCTTTCAGGAGCTGAGTCCTCTCTAGTTCCGGCCGCTTTTAATCGCGTCAGCCTTCCAGTCATGGCTTCTCTTCGTTTTCTGTGTGGCGTCTGTGGTTGTCTGAGGGCGTCAGCCCTGCACGTGCTCCAGCGGCATTACCTGGCCTCTAGCTCCACGTTCGTCTTTCTGTTTTTTCATGATACATGGGACACATGTAGCAAAAGTGGTATGCTGTTCTGTGGCCCACTTTTTATCATGTAGTTTCTACATATTTGCTGTTTTATACTTTACCAGTCCTAAGTTTTCAAGTTCTTAATTGTGCCTGGCTTTTGCAGTTATAAGCAAGGCCTTATTTTCATGAAAAAAATCAATGTAATTAAAAAATTACAGTTGTAAATTGGCTCCATAAATATCACCTGTTAAGTGGCAGGTGCTGGTGGAGTCAGTGAACCAGTATTGCTGGTTCTATAATTTCCCCCCTAGAATTAGAAGGGACTTGGGATCATTTTTAAGGGTGAGAGGGAAGCTGGATGTAAGGAAGGCTGTGGAGCCGTCCCCTCTCACCCCGTGAGGTCCGCCCCTCGGCCCGGCCAGTCTTTCGGTGAGGACAGCTTTCTGCCCAGCTGCTCTGCAGTGCGTCCCAGGAACGAAGTGAGTCGGAGGGCCGAATCGTGGGCCTCCCACAGGGACTGGGGCTGCGCACCTGCTTCCCCACAGCTGGCTGGTGCCGAGGGCTTCCGGGCCCCAAGGCCCTCCCGTCGCTGCCTGCAGCCTCTGGGCCTGCCTGCCTCCCTCCTGGGAAATGGAGCCCCACTCACGGGGAGGGCAGGGTTGGGGCACCAACACAGACATCTGCCTGTGCTGGTGAGGATGTGGGGGGAACGACGTTTAACTTTCAGTTTTACACTTTTCATCACTAAGTTTTGTGGACCTTTCTTTCACAGAATAAAATACACACACATTTCCTCCCCTCAGTAAAAATTCCAAATGACAGAGGCATGAAACTGAAAGGCGGTGCAACATCATCGAGGTGTTTTAGCCTTGCTGCGGGGTTGCCTCCGGCGAGAGGGAACATGCTGCGCTAGCGGCTGCCATCTTTTCTCAAGCGGGACAGCATATGAGCTCACGCGACACCGTTCTGTCTCACATTTAAGGGCCCAGAGCTGAATTCCTGTTGCACGAGATGCGCACCGACGTGGCCATCTGTCCCTGGCCTCTGGGCCTCGTTCCCCCAGGCAGCAGGGGCACCAACAGCGTGTTGGTTGGGGCCACCGGAGTGTCTGACGTGGCCACATTGGCAGGGTGCTCGCCCCACAAGCCTGGGCTCTGCGTTTCATTTGTGGTTTTATGTATTTCTAAGAAAGAAATACGACATGAAATCCCCTTATCTTTCAGTCTTGCTCTTTGGCAGGAGAAAGCTGAGCCTTTGTTCAGAGGGCCTGGCCTGAGCCTCCGCACCCCCAAAGCCTCCCTCACGTCCACGGCCTGAGCCTTTGACTGCGGCTGGAGCCATTGTAAGCGCACTGGCCTCTCTCTCGAGCTGGAGACGTGATATGTTCTCAGCCAGTTTTGTTCAAAGCTCAGTATGACCTAGAGGACACCCGGTGGGGTGGAACACCCTGTTTCCGTGTAAGGCTGGGTGGATGCCACCTGGCTAACATGGGGAGTCTTTCTGCCTCTGTGCTGGGGGTGCAGGCACTGCTCCGCAGGGCAGACTGGTTGGCCTGTGTGCAGCAGGTGCGGGCCGGCCACACTCAGTGCCATGTGCACTTGGCCTTGCCACATGGGGCTGACCTCTGGCCTGAGCCCCCTGTTGACCACAGCACCTGGGCACAGTTCACCTGGGATCAGGACCGATAGCCTGGCAGGCCTAGCAGGTGGTCAGAGGTGCTGAGAGGCTGCACTGGAGCATATAGACATGAGGAGGCCCACGACACGTGCTCCTAACACGCAGGTGGTGCCGAGAAACAGCCTCAGAATGAAGAAGGAGGGCTGGGCTGGCAGCGTGCCGGCTGGCCTTCACCTGGCGGGGGCTCTCGGCAGCCTTCTGCCATGATGTGAGTGATGATGTCAGGCAGCACAGACCTGGTCTCCCATCCCTGAGCCAACACCACGGAGGACAGGAAGGTCTTTTTTGTGTTTTTTGTTGGTATCATCAGTATACAATCGCATGAGTGACATTGTGGTTACTAGACTCCCCCCATTATCAAGTCCCCACCTCCTACCCCATCAGTCACTGTCCATCAGTGTAGTAAGATGCTATAGAGTCACTACTTGTCTTCTCCGTGCTGTACTGCCTTCCCCGTGCCCCCCCCGACATTATGTGTGCTAATCATAATGCCCCTTTTTCCCCCTTCTCCCTCCCTTCCCACCCACCCTCCCCAGCCCCTTTCCCTTTGGCAACCACTAGTCGCTTCTTGGGTTCTGTGATTCCGCTGCTGTTTTGTTCCTTCAGTTTTTGCTTTGTTCTTATGCTTCACAGATGAGTGAAATAGGAAGGTCTTATGCCATCAAAATGTTGCTCTTTGCCAGTGGCCCTTCTGTTTGACTCTAAGGTGGGACCTGTTCGGGCTGGAGTGGAAGCGCCCCGTGGGGCCCTTCAGGAGAGCTGGGGGCTGGCTGCGGGGGTCAAAGGTGGACAGAGCCTCACTCGTGAGTGGAGGGCAGGATGGGGGGAAGGCTGAGGGCTGCCTGCTTTGACGTTTTATTTGGAATTTAAAAAAATCAAGTGTAGCCCAGCTGAAACTCTGAAGGAGGTATTCGCCAATGCCCAGCATGGCACAGCTGTGTGATTTGCTTAGCAGAGGTTAAACGGGTGGAAGAGCAGACGCCCTGCATCAAGGCACATGGCAGCAGAAGCCAGCATCTGGCCACAGGGTCCTGGCTGACCGCCATGTGTGCCCATGCCCCAGCCCTCACTCAGCCTCCTGCTGGCCATCCCAAGAATGCCCATAGTGGGTCGGGCACTAGCTCAGCGCAGCCCCGGAGGCTGGGTCAGGTCGCTGCCGGTCAGGGTGCTGGCAGGGCTGTCCTGGCAAGGCCTCGTCCTGGCCGTAGATGCCCTCTGACTGTGCTCGCGTCAGGGAGAGCACCCAGGGGTCTTGTCCTAAAGGCACTGACCCCACCTGGGCCCAGGCCTTATCCAGCCTGGAGGCTCCACACACGTATTTCAGGGGCACGTCCCAGGCAGTGCGAGGGGCTAGGCGGGGGGCTGGGCAGGGGGCTCGTGTCCAGCCATGCCTCTGCCTCCTCTCAGGCTGTGGCTGAATTCGGTAAGACTTTTGCTGCCCCTGGAGAAACTTCTCTATTAGTTACAGACTTTGTCTCTTTTATTTAAGGTTTTTGTCATTTAAAGTAGAGGCAGGGTCAGACCAATGCTCGGATTTCCTGACGTGAGTCAGTTTTGTGAATGGAAATGTGATAAATAGAGCATTTTGCAAGGCTGAAATTCAGAACACAGCCCTCGAAGCAGCTTGTTCTGCTCAGCACACATGCACAAATAGAGACGGACCGGGGAGTTGGGGGTTGGTGGTACATCAGCAGGTGTGTCTGACTTGTTTTGTGTGGTGGCCTCATGCCGACCCGCTGGCCTGCCAGCGAAGGCCCCCGTCACCACAGTGGTACCGTGCGCTCCGGCTTGCTGCAGACCATGGCTCGCACATGTCTCCAGGTGGTGTGGACAGGGGGCTTAATGCAGGGCAGCTTCATCAGTTATACCACTAGGAGTGAGCGACCATGGACAGGCCTACTCACCTGGGCTCAGCCCTCGGTTAGAAAGGAAAGCTGCAACCCTGTACTTTAGGGGGACGGTGTGCTCCATGCGTGGGCCAGGTGCGGTGCCGGGTGTGGAGTGCATGGCAGCTGTTGCCGGAGCCTGGAAGCCCGCTCCTGACCCCTCAGGCCTGCCCGGTGTCTCTGGGGCCTGGACACAGCAGACACTCAGGAAATGTCCCCGGTGGCTGGGAACCCTGCCCTTCCTAGGTCAGGTGTTCTGTACCTGCTTAGAGATGAACTCCCCTGGGATGCAGAAAGGGTTCACACCGTGACAAGGTCCTGTCTGCACTTCCCACAGGAGTGGGAGCCCCATGTAGGCAAAGGAGGAGCTGATCTGGGAGGGGACGGATGTGGCAGGGATGGGGACGCGGTCAGCGCCTGCGGGTCCTGGGCGCCTGCTCTTCACTGACTGCCTGTGTCCTTCTTGCAGCAGTACTGTGTCAACTGCGGCCGAGAGGCCATGAGCGAGTGCACGGGCTGCCACAAAGTCAACTACTGCTCCACCTTCTGCCAGCGCAAGGTTAGCGTCCTCCCGCCCAGCCCTGCCTGCCCTCCGCCTTGCCCTCCGCTGGAGGGACTGCACTCCGGCCTGCACATGGCTGCCCTGGGACTTGAGGCAGTCAGCCCAGGCTGGTCTGCACCTGCCAGGCTCATTCCCGAAGGCCAAGGCCCACCCGCCACGGCGCCACCAGCTGTCCCCTGCTTCCTGTCCACCTGGGCCTTCAGCCTCCTCCGTGCTGTCCTCAGGCCCCATTAAAACCCTGGAAAAGGCACATGCGGCGAGTGCTGTGGCTGCCACGGCATGGGGCCGCTGCTCGTCGAGGGCCCATGAGCGCCCTGTGGTGACCCCATCCTGCCCTGCATGCCTTGTCATAGATCAGGAACACAGGTCATGGTCACAGGCACCCGGTTCTAGGACAATTAGAGAGAATACTTCCTGGAGCAGGACTGCCAGCTCGAGGTTCTAACTTCCCCACCCTCACCCAGAGAGGAGCTGAGGTGGAGCGTGGGCCCGCAGCACCGTCCTCTCGTCTGGGTGCCCGTTTGGAACTTTCCAGTCAAGGAAGGGAAGGTGTTAGGTGGACAGGTAGATAGATGCAAGCCCGGGCTTTTCTCGCCCATGCCACGTCTGCAGAAGGGAGCTGTGTTTGTTGGCACAACCCTCCCCAGCTGGGCCTCACCACTTGGCTTTCTGGAGCAGCCTTCCGAGGTCCCTGGAAACCCCCAGGAGTAGCAGATGCCGGAGGTGGGTGGGTGGCCACCACGGGCTGGTGGGGGAACCATGCCATGCCTGGAGTCTACACATGCTGAAGGCTCCCAGATGCTCTGGGGCAGCTCTGAGGTGGAGTCTGTGCCCGCTGGAGGCCCAGAGAGCATTTGGCACCCATGGGTTCTGTACCCTCCTCTGTGACCTGCTCCTCGAGTTTGCCCTCAGCACCCAGGACCCCAGGACATACACACATTTCTCTGTGTGTACAATGGTCCCGTCCTTAGACCCCTGCGGGGACAGAGGCATTGGCACGGGGCCTCTGCGTGTCAGGGCCCACGTGGTACTCTGCCTTTGGAGCTGGTCCCTGAAGCATGAGGGTGACTGGGCTCAGAGGGTTGGGCCCCCCGGTGCTGGAGATGGAGGAAGTGGAAGCCAGCCTGCTTTTGGCCTGAAGGTTCGTTAGGAGGCTTTAGCCCTCAGACTGGGCCACTGTGACCCATGCCTGGGGCCATGGAAGGGGAGCAGGGGCCGGGCGGTGCGGCTGCACGGTGGCGCTGCATGAGGCTGGAGCCGTCCATGCACAGACATGCGCAGCTTCCCCTGGGTGGGGTCACTGGGTCTGAGCACAGCGCACACCTGTGGTTTAGGTGTGATCCTTGACAAAGATGGTGTTTTTCGCTTGTGCTGTCTGCTCTCCCTTGACAACTGTTGGTTTTATTTATGTAAGTTGATCTAAAGCGAATTTCAGGACCGTAATTCTCATACTGGATCCGTAATGAATGGCAGACCGGATCTGAAGAGGCAGGGCCCAGCTACTTGTAATAGATGTTAAATGCCGACCTTGCAGCCAGGCACGTGCCCCAAAGTCCCGCTGTGTCCCCAGGGGCTGTGTGGCACTGTACAGTCGCTCAGTTGGACAAGGGTTGTGGCTTGTTTGGGGTGTTAGCCTGCATTTTTTCTGTCCAAATCCCATGAGTCGTGTGTTGCGTGTTACATCTTCATGGAGGTATAATTGACATGCCATAAAATTCACCTACTTACAAGTTGCAGTTCAGTGATTTTTGTAAATTGGCAGTTGTGCGAACATCCCAGTTTGCTTTTAGAACTTACAGAAGACCCCCTGGGGACCACGCACCTACTCCCACCTGCAGATCTGTCTTCCCTGAACGTTCCGTGTAGAGGGACCACACGACCTGTGGTCCCCTTGCACCTGGCTTCTTTCACTCAGCACATGCCCCAGGTTCATTGTTTCAAGGTGCCATCGCTTCAGCCCTTTGATGGCAGGACCCCATCCCACTGTGGGTGGTTGGCCGGCGGCCCCCACCTCATTCCTGCTGTCCCATGGCTGGGAGCATGTGTGAGAGCGTTTGGGTGGGTGTGTGCACTCGCCACGGCTACATACCTAGCAGTGGATTTTCTGGGTCACAGAGCAGCTTTGTGTCCTGAGAGGCCTTGCGGCCCCATCCTGGCTGCAGCTGCTCCCTTGGCAACACACCAGCATGCTGAGTGGTTTGAGCACCGTTTTGTAGCTTATTCGGTCGTCGTCTGTCTTGTTGGGGGAATGTCTGCTCAAATCTTGCCTGTTTTTTTAATCGCACTGCTGATCCTCCTCCTGTTGAAGGGCTTGCTCCTGTGTTTTCTTCATCATGTTGTTTGCAGGTGAAAGCCCTTAGTTTTGGTGAAGTCCAGTTTATCAGACAAATATTTTAATGGGGATCATGCTGTTGGTGACATAGTCATCTGAGAACCTTTGCCTAACTCCAGGTTAGGAAAAGCTCCTGTTTTCTTCTAAAACATTTATAATCTTAGCTGTTACATTTAGGGTCATGATCCATTTTGAGTTAATTTTTGTGTAGCTGTGAAAAGCCATGGATTTGAGCCCAGCCTGTGTGGTTTAATTATTGTATAGTTTTACACAGTCTGTTTTCAGGTAACTTCCAAGTTAAAGTTTTGTTATTTTGATATAATGATTTGAGATTTTACTTCTCTATTGTAAATTAAGCCACACATACTGTAGACACATAGGCAGCACAAAGATAATCAGCCGGGATCTGCACTTGAGTCACCTGCCAGCATTTGGGTGCCTTTGTGGCTGTTATTCACACGTGTGTTCATATTTGTTCACATCATGTCATTTTTTTACCAGACCTGAACCCGTCTGTGTCCACGCCCACGTCGCCTCCATGAACAATGTGGTCGTGCTGTCTGCCCGCCGCTGGGCCTCCTCCAGGCCCTGGTCGGCTGTGGAGAGCAATGGGTGTGGAGAGGGCTCCTGCCTCACCTGCCCTGCCTGTGGCCCGGGGCACATGGAGGAGCCAGCGTCCCGCTCGGTGCCCCACTCGGTGCCCATGTCACCTGCCCATCTGCCCGAGGGCCTTCTTGCATGGCTGGCTCCAGCTTTGCTTGCTTGTTTCTGAAATCACGAATGACTTATACCGTGGGCAGCAGCGTCTGAGGCACACGTTCCTCTGTGTGTATGATGGTCCCGTGCTTAGACCCCTGAGGGGACAGAGGCTCGGCACGGGGCCTGTGCGTGTCAGGGCCCACGTGGTGCTCGGCCTTTGGAGCTGGTCCCTGAAGCATGAGGGTGACCGGGCTCAGAGGGTTGGGCTCTCAGCCAGGACAGGGCTGAGGCCTCAGCCGGGGGGACTTCTCACTCTGCTTGAGGCGCTGCCCCGGCTAAGGGCCGTGTCTTCCTTTCAGGACTGGAAGGACCACCAGCACGCGTGTGGCCAGGCAGCTGCGGTCACGGTCCAGGCGGATGAGGTCCACGTTGCCGAGAGCGTGATGGAGAAAGCGGCCGTGTGAGGCTGCGGGGCCACCACAGGCCGCGGGCCTGCAGAGGACTTTGTGGGACGCTGAGGACGTGGGACCTTGCTGGCCAGCTTACGGCGGACTCTAAGTGGCCCGTGCCCTTGGCATGAGCTTCTGCCGCCCAGAAGCTGAGGGCGTTGGGGCAGCGCCGGCTGGCCCATGGCGCCTTCTCACGGTGCTCTTTTTTATCCCTTGGATCATGGGCGTCTGGTCTGACCCACAGGCGTGTTGTGTGCTGTAACACACGTGTACATACATGTGTCTGTCAATAAAGTTGATGTTTCCCTGCCCACCTGGACGGGCGATTCCAGCTTCAACCTCCCTGGTGCCAGGAGATGGGGGGGCCTCCACTTGGTTTGCCCTGGTCACGCAGTTCAGAAGTGGCTCAGAAAACGTGCTGAGCTGCAGGAACAGCGAGGCCAGCCTGCAGTGCTCGCCTGCAGTGCCCGCCACTGCCCCCGGCTGCCAACGAGTCAGCAGAGGCCAGGGCTCGAGGGTGGTGCTGCCCCACGTGTGGGAGCCACCGGCCGGGATGCAACAGGCTTGCTCCTGTGGCAGCTGGTAGTGGAGGCCTGTCTGTATCCCCGAAGAAACATCGTAACTGTCCCTATAGCATCGGATTAGACCCTGAGGACCCTGTGGCCACTCAGAGGCAAGGCCAGCCTGCATCCCCTCTCCCTGCTCTGAGGGACGGAGGACAAGGGGTCAAGGAGGGGCCTGCACTGGGGGGACGCCGCAGCTGGGAGTCGCTGCCGTTGGCAGTGCTGTTCCGCCAGCCGCTCATCTCCCAGCCCTGCACCCTCCCTGGGCTCCTGCTTCCGGAAGGTCCTCCAAGGTCTGCAGGGCCCAAGGCTTGGCTTTTGGGGCTCTGGCTGCAGGATGAGCTGGGAAGGGCCCGTCCTGAGGGAGGAGTGAGCACAGGAGCCTAGAGGCGCCCACGCCCAGCCCCCCGAGCCCCCTTCAGCTCCACTGCAGCAGCTGAGGACTGAGCTGGTGTCTTAACACGGGAGGAGGCTGCCCCTCTGGCATTTCATCTCCCCGCCTCTAGGGGACATGAAAGCCGAGAAGCTCCTCCAGCCCAGACGGCGCTGAGTGCAGCAGATCCAGATCGGAGCCCGGGGATCGCCCCTCCCCGCACCTTCCCCGGAGGCGCACGTTGAGAGAACAGGGGGGATCGGTGGTCACCCCTCTGCTCTCAGCCGTGTCTCCGTTGCCCTCGGTTTGCTCAGGCCAGGAGGGGCCACGTCACCCTCAGCAGAAGGGCGCCGGGGTAGGGACCTGGGCGGACCCCCCGTCTGAAAGTGCCAACAAGCAACTGCCAGCAGATCCCAGTCTGCGGCAAACGTGGGTGGAACAGCCACCTGGCAACACACCACTGTCCTGCCCACAGGCGGTGCACCCTGCCTCCTGGGAGCCAGGCTCTGCAGGGGCAGCGTGCTGGGGGAGGCTGCCATGCGAGCGCTCACTCCTTAAGACAGAGCCTCGGGACTGCACGCTCTGGGGGCGGTTTTCCAAAGGGTGTTATTTCTAAGCCTGTGGAGCTGTAGCCACGCAGCCGTGGCCACTGGGCAGCTCTGTTCACTGGGACGCTGAGGGTTCACAGCTGGCAGAGTCCTGGGCAAATGCTTCCAATGGTTTCTCCTGAGGTTGAATCCTCGGGAGACAGGCCAGGGCTGGCATCTGCGAGTCGGTGGTCAGCACAGTCCAGGCTGTCTGGGGAGCCACAGCCAGGCTGTCTATGGTGCCAGTGGCCCAGCTGAGCAAGTGGGAACTGCCCAGGCACCTCCTGGGGCCCCTGCCAGCCAGGCTCCATGTCGGGTCTGCCTTGTCCTTGTGTCCACCTGTCCCATGTCCACATGTCCCCAATATCCACTTTGCCACTGTGTCCACCTTGTCCCCAGAATCAACCTTATCCCCTGCCCTCCATGCCCATCTGGCCCCCGTGTCCACCTTATCCCTCACTGCAAGGGCTGCAGATGTCTGCCCATTGGGCTGGCAGGGACAGAGGGGGGCCACCAGTAGCTCCCAGCCTGTCTGCAGCTCAGCCCCCAGGGGAGGCATGGCTTACTGGCCTGGCGTCCACCCTCAGGAGCATGGCCAGCACAGGCCCACACACAGAATGATGGGGACATGGCCTCCTCCATGCAGGCATCCTGGGTGGGTAGGCAGAGCAGCAGGTGCCCACAGCTGGAGAGTGGCTGGTGCTGGGTGAGGCCCTCAGCAGTGCCAACCCCCTGAAGTGGGCACGGGCAGGGACCTGCTCTGCGCTGGACACAGCAGCCTCAGCAGGCGCCTGTGGAGCATGGGATGGGCAGTGGGGCACAGGTGTGGCACGTGGAACTGAGGCCAGTGGAGACCGGCAGCAGGGGGTTCAGGGCCCCTGACGTTCCGCCTGGCCCCACCAGCTCCCCTCCCTGGTCTTTACTTCACATCTGAGATCCCAGGAGGGCCCATCAGCCCAGCCTGGGGCAGCGGTGCTGCCTGGGGCTCCTCTGAGGATGGGGGCTTCCCCTGGGGGTCAGCCAGGTGTCTGATGCAGCCTCCCCACATTTCATGGTGCCTTCCCCCACAGCTCAGGGACACAGGTGTTAGACCTGTGGGCTTGGGGACACAGCACCCCGAGTCAGCCCCCAGACCAGCAGGAGACGTTAGTCCATCACTGCTCTGATGGTTCCCGGAAGATAAGTCTTTCCAAGGGTTATGGGGACAGGCTGGTCCTTGGGGGTGGCCCATGGGCAGCTTCTTGGGGGAAGGGGCAGCTGACACCCTGAGCAAGGAAGACAGCACCCAGATTGGGGAATGGGCGGGCCCCTCTCTCCACTCTGAGGTCGGCCTGATGCCCTGGACCTCGTAGCCTGCAGTTTCTTGCGTTCGTCACAGCTGGGGTCCCACACACAGAATGCAGCACTGGGGGGCAGGGGGCCTGAATTTCTCCTGCGGCCCAGGGACTGGGAGAGCCAAGGTGAATCCAGGTGGGGCTGACCCCGTTTGGAGGGGCCAAGGGCTGCCTCCTCCCCCGTGGGGACGGGGAGGGCCAGCCTGGGTGGCTCTGCTCAGCCTTGGGCCTGCACCCACTGCCTGTTTCTGTGCCCTGGGCCTGGCCCTGTGGACAGGCAAGAGGATGCCTCAGTGGGCCCACCAGCACTCCAGGTCCTTCTCCCGGGGACTCCGGGCATGGTTGGGTCAGGAGTTAGCAGGGAGCCACGCACTGACCTCCAGGCAGCTGCCAGGATGGTGGGCGGGACCAGCTCAGCTGAGTTTTGCAAGGACAGTGGAGTGGGGCCACCTTGGAGAAGCTGGGCCTAGCTGGGGGAGGCCTAGGTGCTGCCCCCCAACTGCGGTGGTCTTCCTATTGGGGAAGGGACAGCTTCAGGGAACAGCACACAGCCGCAGGGTGGGGCTCCCGTCTACAGGACAGCTATGCACACCCTCCCCTGGAGAGAACCGGAAACCGCCTGGGACCTGGGATGTGGGGCTGCTGGCCAGGGAGCAGCTTGGGAAGCACAGCTGGTGAATGTGGTGGGGAGCCTGTCTCAGGGGGGCGTGAGCACTGGTGGCTGAGCTCATGGCAGCCCCCATGAGCAGGCAGCCCTTACCCCCCTCCTTCCCCTACCCACCCACCATCCCCCAGCCTCCCCTGCGGATGTTTAGGAAGATATCTGTTTTAATTAGTGGACAAACCCCCCCCAGCACAGGCTGGAGTCTTGTCCCCTGAGGCGCGGGTGGGGGTTTGTCCTGCAGCAGAGGCGCATGGCCCTGCGGAAGACGCGGCGGAACTCGGCGTTGAAGACGGTGTAGATGATGGGGTTGAGGGCGCTGTTGACATAGCCCAGCCAGGTGACCGCGCTGACCAGCCGCGGTGGCACGGCGCAGGTGGGACACAGCGCCCGCGTGATGTGCACCACGAAGAACGGGGTCCAGCACCCCAGGAAGGCCCCTGGTGGGGGGGCGCCATGAGCTGCGGTGCTGCCCTGGGTGCTGCCCCTTTTCCCTCCGCCCACCTGCCCCAGGGCAGGGACCCACCGACCACCACCGGAAGGACCCTCATGGCCTTGCGCTCCCGGCCAGTGATCTTCGGGTGCCTCTTCCTGCGGGCCTGCGGCGGGGCCTCGGCCGGGAGGGCGGCGAGGGGTGGCGGGCCAGGGCCGCTGGGCCGGCGGGGAGCACGGCCGTGCAGCTTGGCGCTGCGGGCCGCCTCCCAGCGCCGCAGGCCCCGAAACGTGGCCCAGTAGAGCAGCAGCATGAGCGGGCAGGGCAGGAGGAAGGAGAACACGGACGAGTAGACGACGTAAGCGCGGTCCTCCAGGCGGCACACGGCGGGGTCGCGGCCGTGCGCGTCGTTGAGCCCGCACAGCACGGGCGCTGCCACCGCCGCCGACAGCAGCCACGTGGCGCCGATGAGCAGCAGCTGACGCCCGCCCCCGCCCTGGAGGTTGTAGCGCAGCGGCACCGCCACAGCCACGAACCTGCGGGGGGCGCGGGGCACAGTGAGCGCGGGAGGGCGCGGGGAGGGCGCGGGGGCGCGGGCGGGGGCGGCCCACCTGTCCACGCTGATGGCGCACAGGTTGAAGATAGAGGCGGTGCAGAGCATGACGTCCATGGCCATGAGCGCGTCGCAGAGACGGGGGCCCAGCAGCCACACGCCACCCTGGACCTGGGCCGCGAGGAGGGGGCGCCGCAGGAACAGACAGAAGACCCGCTGACGCTCCCTCTGCCGCGCCCTGGCCAGGAGCCCTAACAGCCCCCAGGGCGACACTGTGTTTCCGACCCCCACTTTTTGCGGGGAGCGGGGGTTGAATGCCAGAGGGAAAGGGAGCCAGAGTGAGCCAGACGGGCCAGTCCTCCCATCGAGCGGGGCGCCAGAGACGCCCCCTGGGTCCCCTTCCTGAGAAAGGCCTGGGAAGCCCGGCGTGGGGGGCGTGTCTGAGGACGCTGGTGGCTGATAATGTGGGGCTCAGGCTGTTTGGGCCCCTCCCCAGACAGGCGGGGACCCTGCCGCCCTGCAGTGCCCAGCCCACCGCCCCTATTCCCTCGCCCCCACCCCGGGGACAACTAGGGGTTTGGTTAAATGCTGTCGCTGCTCTGGAACTCCAAGAAGCCACTTCACTTTGACCTGCTCCATGAATGAGGGTGGTGATAGACCCACATAACTGTCCGGAGATAAATGGGTTAAAAGTATAAAGGCCTTGGCGCTGTGCCCAGTGTCCACACCAAGGGCAAGGAAGCAGACAGCTGCCCCACCTCTAAATCCCCTCCTGCTGGTTTGGGACGATTAGGAGCTTAAGAGCCATCACCCTGACGTCTGTGGCCCTGGGGGAGCGGCAGGCCATGCTGTCCTTGTCCGGCTACCCTCTTGCCCCAGCCTAGCCCAGACTCACCGCATACACTTTAGAAAAATTGATCCTCCCCTCCCCCACAGCCCAGGACACCTTGTCCCCAAGCCAGGCCTAAGCAGCTTTTCTCTGCCCAAAAGGCAGAGCACGCAGGGCTGGCACCGAGGGCTACCCACCCAAGGCCAGACCTGGTTTGGGGTGGAGGCTCCTGGGCCTGAGCTCTGCCAGGGGCTCTGTCACACCATCCCCTCCCTTGGGTTCCGCCGTCAGGCCTAGGCCTCCCCTCTGCCCAGCCCAGCTCACTGCCCAGCAAGCAGCCCGAGTCTGTGGGTGAGGGTCTTCTTCCCTGGGGGGTGCTGGCGTCACGGTGGCCTGTGGCCTTGTGCAGTAATCGTGTGCGCCTCCGTGCTCAGGGGGAGCCGGGGGCTCAGCCTGACTCTGCCTGTCTGTCCATCTGGCTGCCCTGGGGACTGGAGCCCAGCCGGGGGCTGGGGGTTCTGGACGGCCAAACTTCCTGTTTCTGGGGTCCCTGGCTTGAAGGATCCTTTGGGTGGCAGACGCCAACACCGAGGAGAGAAAAGGGACAGAGGCGGAAGGCAGGCCAGCGACAACAGGGCGGGTAGATGGACAGCGAGAGGAGCAGGGAGTGCGGTCCGAGGGCAGAGGCGCCGGTCCTGGGCCCCTGCAACCGCCCCGGCTCGAGGTTCCCGAGGAGCTAAAGCGGCCGGTCGCCCTGGGTCCTCGGCGTGGATGGGGACGGGGACAGGGCGACTAGGGCGCGTACGGCCGCGGACTCACCTCGGAGTAGACGAACAGAGGCAGCACCAGCAGGGCGAGGAGTAGATCGGCGGCCGCCAGGCTCACGATGAAATAGTTGGTGGGTGTCTGCAAGGCGCGCTCGGCCGCCACGCTCACGCACACGAGCGCGTTCCCCGCGAGCACCAAGCCGATGAGCAGCACACCCCCCGCCAGGGCGGCCGCCGCGCCGGGAGCCCAGGTTAGCAGCCCGGGTGCGTCCGCGGCGCTGCGGTTCCCCATGCCGTCCCGGCCCCGTGCGCCCTGCGCTCAGCACCGCGAACAGCGCCCCGCCCCGGGAGCCTCTCGGACACGCCCCGCCCCGCCCTGCTCGGTGGGCCCTTAGGCTCTCTGGGGTGCACCCTGGCTACCCTGGCTCTGCGCTCCGGGCCCAATGGGAAGCGAGTTAGGCGAGGTGATTGACATCGTCCCGCGCTGCACAGGGTTGTAGGGGACGCGCGGGTCTGTGCCTCGACAATGACGCGGATGGAAGGTCGGCTGGACCATCCCTCCTGGTGCGCAGGCACCCATGCCAGCTCCATCCTGCAGGTCTCTGGAGACCCCTAGATCACTACATGGGCGCAAGCTGAGCGTCCTCGCCGCAGGGGCGCTCCTGGAGTCTGTCCAGGACAAGAGGGGCCACAGCTCACTCCACCCGGGTCGTTCCTCCAGAAACCAAGAGGCCCTACCAGTTCCCTGCCGGCCCAGGGCGCTCTCCCACCTCCCTTTGGGCCCCCGCGGTGCCAGTGCGTGCTATCCCTTCCTCCCCGCTCTTGCCCACCCGACCCAATCCCCGGTCCCCCAGAACAGCCTCTCCTCTGGTACCCGAGACCACACTCAGTCACTCTCCACTTGCAGCCACAGCCACTGCCTGACCATGATCCTCCAGGTCCTCTGAGTGGTCAGCCCCAACCTCTATTTCATCACCTTGGCACTTGTGACCCTGAGCCACGTTGTGCGAGCCTCTGAACCTGGGAAGTGGTGCTTACATCCCAGCATTAAATGAGGTAACAGGGAAAGGTACACCACCAGCCAGCTTAGCCATCGCCTTTGCATGCTCTTCATGCACCAGTTTTACCTAAGTCACCTCCTTCTTCAGAGAAAAGAAAAGCCCAAAATGAGAACCCTCTCAGCCTGCACCCACCAAGCCTACAAACTCACTGAGCCTGTGGCCACCAGGACCCATCGCCTCCATGGGCCAGTACAGGACAGGGCTCATGGGAGGCTGGGAGCAGGGTCCCAGAGCTATGCAGCTGAAACTGCGTGGTACGCAGCTCCAAGGACACTGTAAGTTGGTCAGACAGCTGTGCGTGGCAGAACAGTCACCCAGACTGTCCTCTCTCAGATTATAAAAGTGCACAGAAAGAATGCATGGAAATTGTAGCATAGCCTGTTTTCAGTATGGCTTTACCAAAATCAGGTGACACACAACCCAGAGCCTTGTCACTAAAGGGGCCACACAGCAGGCAGTCCAATTCCAGCACTCTGTGGGACCATCTGATGCACCTCTGCCCCCACCCCCCCACCCTCCACCCTGTTTTCATTTCTGGCTCCCTGCACACTTGAGAGGGCTGGAGAACTCAGGATGGACCTGAAGCAGAGTTGCCAGGAGTCAAGGATCCTGATTTCAAAGATATCAGGGACACAGGGGCCAGTTTGACAGACTGACAGTTTGTGTATTAAGGAAAACACAAGGATTCTGAAAAAAAAGGATGCCTATGATAAAAGGCAAAAATCACATGAGGTCTAATCAGGGAAAGCTGCGTGCAGGGCATAGGTGTGAATGGGCATGTAGGTCTGAGCTGCATTCAACACCTCAATCCCTTTCATGTGTCTCTATAAAGGGAACTCACAGCTAGTGACTGGGGCAGGAGGAATTTTCTTCTCTCACAGGACAGAAGTCAGAGGCAGGCATGGTTCTTGGGTTGAGTGACAAGTAGTGAGTCCAGCCTAGCCTCCTATCTGCTTGGAGTTCCCTCCTGGTCCCCAGATGTTTGATATCGTTAAGAGTGAAAAGGCAGCCCAGACTGGGAAAAGATATATGCAATACAGATCTGTGATAAAGGATGCAGATCCAGAATATATAAAGAGCGCTGTCAAATCAACAAGAAGAAACAGACAATACAATGATAACAAAGGCAAATATCTTGAATAGGCATGTTACAAAAGAGGGCATCTTAATGGTCAATAAACAAAATCATCAGCCCCAGGGAGATGACAATAAAGACCACAGTGACATGCCACCGCACACTGAAGTGGGAAAAAATGCTTGATATGTAAAAAAAAAAAAAAGTTGGATATGTGATTTGGAAATGGCTTGTCTCTTCATTCTCCTAACAGTATATCTGAGTTAATTTTTTTATGTATAAGTTATGAACAGAGGTTCTTTTCTTTCTTTTTTCTTGCCTATGGTCCAGTTGCCTGAGTACCATTTGTTGAAAAGCCTATCTTTTCTCTTTTGAATTTTCTTTGAACTTTTGCCAAAAACCACTTGATCATATTTGTGTGGGTGTAATGTGATGCTCCCTGTGGGTTTTGGTTCCTTATTAAAGAAATTGTATTCTCTTCTTAGTTTTCTGAGAGATTTGAATACAAACGGATGTTGAATTCTGTCAAACATTTTTACTCTACCTATTGAGATGAGCATATGGTTTTTCTTCTGTAGTCTGTTGATAGGATGAAGGGCACTGACTGATTTTTGAAAGCGGAGCCAGCCTTCCAGGCATGGCATAAACCCCATTTGGTCATGGTGCACCATCCTCTTTACATACTGCTGTCAGATATTTGTCAAGGATTTTTGTATCTATATTAATGAAAGATATTGGTCTGTGGTTTTCTTTCCTTATATTATTTCTGTCTGGTTTGGGTATCAGAGTAATGTTGGTTTCCTAGAATAAGCTGGGGAGTTCTCCCTTCAATTCCGGTTTCTGTAATTGTATAGGATTGATATTAGTTCTTCCTTAAGTGTTGGAATATTCGTCAGCAAAGACCTCTGGGCCTGGAGTTGCTTTGCTGGATGGGTTTTGACTATGAAGTCAATTTCTTTAATGCCTATAGGACTGTTCAGGAGATCTGTTTCTTCTTGACTGAACCTGATAGTTCACTTCCAAGGAACTGGTTTATGTCAGTTTTCAAGTTTAAGGGCCTAGATTTGTTTATAATATTCCCTTATTGTCCTTTTTATAATGTGAGGTCTTTGATGACACCCTTCTTTCAACCCTTATATTTGTAAATTGTATCATTCTTTTTCTTGCTCTGTCTTATTAGAGGTTTATTAATTTTATTGATCTTTTCAAAGAACCAGTTTTTGGTTTCATTGGTTTTTTTCTTTTTTTCAATTTTATTGAGTTCTACCGTCACCTTTATTATTCCTTCCTTTTGCCTGATTATTTGCTCTTTCGCTAGAGATGGTCACCCTCTTCTAACATAAGCACTTAATGCTATAAATTTCCCTCTGAGATGCATCCCAGAAGTTTTTGTGTTTCGTGTTTTCAATTGTGTTCAATTTAAATATTCTCTGCTTTTCCTGAGACTCCTTCTGTGACCCATGGATTATTTAGAACTGTGATAATTTCCAAAGGTTTTCCAGTTCTCCATTATTTATTTCTAGTTTGATTCTATTATGGTGAGAAAAAAACAGTCTCTAGGACTTCAATTCCATTACATCTGTTAAGGTTTATGACCCAGAATACAGTCTGTCTTGTTCAATATTGCAATATTCCATGTACACCTGAAAAGAGCCTGTGTCCCCCTGAGACAAGGTAGAGAGCCACCCACGCGGATGCTGGCTCAGGAACGTGCCCTGTGGATTCTCCAAGTCGTTGCTGATTTTCTGTCTGTTCTATTAAATACTGAGAAGGGAACGCTGAAGCCTCCAAGTATAGTTATTTTTTTATTTCTTCATTCAGCTCTATTTCTTCTTATAATTTTCTACCTGTGTATTTTGAAGATTTGTTGTAATGTGCCTACACCAGGGACATGGAGACAGGGTTAACAGTGTGGGGGACTCCAGAGGATTGGGAAGGTGATGGAACTGGTGGTGGTTACATAGTTGAATACATTTTTTCAAAACTCATAGAAGTGTACATCAAAAACAGTAACCATAAATAGTAAACTTCATAAAAGGGGCAAAATTAGAATGTGTGTGATCCCAGGTTGCAGACAATGGCTCTATTGGTGCTTAATACACGGATGATGAAGCCAGGATGGCCTGTCCTGGGAGAAGGATGTCCTAATCCTGTCCTGAACCTCTGGCCAGTGAAAGTTGGGATGTGTGATGTCTGAGGTTCTGCAGGTCCTGAGTGGCCACTCCGCCCTCCTGGACCAGTATGTCTATTATCCTCCAGAGTAGAATGGAAGCCAGAGCTGTGGGACTGACACCACCCTGGTGGTGACACTTGGGTCGGTGTCAGAGCTGGTATTGGGACCCTTTGCCGCCATTTTATGGGATGCTTGAAACATTTAAGAAAATGTTATTTATTTGGTTTGCAAGAGTTGCCCAAAAGTTTAAGAATCTCTTCTTAATCAGTAGAACTAGGAGACAGAATATCACCAAAGGAATAGAAAAATCTGAACAAGTCGTCAGTCAAGATCGTTTGTTGAACTGTCCATCAACAGCAGGCCACACATTCTCCCCAAGTGGATATGGAACATCCACCGAGATAAAGATGGACCACAGCCTGCGTCATAGAGAAACCTTAACAGATTTTTTAATAGAATGGAAATAGTACAAAGTATGTTCTCTGACCATAAGGAAATTAAACTAGAAAATAATAACAGAAAGATAACAGGAAGATTTCCCAAAACTTGGAAGTTAACACAATTCTGAGTAATCCATGGGTCAAAGGAGAAACTAGAAAATATTTTGAATTGAAGGGAAATTAAAATACATCATATCAACGTTTATCGGATGGAGCTAAAGCCATGCTCAGGGAAAACTGATGACATTAACTACTTAATTTGAAAAGAAAAAAGGTTTCAAATTAATGTAAAACACCAACTAGCAATCTGAAGAAGGGAAACCATGATATATTGACTGATGCAGAAAAAATATTTGACACAATCCAACGTCCATTCACGAGAGAAGCATTCAGCAACCTAGGAATAGAAGGGAACTTCTCAACCTGATAACAGGCATCTTCAAAAATCCTACAGCTGACATCATACTTAATGAGAGACCAAGTGCTGTCCAGCCCAAATCAGAAACAAGACAAGTATGCCCACTCCCACCACTTTTATTCAATGAGGCATCGTCATTCTAGCCAGGCA